GCTTTTGCCCCGTTTCAACATGAAACCACGAAATAAGGACTAGCCGATATTTCTCTTTACCAGTCTCTATTGCTCCAGCCATCAACGTATGTGAGTCTTGCGTTTATTAGGTTACTATTCGAAATTAACCTATACATATATCCAAAAGCTGAAGAGTTTGAATTTTCGGCTAAGCAATCAGCTGAAGTTATTTCATAGTTCATATTGATAGCAAAAAGTTATGACAATTCGGTTAAGATTCGTTTTATAATATCGAAGAAGATTTTATTGCGAAAGGTAGGTGGTTTCTGAAAACAGGGAGAAGAAAAAGGGTTCTGATGGCATATTTGTCTTTATTCATATTCTTCTTATTCTTCAAACAGTTTAGCTCAAGAATTAATTATTGAATGATAGATCGTCTTAAGGAATGTACGAAAGTCTTTCATCATTGTGAAACAACAATCTTCCTGTAACCATCTATCCATCAAAAAAGAAAGTAGAAAGGTAATGATTGCATCGTTTGCATGAGTGATAAGAGAAAAACATAAAACAATTGAAATCATAAGTACACCCGCAACAATCAAAAGACATCTGAGCACTATCTTCATCCACAAAGCATAATTCAATGTTCCTTAATTCTACTGATCTACAAGATGATTTCGATTCCTCAGCTCTCTAGCAAAAGTCTGTTGACTGCATGAATCACAGTTTGTCTGAAACACTATCTGTACAAGCTTGGATCTCTAGGAACAACACAAACCATTTTTTGAATAAAATGGTTCATCTAGTTCTGCTCACTATGAAGAGCAATGAGCGCCAAGACAGATCTCTCTCTCTCTTGAGCGGTTTCAAAGAGATAAGAATTAATCAGGCTACTGAAACAAGACTATCCTGTCAAAGTTAAAACATTCTTTTGTTCAGTTTTTCATTCAATTTGAAACTGTTCACAAGTTCGTATGATAAGAGTCGCATGAAACTTCTGGAAAACCATTGAGGGTTGAAACGGTTCCATCAGTGAACACATCAGAAAGTGAGAGTTTTTCAAAAAACTGTACAGATTTGATCTCAGAGGTTTTCATCAACATAATTTCAAACAGTTTTAGAAACTGACGATCAGAAGTAAATAATCAAAAATGAGAAGCAAACTACAATACAGGAATCTTTTTTATTTGAAAAAAAAAGTAAAAAACATTTGTGACCCGTAAAGAACTAGAGATGTACCTACACAGTATTACAAATCTGAGATCATAATTTCCAGAAAGACAACAAAGAATATAATGATTGGTATAACAAACGGAACAAGCATCATCCGTTTTGTGCTTGTGCTCCCGTTACAGTAATGACGATCACTACAGCAACACAAACGTCCTTTGATTCCGGTCAGTTCCGTTTCAACACATGTGTTACGAAAAGCCTGAATGAATGATTATATAGAAAAATTGATTTCAGTCGAGTAACTAACGTTACAGATCACATTCGAACATCCCATTTTCATCACTTCGTTAATGGCTGATTCCTCGTAGAATCGATAACAGTACGCATCACCTATGCCGAGGATTGGCTCACAATCTTCTGAAACTCTCAATGGTTAAGATAGTTGTTTCTAGCTGTGATCCACCAGTATCTTGATAAGCATCTTGTCCGACAACATATTTCAGACCTTTGTAACATCTAATCTGTTGACTTGTAACTGCTTGAAACATGAAATACAACAATACTAATAATCGCATTTAGTCTGTAAATACTTTAACATGATGGTCAGCCTGTGGCACGAACAATACGATGACGTCAAGGCTTTATTACAAGAATGGTTAAAACAAAGCAAATTTTTAAATGAATCAAAAAGATAATTTGCAAGAAATATAAAGGAAATCATAAAAACCGAAAGGTCGCTCTTGTTAGCTCGAGGTCATCAATCGATTTTCATAAACTGTGACTGTCAGTTAGAGAACTTCGAATAAGTTTTGTACTTCAAAAGAGAAAAATGAATCATTCGTACTCAGTTCACGCTATTTCTTTACTAAAAAGCTGAGTCTCCTTCCTCTCTTACCATTTTTTGTTCAAAAACAACTTTCGAATATCGATTAGTGTCCACAAGACAGTTTGTGTCCATTTTTGCTGTTTCTCTAATCATCAAGAACAATAGGCATTGAACTAGTTCAACAAAAACAAGAAGAAACATTTGACTGGCTATGCCAACAGACTTGTCTACATTTTTGCTAAGAAATTGGCTTCAAAGATCATCAGATCATCAATCGAGAAATCAATATGAGTCACAGAGAAGATGAGATTTCGAGGAAAAAATAACTCTCAAATGACCTATTCGTAAACGATCACTGGCAATCTTTCGGGTTAACATGCAGAAGAATCGAGGTCAACAAGTCATGGCTCGTTTCTCTTTTTTTTTTCAAACATTTTAGTATTTGATAGAATTTTGAAAAAAATATAAATAACTATATATCATATGAAGCAAGAAATAATGAACAATGTTGTAATTGAATGTTAAGATAGTCTCTTCTTGTCATCAAGGTCACATTCGTTTCATCAGAATATCACGAAACAAATATTTTGTTTCGAAACATTTTTCTTTTGAACGATAGCAATCTTAATGAAATTATAATAATGTATTTTTGTTATTGTAATAGTATTCTCCTATTACACCCGTCTCGGTACATATGCTAATTCATAAACGCCACGTCCAGTTGAGACGGGGAAGGCGTTTTCATTTGTCGTGTATGCTGTGTAGAGAACGGTTGTTCATAATGCTTTATTAAATAAATAAATTAAACAAGAGTTTTAGGTTGAGAAGCGTCTTTGACTTTCTCAAAATCATATTTGAATCTTCTCTGTCGACGTTTTTTTGAAGAAAAAAGTGATAATAGGAAAATAAAACAGATTGAGAGTCTGAAAATCATTAGGCTTGAAAAATCTTCAGAAGAAAGACATGCTGTTACATCAAAGTGGTTTCAATTAATATCTCTTAAAAAGTATATTAGAGTTGGAAAGATTTGTTAAAGAATGAGCAAAGGATTGATATATTTTCTCACCCAATTATGAAAACGGCCATTAGACCATTCGGAAGCCAACGTCGTCGTCTCTTAATGTCAGTCTTCGATATCTCCTTCTTACGAACAACTTCTATTTTTGCTTGCTGTCGATCTAAGAAATGAGGTCCAGCCCATAACTCGCATGAATAAGATCCTCCATCATCGTACTCAATCTGAAAGTATAATCGTTTTCACTGTAGACCATGATCACTCGGTTCTTCATACCTCTGGTAAGAGCAAAATCTGATTATCAGATTTCCAGACAAATCTCAGATCAGTTGGCGGTATAAGAATGTCATTCTTTTTCCATTCTATGCGCTGGTGAGACGTGGAAATATCAGCAGAACAATCCAAGAGCAAATGATCCTTTTCTGTTAGAACAGAATCTCTCAGTGGTTGTTGGAACTTGTTTTCTTCAAATATTTTGATTCACTCAAAATTCTCATCTAATTTCTTACGATAAACACGAAGAGTTGCACTTGCTTGTGCACTTCCAGCATCATTGCTCACATGGCATGTGTAAACACCCTAAAGTTATTAACTATTACCAGGATAAAACTGTTTTCTATGATACTTGATCTGCTAATGTTACGTTCAATACGTATAAATGGTCATCATTGGGACGTACATGTAATCGACGCTCGAAAGCTGCAGGGAATGATTGATCACCATCTTTGGACCATTTCAAGATTGGTGAAGGGACACCTTTGATACGACCTTAATTTAAAAACGAAGATGACAACTTACCTGTAGCAGCGCACATGATTTTCGCATTCTGTCCAACCAACAGCGACATGTCATCAGGTTCATGAACGAATATAGGAGCTTGGCTGACCTGAAAATGAATATAAAACGTAATTGAGAGAACAATTTTTCACGTACTTCTAACTGAGCTTTTAAGCTGAACCCTTTAGCAAACTGGTTGCTAATCAAACATTGATACTCAGCTCGATCTTGTAGAGATACATGATTCAGTTCAAGAATGCTCTCCACCAATACATGCTCAGTGTCTGCAAAGGAAGTCTTTTTTTTGCTTTTTCATTAAAAAAACCATTGAGAACAGCTGCTTTACGATTTTCAATTATTTTTGTCGTTGAATCTTCCACTAATGTTCTCGATTTTCCATTTTCAATGATTTTCCACTTCAAAACGACAATTTCTTCGAAAATGAAAAAAACGAACGCTAACCTCTGTTGTTATGGGAGGATATCCGGTTCCCTTACAAGTAAAACGAGCTGTATCTCCTACTGTCAAATGAACGACAGCTTCAGGATTGGACACAATACGAGCACGCGGTGAGTCATCAACTGTGCAAAGAAAATGAGATACTTCTGCATTGAATACTCACAGCAGGTCAGGTTGGCCGAGTCTATAGACAGCATGTTGATATCGCGGAATATTTTGGGATAAGAACAATGCAATTGAATTTGACTACGGTTTAAGTTCGAAACTGAAAACCATTGAGCGAACCAAGACATGTGGCAGTCACAGAGCAAGAAGGATGAACTGAGTTTTCTGTAATGAATAGTGTCATATATTCTTTGCTCGATTCCCCTACAGTTCCTTCAGTCGAAGAGGTTCGAAAGCCCCTGCGTGAATAGTGGCGATGGGATTGTTGGTCAAATCAAGTTTCTCCAAAGCCGGAAACCTGGCAAAAGCTCTGAAGTACGCAGTAAAGCATCTGCTCCATTAGTGTTGTCATCTATTTACCGACTCGGAACAACTTTGAGCTGATTCGAGGACAGTTTCAACGATCTAAGATAAGGCATGGAAGTATTGTAAATAATTGTTTCTTCTTCCGCACATATGGCCAACGCATTTGCTGATAAATCTAGTCTAAAGTACATACAAATTTGAAAAGAATGAAAAACATTTCTTGAAAGACTCACGTTTTCAAACTATCCAGTGCCGTGAGTGCGGTTTTATGAAGAGTTTCCAAGTAGTTGCCACCCAAGAAAAGATGTTCCAATCGCGGAATGAGACGAAAAGCTCCGGAGGGTAAACTCCGTAGCATATTTCTCTCCATAGAAAGAAACCTGTATTTGTAAAGATATTGAGATTCAATAAGTAGATGAAACCTAAGATTTGGGCTTTGACTCCAAATGTTCGGATCGAATGAGGGAATCTGATTGATAGAGAGATCTCTGAAGTAGTTCAGGTTTATTAACAACACCCCTAGAAGGAATCTCACAAAGTTTGAAGGTTTCCCAAGCCAAAAAGCCACCCGTCCGACACGATATTCAGGCGATTATGAGAAATATTGAGCGATTGAAGGGAATCGCAACCGAAGAAACTGCCATCTTCCAAGCTGGAGAGTATAATGTTTTCTTCGTTTTAGTCAAACATACTCACTTCTGAATTCTGTTTTTGGCTAAATGAAGATCAACTAATGAAGGAATTTTGAAAGCTAAAGCTGGTATGCTCCTTATCTGGTTCCTTGCCAAATCCCTGAACCAACATGTAAAGAGCTATAGTGCAGACGACTTACAAGCTCTCCAAGTTTCTCAAACCTTGGAAGGTATTCCTATCGATGTGCTGGATTTTATTCCTGTACAATCGTAAGGAAATCAAATTAGGAAAACACTGCAAAATATGATGAAAGAAATGTTTTTTGGCATAATTTGTACTTGAAAAGCATTGTTTTGGATTTCATGAATAGAATTAGCAGTTAAATCCCTATAAAAGCATATTTGAGTGGAGAAAATATGTGGTAGAAGGGGAAACTCACAACTTTTCCAAATCAGATTGATTGTTCGCGGAAAAGGACAAGGATGGAATGGAGGCGATTTTATTTCTTGAGAGATCAACGAAACGAATGCGAGAAATTGTTATGAAGTTCTCTTCAGTCAAATTTGAAATCAAATTAGAACTTCTGGAAAAAAAATAAATTTTGGTGAAAATAGGCGAATAAAGCAGACAAGTCTAATCTTTCAAGTGATGGGTGGAATGTCGGAATTACAGCCAGAAAGTTCTTCCGTAAATTTCTGTTAAGAGAATAGGATTAGTGGAAAATGATGAAAAAACTCACAGATATGCCAATTTAATAAAGTTTTGTAGATGACCATCAATTTCTCGTATTTGATTATCAGAAGCATTTCTGCAGCAAAAACGGTTTTGTTTGAAGGATTAGTAATGAAACGCACATGCTAGTTACTTTCTTATGAAGAGAGGACACATTGAAAATCTCTATATTGTTACCAGAAACATCTCTGAAAGCATTCATAATCTCGAATTAATCAAACGCTGTGAATATGATTTTATTGGCTTTCTGATTATCTAATTAGTTCCGGTAATGATGCGATGACAATGACGAAAACAGAAGCAAACAGCTCATTTGCTCACAAAAAATTGTTTTGTCAACAAAGATTTTACAACAAAAAAACTTACATGACATGGATATTGTGAGGGATATTATGAGGGAAGGTGTTCAGTCCTCTTCGGGAACAATCAAGGCGTTCATTCCGGCAAGAACAGAGCGACGGACAAGAAAAGGCAAAACGAATTAGAGAAACTATGAGCAGTAGGAAGAATGGACTACGACGAAACATATCATCATTTCAGAGATAAATATCTGTAAAAAAGAGTTGAAGGAGTGTCCACAACAAACTTCATCAGTGAATAGTACGTTGGTTAAGTATTGCAAAATTGTTTGAAGTTTACAAACATTTCATCTAGGAGCTGGGTGGTACAAGTTGTTTGAGGCTATCACCAACGTAGATGACAATGAATGGGTTATGTATGGCTGTCATCAACAGCTCGAAAGCTTACAAATCGGAATAAATTGAGAATGAAAGTAATTACGAACAAGAAATGACTGAGAATTACGAGCTTGACACTCGAAAGACAGAGCTTGAAACGATTTAATCTCTTCTAGAAGAGGACATTCGCTTAAAATACTAATGAATTTTTGAAATTAAATACTGTTGATAAGCAAATGTTGGAAGCAGACTCTGAGGAACCTAAGTCATAAACTATGACAGATAAGCTTTTTTTTCAGCTCATTACCAACCAGCATAATACACAAGTCTCTCGAGATAGTTACTTCTGGTAGGTATTATGTTAAATTTTGAGCTTTTGTTAAAATTAACTGGAAGAAATCTTTACAATAAGAAAACAACGTAGTCAAGTGACTTCGAAGAGTGCCGATTTGAGCAATCAGATAAAAAGACTCACAGAGCAAACTTCTACCGTATCTGTCGTCGGGTCGAAAATGTCACATATTCTAGGTCAGACGTTAGCGGCGCGTATTGTACGCAATAATTGATAGACGCCGTACAACAGTAAAAGTACCTATGCTTCTACTAATTTCCATAAAACTTATTATGATTTAATACAATTACTATATTTCAGACCAAAATGTCGGACATGTTGAAGAAGTACATGGATAAAATGGATGATTTAGCTCCTTTTATGAGACGGAGCGCTGAAGAAATAAGAGATCTCGATATAAAGGTTTGTGGCTACTGTAGAAGCTATTTCATTTCTTTTGCATTAAGGTACAAGAAGTTATGGTCAATTTAAAAAGTAAAACAGCTATTCATCTCAAAAACTATAAAAAATCAACTCGTGAACAACGAGCTAAAGTTGTTAAAGAAGTTTCGGTACGTTGTTATGAACCTTCAATTGTCTAAAAACTTGTTTAAGGATTTATTTAAAGAAGCTGAGCAGCTCTCAGAGAGAAAAATTGCTTTAGCACAACAGATGTATGATACGGTTGACGGACATATCTGTGAAATTGATAAAAATGTAGAGAAGTTTAATGAATATCAGATTCAAAAGTATAATCAAGAAACAGCTAAGCTAAATGGTAAGCACTAATCACTTACTCATATCATAGTCACGTTTTAGGATGTGTATCACCTAACCGTAAAAGAAGAGGATCACAAGGACGTGATAAAAAAAAGAAAGGGTCTGCTTATCGCACAAATCGTATTGCGGAAACTGGTAAGCTTAGTTTCCTCCATCAACGGAAGCTCAGAACGGTTGCATTCTGTGATCAATGTCATTTTCAGGAGCTATTATGGAGAGCTACAAGCCAAAGCCTTTACAAATTACTCCTGCTTTAGACATGCCCGTAGATCCTTCAGAGCCCATTTACTGTTTCTGTCACCAGGTATACTTTCATGTATCAATGAATTATCAACAAGTTGCCATTCAGGTATCGTTTGGCGAGATGGTAGGATGTGATAATAAGGATTGTCCATACGAATGGTTTCACTTCCAATGTTTAGGCATCTCTGACGTTCCTAATGGTTTGAAGAGAGTTCTTGAACCTTATTGATTTGTTTAGGTCATTGGTTTTGTGACCATTGCAAGGATCCCAAGAATCAGAAGAAAAAAAAATAAATCGGTAGGAAAACTTTGAATTAGCATGAAGGCCCTTGTAATTAAATTGATTAAGCTGTAGTTTTGAGAATGTCCAATCTTGCATCTCCTTTTAATTGTATCTCACTTAGTAATGCCCAAATGAAACGTTTTCAAACATAGAAAAAAAACTATTCATCTCTCCATGTTTGTGAAGAATAAGCATGAGCTTGATTGAAAGCAAGATAGAGATGATGCGAAAGGGAGAGAGAAAGAGAGAGAGAAGCGGCCAATAGTGCTGGGCGATCTTTCTGGATAATGAGAACTCATTGCCTACGGCCTAGCTGAAGAATAAAGGCTATTTGGCTTTTCTATAAAAGGAGGAGTCTAATTTAGCGAATCCTTGCTGTTTTCCATTCATTTTGCGTTCTAAAATTCTTTGAAAACTTAGTTTTTGAATATTCATCGATGATGTTTGAAGACGGGTTCATACTTGCAATCTCATTTTTAACCGCAACGTGTATTATCTCAATTGTTTTAATCTCAGTTTCACCATAATCCAAGTCTTACTTTAAACCATCCTTGAGATTCATTCCTAATTTGTGTGACGATGTTCTTTGCTTGACCGGAATGCTTTTATTTCCGTCCACATTAATAGAAGTATTTTGCCCTACGTATAATTATTTAGGCTGCATATTCTCTGAATTTATTCTCATCTTCTTTCATAATGGCTCTGTGAGCTTTTGCCCTCTCCATGCCATGTGCCTGTCTATTGTGCTTTTCTTTCTTTTTTTTTCATTTATTTCATAGATGTATTTTATCACTTGAAGTTATTGATGTGTATATAAATATCGTACATAGATGTAAAAAAATTGTTCGTCGTCTCTTTCTGTCAATTCCTAATAAATTGAAGGCTGAAGTTTGTGTTTTTTCTTCGAATATCACGCACACACCCGCAATCAACAGTTTGTCTTCCGAAATCAATGCGAGATGTGCCTTTGTGTTGAATTCTTATTCTGTGAGCAGAAAAAAGACAATATGCTTCCGCATCTATCATTCATCCATCTTTCCCACCCTTCGTTTATTTCTCTTTAATCCTGATTACCATTATCTTTTCACCACTTTGTTCTCATTTAAGCTCCGTCTCCAATTTTGTTCGTTCTCACTTGGATTTATCTCGTCAACATGGACAAAGTAGTCTCCATGGATGGTTTCATTTCTAATCCGACTTACGATCTCTCTGTGCACTATGTGGTATTGATCAACCTCAAATTTGTCTCTTTCTCCCTCTGTCTCCCACTTCTTCTCTCATTCCCTTTATCTTTCGTCGTTCTCTTCCAAAATTCTCTGTATAGCTTTTTCTCTCAGCTTCGCTTCTCTTCTCTTCTCTCCCTACTTCTTTTCATCACTCTTTCCCATATACCAACTTGCATTAAAGCACTCGTTCATTCTCAACTCTCTTCTTCATTGCTCTCATCACTTGCATCTCCGATGGCTCGGTTTCTGCTGTCTCTTGGAGCATCACTAGGTTCCAAGCTTTTCTGCTGCACTCTCTTCCTTTCCTTTCTTTCTCTCGATCTCTTCTGCCTAATTTTTCTCCTCTTCACTATTTCTCCTTCCCTTTCTCTCTCAATGAGTGTCTGAATGTGTGTATGTGTGTGGATGAAGCCAAGATGAATAGGGAGTGAAAGCAGAAACAGACGAGTAGAGAATTTGCGGTTCACACTGTCGTGTGCTTGCCGATAGACATGCAGAGAGCTTCATGGGCGGAGGCAAAAGGAATGGAAAAAGAAAAAGCTGCCAGTCTCGGTGTCTTTCTCTTTCACATACACATACACACGCTTACACTTATGTATATACATAAGAAGAGAGGGACAGGTAAGGAGAGATAGAGAGAGTGATATAGAGGGAGAGATGAGAAAGATGAAATTATAGAGAGAATACTTTAAGGAGATAGAAGAGAAAGAGTCAGAGAGGTAGCTAGAGAGGGAGAAGGATAGATAGAGCTAATCGTGAGGGAAGGATAATGACAGAGAGGTAGATGTCGTTTCTAATGCTGCTAGCTTCGCTCCACCTCTTTTCCGCTATTCTCCCGCACCTCATGTTCGTTAGTGAATCTGCTTGTCCAGCTTGGTTCACAATGTTAATCACTTCCGATTGTTCATGGTTCGAATCTTCGTATTTTTCTTAAAAACCATTGTTATACATTCCAACTTATGCTTCTCCTGTCATTGCTTTTTCAAATTTTTTTCGTTGGCTTCTGTGGCATTGGCGGCGGCACACCTCTTGGCTCGTCTCATTATTCCATTATTCTCTTGTCGTCTACGTAAGTTTTCCAAAACGAATAAAAAGAATAAAAGAGTACATGCCAACTAAGCTTCATTGCCCACACTCCCTCATCTTGATTACTTCGGTAGAGTATTTTGGTCTTTATGTTCTTCCTCATTCCACTTTGCTCTCTTTTCCTCTTTTGCTTCTTTATATGGCAATCAATTAAATGTTATTGATTGATCTTCCTTGTTCGCGCATTTTATTTTGAAGAGTAACGTTCTTTTTTATTTTTTTCATGCATTTCAGCTTTTCAACAAACATGGGCCACTGTACGAGTAAGGATCAAAAGGAAGGCAAAAAGCTGAACCGGCGGATAGAGGAGCAAATTAAGAAAGACCAGTCAATGTCGCTGCGAATTATAAAATTACTGCTTTTGGGTATGTTTTGCTTTTCATTACAATTTTTTACATTCTCAAATATCTATTTATATTTTACCATATTTGAACTGAAACAGCTTGTGAACCCATATTAGAGTGGTGGCAGTAACATTTCACCAGAGTTGTGCCATTTCTATTCTAAAATTCCATATAATTCCTTCTTTTTGCCATTTTACTCCTTATTTTCTTATTTATTTATTGTTTTTGTTTCGCTTCTTCTCTCTTCATGTCTCTCTTTCTCTCTCTCTCTCTTTCAGTCTCTTTCCCTTCTAAAAAGTAGCAGGAGGAAACGGCTTTTTCATAATCCGCTAGGCGTGCTGTCAAAAACTTGAAGAAATACTCATGTTCCTCTCTGTTCTATTGCTTTTTTTCTATTTTATAAACTCTGCTCTAGTTAATAATGCTTTAAACAAATAATTTTTTTCTTCAAAAGGAAAAAATTATATATTCGTCTGTGTTAATCAATAGTCGTTAGTGATGAAAACAACCGACTGATTCGAGTGGTAAGACTGTATTGTGCCATGCAAACGCTTACATAACTACCACACAGATGGCCATTTGTATGCGCCTTCAATCAATTTCATTAATGATCTTAGATAATGTTATCACTTGTTTTTTTTTCTTTAATAAGCTTTCTTACTTTAATTCTCATTTTTTATACTACGCACGCGTGTACTTATGACGTCATTCACATGACGTGAATTTGACGTGAACACGCAAGACGAAGTTTCTTATTTCAATTTCTCTAAATGACTTGAACGGTTGCATTCAGACAGACGTAGCACAGAATTTTCTCTTATCACTCAAGTAAGTGATGGATTTCTTGTCATTCCTGCAAATTCACACACCCCGAAAGCTCAAATATTAAAGGTTGAAAAGTCTTTTTCTTCTTTTTTTTTCCTCATTTCTCTGAAGGACATGAGATCAATCGAAGAAGTACTCAGTAAGGCTAAATCCAGCTTTCCCTTAATGCCAACTTTCCACAATTTCGTGTAGCTAAAGGCGAAGCGGTATGAAAGGACAACGAAGTAAAGATTTTGAAAGGAAGATATTCAGTTGAAACTCATTTAAGCCTGATATCACTTGGATTGAAACTTCTTTTAAACAAAATCTTCAGCACTTTATTCGTATTTACTCTCAAATCGACCTTTAAGAGCTTTTTGAAGAAGAAAATATGTGAAGCAAAAAAGAAAGAAAAGTCTTAAAAGAAGAAAATAGAAGAAAAAAGAAGAAGAAGAAGATGAAGGAGGAAAAGGTTTTTCTTTGAGAAAAAATCGTCAGACATCCCTTTAATCTAATCAAGCAATCTCTGATGATTGATTTGATTGGAAATTAAGAGAAAAAAGCTTTTCGTCCTCTCAGCTTTTTTACACTCTGGTAAAAAAGCACATTAGATGAGCTGAATGAAAAGGGATCAAAGTTGAAAGTAGAAGTCAGCAGCAATGTTCGTATGAAAGAAGAAGAAGAGGAGGGGGGGGGGAGATGAATCGTCTTGTGTTCTAATTTAATTCTGACTTCTTCTATTGGAACATTAACTTGAAAGCGTTCATCTGTAAACGTTTTCTCATTTATCTTCCATTAATGATCATATTTAAGTTTAATTTTTGCTGGAAAGAAGATGAAAAACGTTCTTTTCATCTTTCACAAGTTCATGTGTGGATGTAGTGCATACGTCAATTGCTTCCATGTCAAGGCTGCCTCCGGAGTAGATAATTGCCTGAGGGCACAACCTATCAGTTGTCGTCCAGAGAGCCTCCTTCGTTTACCACCCTCTCATTCATTCTCTTCCTCTCTACATCTTACTCTCTTTCTCTATCTATCCTAATCGTTTTGTCTTCTCGTTTCATATCTTCTCCTCTTTTATATTATTCATGATCCTCTAGTGCTGTCCAGCAGTAGTCTTTCTGGATCAATTTGACACCTCAACAGCTGATAAAACGAGATCCGTTTTCTTCTCCTAATCTAGTTTTACTCAGCTGTCGAAACATGAGGGAAATGATGTAAGATTTCAAATATCCAACACTCAAAATTATTAATTTAATTCACGATTGTTTTACAAAATTTGTCGAAAGCTCTCCAAATTTGGAAGCATTGGAATGAGCATGAAAGACAGAGGGAGGGAGAAGGCGGGAGAGAAAGAGAGAGAAAGAGAGAGAGAGAGAGAGATTGAATGTTGTTTTGCCTTTACTGGTCGGAGTTTCGAGGCAATATTTTGTCATTTTGATGAATGAATATTATTACTTATGAGCAACCTCAACAATTGAAATTCTTAAATGGCTCTAAAATCATGAACAAAAGACTTTTACTTAAACTTTTCCGACACATTTTTGACAAATTCAATTTTTGAAGTCGTCTTCCAAGTTCGTCTGCTTCTTCTCCATCTTCGTCTGTTTTTTTGCGTAGGATGATGCCCGCTCAAAAGGAGATGGAAGGTAGTTGAAGTGAGGAGGAGAAAAATAAAAAAAAAGAGAGCAAAAGCTCAAAAAAATTTGCATCAGCGTCAGCTTTCCGTCATAACAAATGATCAAATTTGGCTTCTGATATCCTTCTAATTTCCTGTTTAACGCTGTTTTCGTTTTACATAATTTGCCAATGTTTTTTTTTTGTGTTGAAGTTTCATGGAAAATCTTCTTGTTGCAACATTCTTGCCTATATAATCTGATTGTGTGCGATGATATGGAGTTGTGTGTTATGCAGTTCAGATTTGATACAGCAATACATAGGGATCTGAGAGATGACAGCAAAAGCTGAAAGTTGTTGATGAAGCTTCATAAGAGAAGTAGCCTCATTAGCTTCTTTTTTTTGGGACTTTTTCTCTCATCCCTCTCTTCTTATTCTCACAAGGAAGAAACGAGATATAGCCAGAGGGCGAAACTCACACAACTAAATAGCGAATATGACATCTATATTTGAGAACTGAAATATGGCAAATGAATACTCACAAGCTGTTGAAAACAGTTAAGAATTTATTATTTTTGCTGTTCATCTGTTGCTTCAAACGTTCGTCACATGCCCTTGCCTCATGGCAATCTAATGCCTTTTTTTTCTCGATAAAGTCGCATTGAATGTCCCCGCGAAAAATCTCTTGATATTTTATTCTTTTCTCTCAAACTAACTTTACTTCCTTTCCACATTCTCTTATAGTTTACTTCATTTCCGAGAACGTGCTAGGGAAAAGCAAATCATTCACACAAAATTTATTCTTCTTCAATCTCATTTTCACACCTACATCAGCCATCTGTTTTGTTTTGTATAACAGTGATGGAGTAGTAAGATGGTGATAAAGCAGGAGAGATAGATAGATCAAGAGGAAGGGAGGGGAAGAAGGAGCAAGGAAAAGCTCTATGATTCTACATTGTTAACAAGCACTGACGAGTATCTTCGAAAGTTATAAAAAGACAAAAACCTTTCTGAACTTGCAGCGCTGATGATGTTTGGTCCACTCAACGGAGCACCATTGAAGTTCATGGAAAAGTATTCATAAAAACTAAAGAAAAGACATGAGAAGATGACTTGCACTTCTAAAAGTTTTGAGAGAAAAAAAAATCAAAAAAGTAAAACAACTTTCGGTGGTTTCTCAGTTGTTCTCTTATGACGTTCGCCTTTCTCTTTTACATGACTTGTCGTTAACAATTACATGATAGAAAAGAAGGGAAATGGAAGTAGAAGAACGAATTGGAGGGAAAAGGGATAAATGCGAAGGCGACATTTACTTAATTCATTTTCATCTTTCAAACTCTCCAACTGAAATTGCTTTGAGTAGGATTAGAAGAAGTAATTGTCATTGATAATTGTTCCTTTGTTCCTTCCAGGGTTTGTTCCTATTCCACCTTATTGGCAAGCTTAAACTTCGTAGTTTCAAATGAAAAAAGAATCCATATAATACATTCAGCTTGACCATTCCTCTGCTTGCGCTCTCATTGCTTGCTCTTCTTCTCTACTGGCCTCTCAAACTCTCTCCCTCTCTCCCTCTCTTTCTCTCTCTCTCTATGTTCTCCTAATTCAAAAAGCTAGAATTGGATGTAAAAAAAACTTGGCCTAAAATGGCCGGGAGAAAGAAGAACAAATCAAAGTCAAAAGAATGGACTAAAATCAGCTTATTTGTCAGCTGTATGAGCATTAACAGCTGAAAAGATCTTTCATAGCCAGCTGTTGTTCCACTTAAACAGAATTAGTTTTTAGCTTTGACGTAGTAAACGTTGACGAAGAAGTAGGTGAAGTGAAAAAAATGAAGAGAGAGAGAATGAAACATATTCATATTGAAGTAAATCGTTCGGATTTTGATCATCAGGAATGAGATGTGCTCACGATAATGAAATGAAGGGCGTTTGATGTTCGCTCTTCTAGCTAACTAAATGATGTTACTGGAAGACTTTTTTGTTTCATCTTTCATCATCTCATGTACTCATCGGAATGTCCTTATTACTTCATATTCAACAAAAGGCATGTTTTCGGAAATGTATTGAAGAAAATACGTGCCAAGATTAGCGGAAGTTCCGGCCAGTTGGCGGACGCTAAATCGTATTTTGTTTGCATTTTGAAAAGGAAAATCAGTTGAAGAGTGCATGGGTGGTAATGAAATGCTCACTTCTTTGTATATTGAAGTCAAATAATAATTTTACTCAGAATAACGTTCTCTTACAGCTTCTTAGAGATGAAGAGACTTTTACCTCGGGTTTTTTTTCATCTTGCCATTATTAGCTTCTCCGTTACTATGAGCTTTTAATATACGTAGATATGTATATTTGGTGTATGTACTTTATATGTGGGAAAAGCCACATGAATATTGGGAAGGGACGAGTAGAGTAGCGAGTGGGGGAGGAGGGAGAGAGAAGAAGAAGAATGCAGCAAAAGGGAGGGAGAGAGGGAATGAGCAAGCTGAACATCGAAAAAGAAGAGAATAAAAGAAAACGTAAAGAGGGAATGGCCTGATGACAGACACTACCAAATATAAAGGCTGTGAGCTGAGACCCAAAGAGAATATGTAATGCAGCTAACTCCAAACGCTTTTAATGGAGAAGCTTCAAACATCCCTGTGTTTCTGTCGAGTCATATACACAAGATTTCCATTTATGGAAATTGGAAGCTGAGCTGTGAGTGTGGGCGATGAAAGAATGAAGCCTTGTTATGACGTTTATAAGTGCGATGAGCATAAAGTTGTTGCAAAAGCTAAAATAAAAGAAGTTACAAATGAAACGATCACTTAGAATGTTTCATTCGACTTTCATACTTCAATTAGAAACCATATCTTCATCTAGCCAAGTAGAAAATTGATCTTTCTTGACATTCCTTCTTTTCATTTGACAGGAAACAGCCATTTCTATTCAGAAAAAAAAATGATTCTGATCTGAAAAGTAAAAGTTTGAATGGGTGTCGGAAAATCCGGATACAACCGCTCCTGCAAGTGCGTAAAGTGTGATCTGAGAGCTTGCATAGCCATATTGATTCAAGAGCTACGTGGCATCCATTTTATTCTAATTAGGGGATAGACAGGGTGGAGTATCATTGAGCAGACTCTTCTCATTATATGCAATCTAGAGAGCGGATGGAAAGGTGTATATTTGTTCGTTTCTTCACTAAAACTTGAAGCTCATAATTGTAACTTGAGGTTGCTTCTCTTCGTTATCGAATATGTTACACAATCGCATGTGAATGGCATTTTCTTCTTTTTATGCAAATTTCACTACTTAGTGTCATTTTGTGCTTTTAAGTAATTCTTGCCCTGTTACTTCTGAATCTTTCACATCGCAAGATCCTAGAGATTAATTACATGTATACTTTGATTGAAACCTGAGATTCAATTCGAAAGCTGAGAAGAGTTGTTAGTCAGCATAGAAATTTGAAAAAATATATTTTCTCGCTTTTTTTTTCAAAAAGCTAAAAAATGGGTTTATCGTGTACTTTTTTTTGTGGAAACAGGAAAAAGAATGAAAAGTGCGTGAGAGGTCAGTAAAACACCCCCTCTCTATGACCGGATATAGAGGGTATCCTTTTGAAATCTTCAAGTGTATCGTTACTCGAAATAACTTCTTCTTGAATGTTCGGGAAAAAAAATTTTTTCGGAAAAGATGATAAAATGTAAAGTAGTAAAGGAAAAAAGCTTCAGACGATTGCCCTCGTTGTGCTTTTTTGGTTTGTTCTTCTCCTCCTTATTTCTCTAGCTCTCTTCGACTTCAGAGTTTTTTTGGTCCTGGCCTCTGTCTATGTATCTGGTTTGATTGCATCCCTAACTGCCTCATGTTTCTGCATTCCTATGCTCATCAAGTAGTGTTTTCTTCAGAGCTGACATCTCTCATTGTTCGTTACTTCATCTCTTTTTTTTTCTCTACTCGCCTTGGCATTTTTGGTCTTCTTTTTTCTTTTCCCACTCCAACAAATCAACATCATGAAAAGCCGATAAAGGCTGTCAAAGAGAAGGGGGGGGAGTAAGGCTGGAAAGAATGGTGATGTAGGGAAGAGAGAGAGAACAACATCGAATAGAAATGAAAGGGGGCTACTAGAAGCTACTTGAGTGAAACATCATTGACGAACTCAGGACAGTATTCGAAAATAAGAGAAGAAAAGACAGAAAATGATGAGGAAAACGTTGAACAAAATGGCTATCTCCATTTCCATTTTCACATTATGTTGTGTTATCCGAGTTGAGTCCGAATGATTCGCTTCCTCTCTGTGTCGTATCTTTGTCTTTGCGAAGAAATTTTATCGAATTGCACTAATGGAATATCACCGTTCAACAGGAAGCGAATCCTAATGAAAGCCCCATACATCTGAAACTATACGAATCACGACATGAGCTCGTTTGTATACGTTCATCCTTTTTTAAATTCTCTCTCTTCATCTCTCTCTCTCTCTCTTTCTTTACTCGGTTGAACATTGTTGTTACTGACGGCGGCATAGAGGAAAGGAAAAAAAAAGAAAAGAAGAAGCAAAAAAATGGGTCTGCAGCTACAAATATTCCTGAGAAACGTCGTATTGACAGACGAACTGTTAGTCTTCTAAATTATCATGACTAAAATTGAAAAACACATTAGCAACTTGGTTGTCTTGTTTGTTCTGCTACGATAGGGACCTATTAGTAGTTTGAAGATTATAATTTTTCCCATGAGAATAGCTTTAAGACATGATCTTTACTTTCTCAAATATTATGATAAGAAAAAGCTTGAAGAAAAAAAGAAAACGAAAAAGCAACGAAAATGGTCTTAGACAGCATTTTCTCAAGTTTGATCTACTCTTTTCATTGTTTTTTTCAACTTTTGCTCTGTGTCCTACTAAAGCATTAAATTTGCAAAATTTGAACGGCAAAACAAAGAAAAACTCGTAAAAAGTCTTTTTGAAACGACGAAACAGCAACATACATACACACACACGAAAGCACACATGAAAGACCAATGGAAAATTATATTTTTTTGACTCTGCTTCTCATCATCAAAACCTATCCCCCCCCCCCCCCCCCCCCCCCCCCCTCTCTCACCTCCAAAAAACAACAACCACCAAAAAAACCACAGGGAAAAGATTTTTTTTTTGCTCTGTTTCTCTATACTCAAAACCCTCCCCCCCCCCCCCCTCATCTCTCTCTTACCACACCAACATCATGGTACACACATCATAATTTCATGAAAAGAAGAAATCATGTTTGTAGTTAATTCGATTGCAACAGGAGCATGCTGGTTCCAAGAAAAACTTTAATTTATAAAAGATAAACATTCCTCCTTTCTTCTCTCTTTATCCAATCTTTCCAACCTTTCTCTTTTCTCCTCCTATCCCCCCACACACACGTAATACAGCCCCCCCCCCTCCTCTTCCTCTCCTGGGAAGACGGGAAGTTTGCGTTCACTCAGCTATTTTGGGATTTTTTAATTTTAAAACAAATTTTAATAATCTTTCATATGTTTTGGTTGTTTGCAGGAGCCGGGGAGAGTGGAAAAAGTACAATATTAAAGCAAATGAGAATTCTTCACAAGGTTCGTATTGGGATGATGAAGAAGAAGAAAGAATCAAATATATCTTGTCTATATATGGACATTTAGGATGGTTTCTCAGTAGAAGATCTCGAAATGATACGACCAGTTGTTTATTCAAATTGTATCCACTCAATGATTTCCATACTTCGAGCCATGTTCCATCTGCAAATTGAATATGCTGACACAGATCGTGTGGTTGGTACATGACAATAGAATGAGATAAACAGATAATCTGATTGTAGAGAGACAGTCAACTTGTTTTTGCGACTGTTCATGCAAATAAGGAAGAATTAACAGAAGAATTAGCTGCAGCGATGCAAAGATTATGGGCTGATGAAGGAGTTCGAGAATGCTATCGTCGTTCAAACGAATATCAAATAGATGATTCAGCCAAGTAGTAAGTTATCTTCAGCTTACTCAGTATCTCTTACGCACTTTATCTTTTCAGCTTCTTAGACAATCTGCAACGTTTGGCTTCCGAAAAATATGTTCCGACAGAGCAGGATCTACTTCGTACACGCATCAAAACAACCGGAATAACAGAAGTTTTATTTGAACTGAAAGGATTAACATTTAGGTATTGCAAACTTCCATTCAAGAAGTAGTTCGAGCTTTTTGCAGAGTAATTGATGTTGGAGGACAGAGATCTGAACGAAAGAAATGGATTCACTGCTTTGATAATGTGAATGCTATTATATTCATTAGTTCCTTGTCTGAATATGATCAAACGCTTCGTGAGGATAATTGCACGGTAAGCCCTATAGCCATTATCATTTTATTCTTTTTTTTTTGTTTTGTAGAATCGTATGCAAGAAAGTTTGAAGCTTTTCGATTCCATATGTAATAGTCCGTGGTTTGCTGACATTCACTTCATTCTATTTTTGAATAAGAAGGATCTGTTTGCGGAAAAGATAACTCGAAGTCCTTTAACAATATGTTTCCCTGAATATAAAGGACAGCAAAATCAATCGGAATGTATCAACTATATCCAATGGAAGTTCGAACAACTCAATCGGTTAGTTTCTCTTCAATCATTCCTCATCTCTCACACGAACATGAATTCAACGATTACAATAGCTTTCAAAGTTTGTGTTGTTTCTTTTTCCAAAATTTGTAACGTTTTTCTGAACGGAATTACAACACATCCTTTCTACAGCAAATTTCTTTTTGAATCGAAAAAAATGAAACACAACCACTGAGTGCGAAAAAAAAATTGAAATGAACTGCATGGTATGCAACGGCCATTAGTCTGTTTAACAGTCTGCGCGAAAATATACGATCAACCTGAGAACTCATCCGAACTCAAAGTTATGAACACATTAAATATTATTTTATTTTCAGTTCGACACAACGTGAAATATACTGCCATCATACGTGTGCTACAGATACTAATAACGTGCAGTTTGTATTAGACGCCTGTTTAGACATGATCATAGCCAAAAATCTGAAAAGCATGGGACTTTGTTAGCAAAAATTTATTTGCAGCTAGTCCGTCAGTATTCAATTACATATATTATCGTTATCGTTGTCTTTATTAAGTTAGTATATGTATTATATCTTGATTCAGGTAAAAGATACAATATTCACCATCAAACTAATCGAATCATGATGGCGTTCCGACTTTGATAGCTTTCCCATACAAAAAATAATTTATGTGATTAGGCTAACCAAAGTATCTTTCCAATCATCAAAATGTCTTCTTTCACCTTAATGGAACAGTTTTATTGCCAAAAATGATTTCATTAAGATATCATCCTCCTCATCTTTACATTCGTCTATGAATGTCGTTTACTCACTGCTTGAAATCACTTGAAGTATTACAATTCCTGATATCAAGAATATGGAGGAAATTGCTTACAGTTCCAGCGTCTCACATAGTTTTTCCCCGTCTCTACTCTCTTTCATACCACCTTACTTATCTGTCAAAACATATACATATATATTTCGATATATATAAGTATGCGTCAAAGCTGAAGTTAGATGCTATGATATTACTAGCTCATATTCTACTTCGCTATCTTTTCATTAAGATATTCTATTTGACTATGTGGTACGTCGTATTGTGATATATTACATTTTGATCGTCTGTCCCCCACAGTCCCGCTCGCACCGCACAGTATTGTAAGGCTTATCCTGTTGTAATTATCGAACTATGTGGCTTTGCTCTCTTCATCTTCTAGATCTCATCCTAATGAGGAAAAAAGAAACGCCAATTATTGTTATGTATAGCTTTATTATTCATTATTTACGGTTACTTATTATGTTTAATATTAATCCGTTGACATCTTAAGAATTTGAAATCATTTTTCTTTTATGAAAACATTTTGTAAATAAACAAAAGTGATATGCAAAGAGATTTCCTTAATAAGCTCACAGATCACGAAATAATTCTCCTAGAAAGTAACACAGATCGCTGTCCAAGAACTTGACACAAAACATTATGCTCAACATTCCCAATATCACAGTTTACAAATGGTTTCGTCTCGAAGCAAAAAAATCTACAATCTTGTTCATGTTCTCGACTTTCCCACATTCTACTTTAGCGGTAGTAATGTCGTTCTCTATCTCTTTCTTAAGCTCATCTGAAATGTAGATGATCATCAGATGATTTAGTTCTGGACCAGATCCTGTATTGACACTCACCTAAACCGGAAAAACTTCGCATGTCACGAATCCGTCCAACAACTAAACATTCTACATTGGCTCCATAGAAGTCGTTATCGAAGTTATGAATGAAGTGCACTTCCTTCAAAAGGTCATTTTATTAATACTATAATAGAGGATTAGAAGAAACCACTGTTCGTTTCTCGTTTTTGAAATGAGGATTCCAACCGATGCTCAGCACAACATCATAAACCTTGAAAAAGATTAAAATTCAATTCCTGTATATTATTTCACCTGCCCATTATTCACTCGTCCATAACCATAATAAACCCCGCAAGAGATGGAAGGATTGAGGTTGGAAACCACGTTATCATCCATATTAGCTTAATTTTTCAAGATTTGTAGTTATCAGAGAAGGAAAGGAAACCTGTGGGACAGCCGAGATCTTTGCCACCGCGACCAAACCCAGTCACTACCTTACCTTCGAAATGGAACAGAGTGTCATTCTGAGCCATTCTAAAAATAATTTGAAATTAATATAACGGTGTTAAGATATAAGAAAGCAAAATAATGACGGCATAACCAAATAGGGTAATCTTTGATCTCTTCGAATAGATTTATTAAAGGCAAATATTAATTTAGGAACCGGTATTATTAACTCTCATCGAGCTGTTCTGAGTGTCCAGGAATTGGACAGCGAGAGATCTGATATGGGGATGTACATGAGCTTCAGTGAAATTTTCGATTGTTGGACGGGCGGACTCCCAATCCTCTTTGCCAATGTCAATACGAATGAAAATATCGGGCAACCTAAAAAATATTCAAAAACTTTAAACTCAGTGAAAGAGAAGACGTTCATACGTTTTCAATATTGTTTCCAGCAGCTTGAATCGAGAAGAGTACACAAAGAAGCTTTTGGTTTTAGCTTCCTTTACGAGCCATTTGTTCAACTGAGGCCATAATTCCCTTATGATTCGTTGAGAAACGAAGGTGTTAGAAACAATGGCCATTTCATGTATCACCTTGAATGTATATGGATTCTATGGTAATGATTCCTACAACTTACCAAGATGGAAACTCGCCATACGTCAAACTCTTCCTTATCAAAACGTCTGATCAATGTCACCCAGTTTTGGTGGACCATAGGAAGGAGAGTGTTCTCAAAATTTCTCAGAAAATGAAGTCCTTCTCTGAGTATTTCTGTGACCACAATCTGAACTGGTATATGAGGTGAAGACAACAAGTGTTTTGTCCTGAAAACTATTATTTCATAATATTATCATATGCTGATCTCACATTTTCAGAACGGATTCAACAGAACATGCGGCAGGTGGAAGCGGCAAGCGTTCCACTTCTACTGGATGATAATCGTTTATGTCATCTTCCGGAATACTCTTAGGCTCAGGAGGTTCTTCGAACACTATTTCTTCTTCCAAATCGGGAAACCAACGATTCATGGCTTTCATGTATGATCGGAGGGCTCGAAGGACACCTAAAGTCCATTGCTGAAATTTAAAGCTAGAGAATTATTTATAAAAGTTGTAATACCTGATAAAAAGATTCTAAACCATTCAACATGCTTTTAGTCACAAATTGAACATGTTCAAACATCTTTGAATCATTCACAACATCTAAGAAAGCCGCTAAAGCTAAGGGAGCTTCAACATAATGATTGGCGTAGAACGATGAACGCATTGCTAGAGTTATTCTGTTCACAATGTACACGGCATTAGTTAGCATGTAATCAGATACTTGTTTCTCAGAATGCTAAAACCGAGAAATCAACTCAAATTGGTGATCAAGGCAAACCTCAGCTAGTACATTGAGACAAGATTCAGCGGAATCTTTTATCAACCAATTTGGATGATACGTTAGTTGCAGCAACTTGTAAAGCCCATTGATTAGTAACTGAAACTTCGAAGATAGTTTTCGTGCAAAAAAAAACTTGAAGAACCTTTTTCGAGGTTGAGCCTTCGAACAGATGCTTAGAACAAGATGCTAAAACACAAAGTGATGTAATGGATAAAACTGTTTCTTTTGGAGGTGTTTCAGTAGCATCTAAACCAATAGCGTTAATAACGTTGATAATGAAGAAGCTATCAGACCTTCTACTTTGTCGTCTCTGATATACTGTGGGATCCTGATTCCGTCAACTTCCACTAAGAAATGCTCAACGCAGAGTGAAACTGTGTCTGGGCTAATTCTATCTTTCACGAACTGAGTCTCCAGAATCAGTAAAGAGATGATGGAGAACGCTATTTTATCACTTAAATCACAATTTGCGATTTCTGTTAGTAAAGCATCCAATGCCTGAATAGAAAATAGAATTTAAGAGCTGATTCGGAAACTGCTGACCTCATCACAAGCAACAGCGGAAATCTCTTTGCAAATAGAAGCAATGTCGTCCATTCCTACGCCAAACTGCAGAGGCAATGAGAGAATGATCTCTAAATAGTACTGATTTATCAATTAAACTTGCAGCTTTTTCAAAAACCTTTGATTGGTAATGTCTTGAAATTCCTTGAAACACTAAGTCTTTTCGTGTCCACTCGGATCGTAGAAGCCAATGATCTGATCAATTGTACAGAAGACGGATTTCGAGAAGACAACAAAATTCCCAACTCGGATCCCAAGCATGTTATCAGAGAACTCATCTGCAGACAAAACCATATTAACAGAAAATTTGAACATCATGAATACTTGAGCGAAAGAAGTGGTTGTTTGTGACGATTGACGTATGGCATTAGGGAGCTTTTCACTGATTGATACCGTTTTCTCATACATATACCTGGAGAACCGACTAGATTTTTCCTTTTTGATTGTTTCCAAGTGAATATGAACATTTTCCGCTATCCTGTAACAAATGAAACATAGTATGAAACTAGTATATAGAAATATTTTAAATGACCCATATCAAGGCCTTGTAGGTGATGTTCAATTTTTATGATAACCAATCTAATGACTTTGATTTCAAAAGGAAAGATATAAACCTGTCAAATGGATCCCGGCACAACAAAAGAACAAGATCAAATAGAGAGTTGTCAAGTGTTTCCCGGAAAAAAACTCCACACTTATTATGAATTGTGTAGGTACTATTGAAAATCTTTTCTCGAATGATAGCATCTCTGTGTGAACAACTACGTGAGATCAATAGGCTCACCTAGAATATTAGAGTTAAAAAACTAATTATATGAATCCACTCACGGATGATTGTAGCTTAGAACGGGCAATATTCATCCACTCTTCCGATCTCTGTATGTTCAACTTTTTCTTTTCAAGCACTGAAGATTCGGGGAACTCTGTGATGCCAACGACTTGATCATTGAAGCCGTAAAGAATATATTCAGTAATCACCTGAAAGTAATGATCATAAGTGAACAACGCTTCTAAATGATTACATCGATAGACTCCTCAACAATTTTTATATTTTCCGTTGGGTTTGTCGATACTTCTATGAGCTTAGCCAGCAAGCCAGGAATAACGGTAGAACAACCTTGGAGATGCAGGTACTCATCATCGGATACCAATAAACGAATAATCTTGAGGCAGTTCATCCTGGAATGAAGAACAGAATCTCAACAAAAAGGATGTTAAGTACCTGGAGTCACAGTTGTTGCTTTTGTCTGCAGCTATTTCAATACAAGCATATACGAGTGCCCCAAAGATGGGTAAACCTTCGGGCTTTCCTATCTCTAATACTAAAAGTGAAACAGGTATAGAAACAAAACGTACCTTCCCAGCAAAGCCGCATACGACTCACCATAATCATTAGCCTTAGCAGACCTGTCGAGAACAGATCTACATCTGAGTTTTCTTTTGGAGTGACTGATAGTAAACAGGATAGCAAAGGCTTTATGTGCTCTCCCCATTTGAGAGAACATTTCTTAAAAGTTTATATACTAAATTAAATTTGAACAAGATATTACCGTATTTTCCGTTCTCTCACAAACTACTCCTATTATTTGAAATATTTTTGAACCGTGTTCGCCCCACTTCGATTTCGAGACAGCATCATAAGCAACAATTCTAAGTGTTACAAGTACAGCAGTACGAACAGCCTCCCATTCCTCTTGTGTAGTCATCGGGAGACCTTCTTAGAAAAACGACAAACTTGAGGCATAAACAGACATAATGCATAACCTTACCTTCGAGAAGATAATAGAGAACATCTAATATACTTTTTATACATTTTCCTTCCCGTTGAAATAGAATCAGTTTATGTAGGATTCCCTCGGCACGTTGGAAGACTACACCCTCCATCTATACTGGGCCGAAAAAAAGTTCATAATGCGATCTGTATAGATGCATCTCTTCCTGAGATATGTGATTGCTCCAACAAAGTAAGATGAGCATATTTGAATAAATATATTTATACGTTATCATCATGAGCAAGGCTAAAGTAATAAGGCAGTAAGCGAAATGTACAAATTAGTTCCTACGCCGAAGTACGAGAAAGGAGAAAAAGGGAACTCTCGCTCAGTATGAAGAATCAATGTGAAGGATGTGTATTATTATGACTATAGGTGACAAGATTCAAAACTGAAAAATTCGAACAAAAAATTCAAATGCATATCACACAGTATAAGTAGCGAGAGAAAAATAAATTAAAATTTCTGCTGTCTATTATTTATGAAAGGCAGTATGGGTACTGAAAAATCAGAAACGACCCACATACCGATTTTGCGCGGATTGCTCGGGTAAGAGATCATAATAATCGGGAGGATATGTTTTCCCTTGACCAACAGCCCATTTCAATATTTCTCCACCTTTTCCCGTTATAGGTGCTGACTGAAATGATCACTTGTTTAAAGAAACTTTTAGAGTAACATACTTCATGATAAGAGACTAGATCAAACAGGTGTTCATGAACAACCTGATTCGTTCCAAGGAACTGATAACCTTCAGGAATACGTTCTACAAGGAAGTGTTTGAACGTTCCATCACCGACAACATAGGAAACAGTATAGCTTTAAAAATTTTGTTATAACTGTCATTTTAACATGATACTAACCCCCATATCCTTTCGGAGACTCGCACTAGGAAAGAACCAGTAGGTTTATCAAGAAGCAGAACTTCTGCTTGATCTCTGGTGATTATACCTGAAACATTGTACTACTAAAGAACTATTCAAACAAAACACTCACCATGAAACCAAGGTGCAGGAGCTTTAGTTTTAGGATCCATTCCAGTGCCTTTAGGTAACTCGGTTCCGCGGAACCACGTGACAATAGCTTGTCTCGATTTTGGTTTCGGCGGTCTTGGCAAATTCCGTCTACATAATCATGACATAACTATTCCAAAAAAAGTAAGAAAAAACATACATCGCTTCACGGAGTGAAGTAGCTTTGGTATCTTTTAACGCCGGCAATATTGAAGTTGATGTTCTTATCAAGAGTTGATGCTGCTCACGAGCTTTCTGCGCCATTTCACGCATAGCTGCTTCGGCTTCTCTAGCTCGTTTATCTGTTAACATTGTTATAAGACTATTCAAGTTCACAGAACAAACTTTGTAGTTCCCATTCCATACGCTGTCGTTGAGCTTCAGCTTCTGCTTCCCGGTTAATGCGCTCTCGTTTCTCCTTAAAGATAAGAAATGTTATGAGCACTTTTGTTGTCGAACCTGTATGCTCTGGAAGATTTCCGACTCTCTTTTCTGAACGTCTTCATCCTTGGAAGCACTTGGATTGTTATTGCGGAACTTCACATCTATCACGTTGTTATCACCGATCAACTCATATTGTGTATTTTGATTAGGCGTCTTCAAATGTTCAATAGTAATTAACATAACAGATTAGTCAAAAACCTGTGGCTTAGGAGGAATCGATGGTCTTGCAGGTCGAACTTCAGCCCTCTGTGGTTGTGGTGTGTTATACGACGAAACTTTTGTAACGATGGGTTGATTAGGATCATTTCCATTTGCTGAAAATCGTAAATTAGCATAACCTCCGGATGATTATCTCATTAAGACTTTCAATTTACGAGAGAAAGTTACAAATAATATTAATTGCGGCAGAATAAGCTTAACGAATCCATATTAGAAAAAAAATTACCTCGGAGATGGGGAGGTTGGAAAAGCATAGGATAGTTCGAATCGAAAGCATTATCCGCATTTTCATACATGGAGTCCTGAAAACATCATAACTTAAGACTTTGATACTTTTAGTTACCGTTACGCCGACACGCATGTTCCCTAACTGAGCTTTCAACGCTTCTTCCTGTGGGATGGCAGTAAAGTGATCGTTTGAAGTCGGTAAAGTGAGTTCCCTAATAGCTCTTTGGTGAGCTTCGCGTCGAGCCTGCAACATGGAGTCAAATTTCTTCATCTATAAAAGCACTCTCACCTCATCCTCCAAGATTTCCTCTATGCTGGGATCACTAGGATGCTCGCCCATCACCCAAACCCAAACATCACCGTCAGTTCCCTGCCTCCATCTGTAATGAAACGAATAGGTTATATTCCGCTGTTTTAACATACTGTAATCTTCTCTTATTTGGGTCTCTTTTTGGAGGACCTTTCATTCTTTCTTCAAAAGCTTCCCATTTCCGTACCTTAAGCAAGTAAGATAAAAAAAATCTCGAAGCACATGGAATACCTGTTCCGCCCGCATTTGACAGAAAAGAAGTTGTTTCTGCTCATCATCGAGAGCATCTAATAACTCTTTATCTACATGGCCCTATAATCGACTTTCACAATAATTAGAAGAGCGATGAACCTACCGTCGCAAGAATTTCTGATAATATGCTCATGACTACAACAATAAGAATCGAACGTGATGATAAACGTATTTCAACTCAAAATATACAAAACCATGAACTGAAACATCATACAATCAATGAACAACGATGAAACATAAGTGATAATCAAAAAGAAATAAATTCAGAAGAGTATGATTAAAGGAATGTGCTAGTGCCACGGGGCCCAATTGCAAAAAATAGGGAATTTCCGTCAAGAACTAAAGAAGAATTTCAGTGAAAGACAGCTGTTGAAAAACTTTCGGACAAAACAAAGAACCCTTGGGCATTAGCAACTTTTGAACTAGTTCATTATTCTGCAAATTGAATTAAAACTTCCGAAACTTTAAAATGAAAGCTACTGAGTATAACGTTTTCATGTACTGAGCAGTAAAATGTGACAAATAGGGTTGTAAGCTATCACATTTTAAAATTTTGACAATACAGAAATGAAAACAACAAGGGGTTGGGCTGTAGACGAATAGTGATCGGCCGACTCAAGCACATGCACACAAAAGGAATTCAATCGCCGCACAAACAAGATCCAGCGGCAGTGGTTCTTGATGATTGTACAGAATAGGAGAGACTTCGAGAAGTATACAGAGAAAAGAGATTCCAATGATAATGAGAAGTGCTTCGAGATTCATGAAAAAAGGTGCTAAAATAAGAGTAGAAATGGGTCAATAAAAACTGTGGGGGAAGGGGGAAAAGCAAGGCAGTAGTAGATGATTTTGAATAATAGCGATTGAAGAAGAATAAAAGAATTCTCTTTCAGAATATGATGCTAAATGTACATCATTAGTTAAAACAGGAAAAGACAAGACGGGTAAAGCTACGAGAGGACCAACGTGTACAATGTCATATATCAGAACAACTAGAAAGCTAGCTAGATAATCCAACGCTCAAAACATTAAATAGAAAAACAACAAAAAGCCAACCATACAGGAAAAGACCCAATTAAATCAATATCAATAAACAAAGAGATAAGCCAAGTTCTAGCCAAAGCTTCTAATAGAACGATTAAGCTTTTTATACTACAGTTGCACGCAAGATTTTCAGTCTAACGACAGAATGTGTTATGCTAATAGTTGCACGCTGATCTGCGTACGATTAATATAAAATTACACTAGTGAAAGAGAAAACCAGTGCTTAAGTATGCTATAACAGCCGGAGGATTACTAATTTTACACAAATTCATGTTTGTGAAGTAGCACGAAGGAATGAAAGACATGATAAAATGAGTTAAATTCCTAATGTATGCGTTAATATTAGCAAAACTAAAAATAGAGCTTATTTTTTTGGAAGGAAGACTAAAAAATTGGCTTCTTCCCGGACAAAAGCTGGGTAATGAGATCTAAATGAACCGGAATAAATCAAATTATGAGGATATAGCTTATTTACGCTCGAGCTGGGCAATCGTATCGATTCTTTGTACTTTCAATGCTACCTACTCTTGATATTACCCCAGGTTTGAGCTCATATAATATTAAGGAAAACTTCTATTTCAGTTGATAGATGGAAAACAGCAAGAAAGAAATGCGGACAGACAAAACTTCCTCGAATAGCAACTATTGAATGGAGACAAGTTCGTTTATTGAATTGAAACCGATCATTATATGTTTGAATAGAAACTACTGAATAACGTGAACAAAAATAAAGAAGATGAGAAGAGAAATGAGGCAGGAACAATATTGTTTCCTGAATTGAAGTTACACGAAGGAACTTCAATGGAAAGTAAAGAAGAAAAAGAAAAAGAAACGCATCATTCACATGAAACAAAATCAACCGGGTTTGTTATTTTGTGGTAGTAGACCAATTTCTTGATTAAAACAAGCGATTTTCAAAAAAAATGTTTTGAATGCAACCGCTCTCTCCGTTTGAAAGTTAAGGAATATTAGCGAACAAGTCTTCCAAGGTTGTTGGACACGTATCATTAGCATTTCACTTCTCGTACACGCAGTGTATGTGCACGATTTGAATATTCGAAAATTGAATTGCAATGGCAACTTCATTTTTGAAACAAGAAAGTTGCCAAAAAAAAGCTGAAGCTTTTATCTTCATCGAAGACTGTAAATTGTTGCGGCTGTTTCAGGTGGAATAGTACTCTGATCACTGATGATTACAAAAAAATGAATTTTGCTGCACTTTCAGTAGAGAAAATAATTAAAGAGTAAGCCAAATGGATTAATGCGAACATTCTACTGTTGCAGCCAAATGGAACAAGTTAGACAGAATATCGGCCTGAAAAAAAGGAACGTGAACGCCATAGGAGATTTAATGAGGAAGGTTAGAAGCCACACCCAAAAAGTTGTTCTTAATACATATTATTGGGCATGCAGCTTTCGTTTTCTATTCTTTATCTAGACCTTGCTGTAATAAGGAAGATAAAGAAAAGAAGAGGTCTGAGTTAGGTGTTTGAAATCTGGTCTAGTACAAGGTGACTAATCTCATTGAAGGTGTGTTTCCACCACCCCCACAGTGAAATGACCGAACAGACTTACAATAATCATTGCTTTTTATGAAAATCAATACAGTAACGATAGTTCCTTCTCATTTCAGTATAACAACGAAGATGCAGAATCATCATTTGAGCAACTGATCGAAGAATATGCGAAATCTTGCATGGAACTTAGTAGTATAAACTGTTCGTTGTATACGCTAAGACAGGACGACAGCATAACGAATATGTAAGTTGAAAGATTTGTGATGAAGGTGAGAAAGAAAAGATATTTCCCATTAGTTTATCACATATCGGGTTGTTAGAAGGTGAAAACGGGATGTAAATCAATGATAAAATTTCTTTCAAAGAGAAACAACGATCAATAATTGCTTTAGGAGAATGAAATTTCTAATATAAACTAAAAAAAAGTTGTTTTTCATGTATAAATGGAACAAGTTTATGAAAATTCTTATTTAAGAGCCGAGGTTGATGTGTTTAAAAATGAAATGGAAGAAATTCTGAATGAAATTCAACTGGAAAAAAGTTATATAGCTGAACTAGACAGACTATTGCAATCGTTCAATGAAAAAAAACTATGAGTTTATATTAAAATAAAGCTTTATAACGGATTCTTTTGTTCATAGAAATCATTTAACATTGATATAATATGGAATGTTCAACTATCTGAATCGAAAACATCTCTGTACAATGACTAGTAGTGACATTCGAATATAAAAAAGTGTTCAACTTTTAAATTTTGAATGAATTCTATGAAATCGCCACGAGTCTCACATGATCGAGCATATAGCTGATTCCTCGTTGTCGCGTACATCAACAGAAATTCCGGAATCGTTCGATTGCGCTGCTCGGAAATTTTTCTTCAGCGACCTTAGACGACTAACCGCTCTGTTCGTACGACTAGGAACGTCTCGGAATGCATCGACAATCTAAACATAACCATCAGTCACAAAAACGAAAAATAAAACAATATGAATCAAGAAATGATATGACGATAAATACACAACGTCTTTCAGAGAAAAAGAACGTACTTTTTGTTGTTTAACTGCAGCTATACGAGCATGTTCCCAAGCAGGACCGTCGGCATCACAATGAAGCTCTTTGTAGCCATCAATAGTTTGGTGTTCATCTGAACATTAGAAAACAGAATGAGAATGGAGCAATTACACGAATGATTACTTTTCTCCTTGTCTATAAGATCCCATGCGCTAAGTTTCTCATTTTTCTCTAGATAATGGGTGAAGATTTTGGAGTTTGAACTGTCCAAGCAACCAGCCGGTGTGAATATGAATACGCTTTTCAAATGTTTAGTTACGTTCCTGTAGAAAAATGTAAAAGTTTTCAAGTTTCCATGACCCAATGTATCATACGTTCTTACTGCATTACTTATCATTACTTTGCCAGGTTGTGATTGAGAACATAAAAGTTTTGCAACTTGTACCGTCTGTCCCAATACGCAGTAACTAGAAGTAGAGTCGTGTGAATTCTTTCGAAACAAATTGTTTACCGTGGCTTTTTCTGACTTACAACTCCTGCTACGACAGGACCACAATGTACTCCGATTCGAACCTTCAAAAGAAAGATTTCAAAAACGAACTGTTTGACTAACGCGGAGCGGTAAATTGAGTTTTGGTGTTATGATCTGCTTTCCTTCAAACACCATAGCCAGAGCCAAATTTAGCATTGTCTCGCAATGAAGCGGGCAAGGATTAGGAACACCTCCCACAATCAAATAACTGTCCATGAGAGATAAAACCTTGTACACCTAGCAGATATGTAATATTAGGAGTCTAAGTAAAATCTTAAGAAACCTTGTATTTTTCAATCAGGCGATCGAATTCATGGAATAAATCTGAGATAATAGTTACGACCTGAAAAATAGGAATAATTTTCATAAAACTTCGAGCTATAGTACTTCAGCCGGAGTACAATTTATATTAAGAGTGAAGAAATCGGGGAGCTCCGAGAAGATGACTGTGCAATCAGAAAACTCTTCTGAAATCATAAAACAATCTGTTTAGGATTCTGACAAGATGATTACGAGCAGTGACGTTTTTGTTTTGTCTTAGAGTGTCAGCTACTGCTCTTGGAACTAAATCATATAATAGAACATCTGTTTGAGTTTTCTTGATTTGTAAAGTATCGGCTAATGCTCTCAGGTTCTTGACTGTTTCATCTAACTTTTTACTGAAAAATTGGATTGAATAGAAGGTGGTAAGAGTATTGATGATTACTTAAGTTCCATTTGGCAAATTCTACTCTGATTTAACATAACAAGATCTCGAGTAGCATCGTGCATTGGCATATCAGAGATGTACAAGTTTAGTTCCAGGATATCTCGAACCGTAGTAACATAAGGAGAGCAGTAGTACATTATCGAGTTTCCAGAGTTTACAATACTCATTTGTCCTTAATCATATGCGTACCACATCGTTATCATAGAGATGAGCACACCTTTGAGACATAAAGGTTGTTGAAAGGCAGCCGTAGATGTTTCCTCAATCTCATTACGCCGGCTATGATGTTTAATTTGAAAGATGAAAATTGTATTCAAGTATTGAGTAATATTCTTGAATGTAAGCTGAAATAATAGTAGAATTGGATCACATTCATCACAAAAACATTTGCATGTGTATCTAGCGTATATGGAATTCTTAATATGATACCTGAATATCTGATGGCTGCACCAACTGAACCAATTCTGTCAATTTCAACATCTTGCGATCTACAAGCCTGTATTCTTGAAGCAAGTAGCTTCCTGGAAATAATGAAATCACTTCGCTTAGCTCATATTAAGAAGAACTAACCAACATGCTCAATGACCATTTGTTTGTTGAAACAAATATGATATGGAAATATTTGTTTGATATCGAAAAGGGTGATAGGCGAAAGAACCACTGGCTTTAAGAGAAAATTGAAATTCAGCTTTCAAACAGTCTTACTTTGTCAGCTGCTGCTATTTCATGATTTTTGGATTCATTACGGAACTTGTATGCTAAACGTGACCCTGCCTTGTGGTTCGTATCCGGCTCTAATGAGAATACAACATGTTCCACAAGGCCTGTTTTTCGTCTTTCTTGAACTCTTTCCACTACATTAACATTCACTTCCATATCATAAAGAACACGAGAAACTTTTCTCACAAGCCCTAAAACAAGCTGAAATATGCTTACAATTCCAATCACTAACCTTTAACAATGGGAAAAAGACCTTGTCGGTTAGAAAAGTAATGCAGTCGAAGACTGTTATCCCCACTCGTCTCACAGTGAAACGTGGGTCCTCTCATTTCAGATTTGAAAGCAATCTGATCAATGAAATAATGCATAGAGTTCAAGTTATCAAGAAATTCCTATGATAATGGTATTCACTTCTAACTAAATTTAACGAATGAAACCTGCAGGTTGTTGGCCATACAGGAAAGCATTTTTTGCCATCCTGTTTCACAAGAGTAGGTAACCAAGAATTCTCCATACATCTCCCACATATCATCAACAGACAATCCTATGATATCAGACTAAGAAAGTAAAGTAGTTTGAAAGGCGTACCGAGAACTCCAGCAGCCGTTCGGAATATTCGCATGGTTTCTGAATCATCATAATACACTTGAACTTCGAACTCCGTGTCTTCCTCATATCCAGCTTTGAGTCTTAAAAAATATTATCAAAAACAACTATTTCGCCAATCAATTACTTGATACTCCTCCATGTATCCTCACCATATCGTCTGATAATCAAGCTTCCAATACAAATATGAGTCCATCCGATCTATAGATTGATTGCTTCAGAAAAAAGAAAAATTAAAATAAAACTTCACCATAGCAGGACGTGTTGAAACTCTTAGTGAAGGTTAGCTGGGAAGTATTTTAGAGAACGGATACCTCTGAGGATATCGTCCTGACTAGAGTCAGCTTCGATGATATTTGAATTTAATGGCAATCCGTCACGCAGAACTCTGAATTTTAAATTGAAGGTGATGACGGCTGATGATGATATCTCGTGGGTGTTCAGGTATGCTTACATTCTAAAGCACAACGTTTTATCACGTTTGCACGTTTAGAAATAATAATATTTCATAAAAACAAACTGACTAAGAAGATCCTTCTGATGATCAATTAACGATATTCACTAACAATACAAGAAGTTTATCACTTTGTCACTATAAATATGATTTGATTAAGTTTGCAAATGCTCATTGAATATTGGGACGTTTTACCGGAAGTTGCCATCTTCAAACAAATAATTTTTAAGTCAAAAAGGTATCGAAAATCATCTGAAGACGTCAATGTTGCATTATTTATATTACAACATCTCGAAAAATGGTTATAGAATATACAAACTATATCAAAAGAAGGATTTTATGTTATTCATTCGTTATAAACTAACCTTCAACAACAATATTTGCTCAGATTATAGAATACATCGTTTATGATCATGCTTTTCCAAATTTTACGAATAAGCTTTGCTAAGATCATCAAACTGAAATGATCGAGGAAAAAAAAATAAAAGTTATATTAAGGAATCAAAAATTGAGGAAGCATAAGGTAAAAAATGAAAAATATAAGTTAAGATGACTGCTCTTATACACCCCCGTATTCACGTGAAAAGTCACGCAATTTTTATTTTCCACAATACATAGGAGATGATCGGTTGGTTTCCTACGAAAATGTTAAACAAGTTTTTCTTTTATTCAATATGAATTTTATAGAAAAGGCTAAAAGAACGGAGGCAGCCTTAATGACGGCTTGCGGTGAAGCACCGTTGAATACTCCAAAAGATAGCATGGTCTCCATACAATGGAGAGATATCGTGGTAAATACAACAGCTGGAAGACGATTATTAAGAGGCATCACGGGGATCGCACATCCAAAAGAAGTTGTTGCTCTCATGGGAGCTAGGTAATCGATGAAATTAGCTTAATTTCTGATTTTGACTGATTTAGTGGAGCTGGTAAAACAACTCTTTTGAATACACTTCTACAACGAAATCTTCGTGGTTTGAATGTGAAAGGGACTGTCCTAGTAAATGGAAGAAACATCGGACAAGCTGTTACAACAGTGTCAGCGTATGTTCAACAGGAAGATTTGTTTGTGGGTACTCTAACAGTAAGTGTCATGAAGGTATTAATTCTATGAACACGAAGCAATTGTAGGTTCGGGAGCATTTGATGCTTCAAGCACGAATGAGATTACCTAGCAAATGTAAAGAAGAAGATCGTATAGCTCGTGTTAATGAGGTTATTAATATTTCAAGCCTCTTTAGCTAATGGCGTTTGCTTGAAATTCATTAATGACTCATCTTCAGGTTTTGCGCGATATGTCATTAGAAGGCGCTCAGAGCTCTAGAATAGGTATTCCTGGAGTGCTTAAAGGGATCTCTGGTTCGTTCATTTTATTATGGAACAATTAATCTTAGTGGCATGCAGGAGGGGAACGTAAAAGATTAGCATTTGCTTCGGAAATTCTCAATAATCCCCCCATCTTATTTTGTGATGAACCTACGACGGGACTCGATTCCCATATGGCTATGCTCATTGTCAGGGTTAGAACTTTTTTTCCAGAAGATCATCCTAACTAGCTTTATTAGCGGCTTGAGTCTCTAGCTGCCACCCAAGGAAAAACAATAATATGTACAATTCACCAGCCATCTTCAGAAACATTTGAACTCTTCGATAAAGTTAGGATAAGCGTTTATATTCGAGCCTAACACCCGTTCAGGTTGTCTTCCTTGCGCAAGGTCGAGTTGTTTTCCAAGGAAGTCCATCGGAGTCAGTTATCTTCTTCTCGAAATGTGGCTACACTATGCCGCTTCATACGAATCCAGCAGATTATTACATTGACGTTTTCTGGAAGCTCACTTTTTTTTTATTATGAACGTATGTTTCAGACTCTTGCAATAAATCCGGATAAGAGGGACGAATGCAAAAAGCGATGCAATGAAATCAGTGACAAGTTCGCGCTGAGTCAGTATAACTATCGGATGCAGGAGCAAATGTCCATAGCCAGTTATCCTCGAGAAATGTTCCCCCACAATGGACCAAACTTTCTGATCCTTCTGTCTTCATTAATTGTTAGGTAAGTGTGATATAATTCTAAAACTCAAATATAAACATGGTTCTTTAGATATCTCAAGGATAACATGAGAAACCCAGCAATGCTTAGAGCCAAGTTTATTCAAAAAGTTTTCATGGGAATCTTCCTAGGACTTCTCTATTTGAATACACCATTGAATCAAGTTGTGATCTTCATTTCTCGTCATGCTTTTACAACTGTTTCTAGGATGGTCTAATGTCTATTCAAGGTGTCCTGTTTTACTACTGCTCAGAACTCACCTACTCAACTATATTCGGAATTCAAGCATGTATGCCGGGAGATTTCCCAATGCTCATAAGAGAATACCATGATGGTGTTTATCCCGTGTCTGCATATTACTTAGGAAAGGTATATCATTCGGCTATATTTGGTTAATTTTCTCAGATTTTTTCATATCTCCCTATATTCACTCTCGATGGCATGGTTATGATAACAATAAGTTATTTCATGATTGGGTTACTCCCAGAACCAATTAATTTTGTCAAGGTAGTTGATTTTAGATGATTTCGTGAATAGAAATGATTGTTAAGACTTTGATTACATGTATGCTAGTTGAATGGAACGTTGCCAGTCTAGGTATCGCCATATGCTCGGTAAGTCTTTCTTTCATCCAACTGTGCACATACTTCTAATTTCTTCAAAGATTTCTCCATCCTATGCATTCGCTATATCTGTTTCGGGTCCGATTTTAACTGTTCTTTCTTTGACTGGCGGATTGTTCATAAACACAACTGAAATGCCTCAATGGTCCAAATGGATCCAATATGTCTCATGGTAAGCTCGGTGTTCTCAAATGCTTGTGATCATTTTTCAAATCTCTCTGCTTCAAGGTTCCGTTATGGATTTGAATCACTCATAATCAATGAGTTCAACGACGAATCAAGAGATAACATAACGTGTCTCGGAAATGCTGGAACTGTTATGCCGAATTGTGTAAGCAATGGAGCTGGAGTGTTGGAGGTAGTTTACCAATCAGTACTATATGCATTGAAATGTCTTAGGAATTGCATTTCGCTCCTGAAAATTTTTATTGGAACTGGATGATGCTTGTGCTTTCCACTCTTGCCATTTTTTGTTTTGGTTATATAGGATTGGTGTTCCGAGTCAAAAGACTCAGATAGCGCCAGGATTCGAATAAATCTTTCTGTATGCTAATTTGGAAACGTTCGCTTATATTGTCCGCGCACGCTGTTTGCATCTTCTCCACGTGGATTTGTGATCACGAGGCTTACATATATCATCAGTTTCAGTTTTTGCCGGTTGAAATGAATGGTTGGAGATATTTTCTTTCAATATTTTCGTTCATTCCAAGTTTTCATATGATTCCCTTCAGATCAGAATAAGAAAGCATTTGCTAATTTGGAATGGACAAATGTCAAAGTAGAAGCTGTCAATGGTCGAAAAATATTACGAGGCGTCAATGGATTAGCGGAATCAGGCCAAGTTCTGGCCTTAATGGGCGCCAGGTATGCTTTTATTATGTTCAGCATCATTAATCATTCATAATAAGTGGTGGAGGTAAAACAACGCTATTAAACACATTGTTACAACGCAACATGCGTGGATTGAAGTTTGAAGGAAGTATTTCTGTTAATGGCAAGCAAATAGGAACAGACATAGCGAGCATATCAGCTTATGTTCAACAAGATAATTTGTTTACTGGATCATTAACTGTTAGTCCCATGTGAACAATACTTCTCACTAATCGCTTTAATCACAGGTGAAGGAACATTTGACTATCCATGCAAGACTACTGATGCATGACGTTTCATCAAAAGAAAGATCTGATAAAGTTCAAGAGGTTCTGCTTTGATCAAATGGTATCAGATAATGAATGCTGTCAGATTTTAACTGAACTTGGACTGAAAAGTTGTCAGAACAGCTTAATCGGTGTGCCTGGGATTAGAAAAGGGATTTCAGGCGAGTTAGGTTTGCTTACAGCTTAGTTAACTAGTGCTTAGGTGGTGAAAAGACAAGATTAGCTCTTGCTACTATTCTGTTCAATGAACCCGCAATCATTTTTTGCGATGAACCAACAACTGGTCTTGACTCATTCATGGCTAAACGAACACTAGAAGTACTTTCATTCGTATATATAATTATCATTCTTATTTATAAATTCAAAGGCTATGGGAGACTTGGCATACAAAAAGAAAAAAACAATTATCTGCACCATACACCAACCATCTTCTGATCTCTTTGAACTTTTTGATAAGGCTGGTAGTATATCATCTGTTTCAATAATTATATCCATCTATTTGTAGGTTCTGTTCCTCATTTATGGACGAAATGCTTTTTATGGAACACCATCAGGAGCCGTGTACTACTTGAGATCAATCGGATACAAAATACCTCATCATGTGAATTTGGCAGAACACTTCATCGAAGTTGTGCTGTGTGAAAGAGAAATCTTTTTTGATTCCTTATAGACTCTTGCCCTCGACGGATACAATGCAGATACCAAAGAGTTGAAATCCCTGGAAATATCCAATCAGTTTCATATGTCTCAATTCAATACTTACCTACACAAAGCTGTAGTCCGCTCTAGATGTGGGAGTGCAATTCACCCTTGCACTTTTGGAACTTTCCCACAGATCTTCATGGCGCTTTGCATAAGGTAATGTGCAGCAGACAAACTGTTCAACAAATAGAACATATAGGAACTTTCTAACCTTATGGAGAAACAGAAAGTTCCTATGGGCGAAGTTTCTACAAAAGCTCTTCTTTGGGGTGTTTGTCGGATTTCTATATCAAAGTACTCCATTGAATCAGGTAATGAGGCTTAATTCGAAATATTGTAATGATTCTTTTTTTCAGGCTGGTTTACAGTCCTTACGAGGTGTTTTATACTTTTTCGTGACTGATTTGACATACTCAACGATATTGGGTATCATTGCTACAATGCCCAATGATTTTCCTTTGCTCTTTCGTGATTATCACAATGGTTACTATCCTGTATCGTTATATTTCATTTCAAAGGTATATAGTATCCAGTCATCATAACCATAAACTACTATTAAGGTATTGGCTTTGATGCCGATCTTTATAACCGATAGTTTCTTGGTAGTTGGTATAAGCTATTATTTCATTGGATTAGCACCTGATTTCAACAAGTTTGTTTTGGTTTAGGGATGTCCTATCATATTTGTTTATTTTTGAATGGTTTAGGCTCTCATTACCTGTATTCTGATTCAACAACATGTAATCAGTTTGGGCATTGCTGTCGCTTCCGTAAACATTCTAAGTTATAGCATTCTTATATACTATACTTGCAGATCTGTTCTTCTGTTGTAGTTTCCTTTACTATAATGACACCCATATTAACAGCCTTGAGTATAACAGGAGGATTATTTTCAGATGTTTCTTATCTGCCATCATACATTTCATGGATTCAATATGTTTCTTGGTGGGTTAGATGATGCAAATTGTGATATCAAGGTTCTCAAGGTTTCGATATGGATACGAGTCGTTGATTATAAATGACTTCACTCACGTCACTAGAAATAATATTTCATGCAGCTTCACCTCCACGGAGTCGCTCATGTACACCCCGTGCACTAGTTCAGGATTGCAAGCAATCCAGGTGTGAATCGAGTAGAATACTCAACTATTCCTATTCAGGAAGAAGGTTTTGATGAAAAAAATATGTTCTTCAACTGGCTGATGATGATTATCTGTTCTTTCTTCAATTATGCTTTAGCATACATAGCTCTTGTGTTCCGAACAGTTGAGCACCGGTACGTTTGATAATTACTTTCATGATGTTTTATATAAACTTCAGATGAGAGCTGAAGTATTGGTGACTTGCGTGACTTTGGCAAAGACTTTGCATGACATTATCCATATTCATAAGCTACTTTGAAGTGTGAGAAGCGAAAATTGAAGAGAATATCACCTTATCTTTATTGAGTACTGAGCTTTTACAATAATATAATTTTTATAGTTTGCTCATTATGAACTTGGAAACAAATGTTTTACCGGTGATTTCTGTCAGCTTATGAGTTTTAGTTGATACACTGCGTTTATGTGAAAGAAAGAAGTTATACACTGCTATGCGATATGATCTCATTGATCCCATGATAACTACTGGCCCTAAAGCTTGGGCCACCACCAGTAAGACCAGGCAACAGTTAACAAAAGCTTGAAAATATACTTTTTTCTAAACAAGGAATCAAGTGAAACATACTTTGATTAAAAGTTTGAACAAATATTATGCTTAGCATAATGAGAACTAGAAGAGCATGTAGTATAACAAGGATAAGGCTCTGAGTGGTTACGATTGAAGGAACAATGAACCTTATACTTACTAGGCACATCAAAGCAAATCCTAATTCTTTCTGTTGCTTCAAGCTTTGTGAATATTTATGCGTTGCTGAGGATCGATATCTAATGAAGCGATAAGTAGAAACAGTACACGATACGGAAATGGATGAATAACCAAATATGGATATGATTACTATGGCTATACACATTATAAGCCGAGGATTATCCTTTGATAATTGAAAAGCTACTGTTTCTTCTTCAAATATATCATTTTTGAAGCCTACATAAATCTGAACATGTACAAAGAACCAGACATGAGTGAATCTGAGTGAGGGTTGACTCACATCAGCGCAGTACTTCTTGTCCTCTTTGCGATCTCTGAAGAATATAACAACGACTATCATTGGAATGATGCTTATCATGTAGAGTGTGAGTGTCAGTTTCTTGTAAAACGTTTTTCTCGTTGTGGTCATATTAGGCATCAGAGAATAGAAACGATATAAGCTCAATAACGTGAATGAACCAAAAACTTCTGAAGTTATTATATAAGAACTTGATTAGGCATACTCTTGCTATTGTACGAAGTATTAGACAAGATTGAAGCGTTGCCAAGATCACTGTTGGAATGTGTAGTGGTCGAATAATCCCAGCTGGATATCCTGCTAGACATGGTAGCAGTATCACTGGAGTCGTAACAACACTCAAAGAAATTTCGCTGGCATAAGAACTGAATGAGCTGATCGTCTATGAAAATAAATAATTCTATTACTACCTGACTATATAATAAATTAATAAACGAAGATAATCTCGATGAATATGCTTGGTGGATGATAAAGTATAAACATGTGTTAGAGTACTTATCATGAACACAACTCCTACTACGGACAAAGAATACATAACTCTAACATAACTAGAATCGTCTCTCAACATTTTGTGACAAAAGCACCAACTGTAAGCTTTCTTTTTCAATCCAATAGATCGATATTCGATATGCAAAAAAACAGAAGATGATTTCTGATTGGTTAGAGAAGTCGACGGAATGAGATGTTACTGTTTTTTTTTCTTCCAAAAAAGGCGTGTAACCATCTCAAACATGCATTTTTATAAAATTAGAGAAATGCTGTTTGCAGCTCTTATAACAACATCATATAGCAGTTTGAAATTTCAGCTTCAGACGACACCGATTATTTCCCGCATTACGTGACACGTGGCACACGTCATTTCCGTTTTCACGTGATATCATTTTTCATTTTTGATCAGAACAATGGGTGACTCGTTGGAACAAGAATTGGATTTTGATTTAGAGAAAACAATCAGTTTGGTAATAAGAGAGTAATCCTTTCTTCTCCTTGTGAATGGAAATACTTGAAGGCTTGCGAATGGGCAAAAGAAGGAAATCAAAAAGGACAAATTGATTATAACTCACAAATAGTTATTAATACAGTACAAGTTATATATCTTCGAACTTCCTTCAGGAATTATCATCTCACGAACGTTTGGATGCCATCCGAAACGATATAACCACTAAGACTTTTAATCGTTTGATTTCATTACTTAAACTTAACGTATAATTGTTTTAATATGTTCATATACAACCTTGGCCATTTAGGATGAACTGGTAAGTCAGGAGACTTCCGAGAAGGACACTCCAGTCTCAACTGACGAAAGAGTAGAAGACATTCTACAATCAAATAGTCCTCAAGTCTCGAATAATTTAACAATGGATGAGGATAAAATCAAATTGAAGTTCTCAAGATCGTGCACGCTTCTCAAAAACACACCTGTAGGTTCACCAATTTGAGGTTTTATTTCGCAATTTAATTACATTTCAAGCCGCCTTCTCGAACTCGTAAAGAAAGACAGTTGATTCGACGAAGTGGTCCTGTCATGGGTTCTGAGAGAACCGTGCATCACCTTCAAGGATTCCGAGAAAACCGTGCATCACGTTTACGATATGATGTGATAAACACATATAAGATCGAAAGAAGAAAAAGTTAGTTTCCTTTCTCATTTATCAAGCTATAATACATTCCGTCTACAGCTTGTGAACCTATTTTCCTCCGGAATCTAATCGGCTATTAAAATCAGAAATGAAAACGAATAAACATTATGAGAACATATGCGTTCATCTGAGTGAGAGTGAGTGAAAGAGAAAGCGACAGGTCTATGCTGAAAGAGTTTGAATACTGTTTGCTTTTTTTGTGAAACCTTCTTTTTTCATTAGTTGTGACTTCAATTGTTGTTAAAATCATTGGACAACAGCTATAAATGTTCCGGAGAGAAACGAAATGACACAAATCCGGATCTCACAATTGTACAGCAGACCATTCGTAAATGAAGTTGAATCTTTATATTCTTTGATTTAACAATATTCGCAGATGAATTGGCCGCTAAGGACAAGAAAGCCTTTTGGATAAAAGCAGATAGAAGGCTAGCAAAACGCCATGACCGTCTGGCGCATTTGGATGACAGAGATCCGGATATTTCTCTCGTTTTCTCCAACCTGTTTGAAGGTTTGGAGGTGGAGGATGGGCGAGGGTGATGCATGCGAGATGAAGAATGGAAAAAGGAGAAAACCTTAAGCATGAGAGATGGAGTTCGTGAAAATTGTCAAGAAAATACTATTGAATATATGAGAGAGAATTTCAGAAAGATATTATGAGAGAGAGAGAGTAAAGAATTTGCGAACAAGAAACTAAACGGCGGGAAAGGTTTTCTCCACCCCAGCCTCCTGAACAGTCTCCATATATGGATACATTGAATCTAGATTCCTAATCTCAGAACTATTTCATTTTTATCATTTCGTAGGTTTTATGAATGGTTTTCTATCATATATGTGTTTCCATTCTATGATTATCTTTGCTTATGTAACAGAGTAACTATTTCAATCAAATCTTCTCCTGCCTCTCCCCCCACCGCACCTCTTTCATGCCCAACACTTAGATATTGACATAAATGTTAAATCAACCATTTATGATCTTCTGACCAATCTCATACCTCTTATACATGTTTCTTTCATTTTTTACCAAATATAGGTGTATCATTAATCCCATTAAGACTTTCCATCTCAAAAATGACCTGAATTGTCAATTTGATCAAATTTCCGAAAGTTCTCTTCTTCGTTTCATGAAATGTGTACTGCTACTACATAGAATCTATCTCTTTCTCTTTCTCTTCTCATCCTCATAGTTGATGTTAAAACAAGCTTGCAGACCATTTCATTTTTTTATATAACAAAATCCTCATTGAATTATGCGAAAAAGCATAAAAGATTTTGAACGATTTCATTTCACCTATAATCCCCCCCCCACCACAGCACCTACACCACTCCGTCATCATTCAACGTCATTGACCTTCTTCTTTATCCACATTTCCTTATAGTTCATCTTTTCAGGGCATTTTCACTTTACTTTCCATTTTCATTTTGAAATTGAAACGTTTTCAGATCTTCCCCTTTCATGAGATTATTTCCTCCAAGTTTTACATTTTATCATTTACCTCTCAATCAGTTTGTCCTCTCTTTCTTATTTCATTCCGAATTTTGTTATTCAATCAGTTTCTTGTGTCTTCGAACTGTTTCTTCCTGTTCTTTTGACAGCATCTCGATCAGCTCTCTTCTCCGTTTGCTGATAACCCTTAATAAACTTTCGTCATCTCTCTTCATCTCATTTCCCATTTCAACTTCCTGTGAGTTTGAGAAAAAAAATGAAAACCGCATTCCGTAAGACCAAGAAAATGAAATGGAATCGTTGGGAACATATGATCCAACACTTTCCTCTTCATCTTATCCTCAACATCGTAAAGCTTAAGAACGTCTTAAAATAATTTGCTATTCTTAGACCTATTTTTTCTTCTCTTTTTTTTGTCACTGAACTACGCTAAGTACTAGCTTGTGCGAAATCTCGTTCTATGCCAGATTAACCCTGTCATTCATAACTAATCGCTCTTGCTAGACGAGATCTTGCCATCAACAGTTTGTTATGCTCAATCATATTCTTTGTTATCTCGAATCAGACATCTCGATCATACTTGTATTTTGAATAATCAGAGTTCATGTTTTGTTCCAGACAAGGGTAACTCTCGCTTTGCTTTTTTTCCTTTTGTATAACAAAAGAAAAAAAATGTCAACTTGTTCACCAAGTGAAAATGGAATCAGCGAAAAGCTTCCACCTCCATTAAATCGGATGGGATTATTTGAGCCTTATATTAAGGATGGAAAGAAAGTAACTGAAATTATCAGGTTCATAACATACTTCATACATATTCTATATTCTTTATATTCAAGATTCAATCCTGTTCAAGTCTTTTTCACTGGATTTTTACCCCCTTTGTTTGGATCTGTTTCCGCCATAGCAATTGCTTTGATATTCCATAATGATGAGATAAGTAATTATAACTGGCAGTGTGGGGTGAGATTCAATTCAAGAATGCTTTAAATCTTCTATCATGTTCTAGAGAGCCCGGCTACCATCACTTTCACGTATTATCAATTTACCTGTAGAGCGTACTTTCTGGCAATTGTTTTTACTTTTTCATGTCCCTATCCGATGTGTAGAACTGATTACTGGATGTAAGTGTTATTTTCAACATCGAATTTCGATGCAGCTTTCGTATTCATCTCATTCATGCTATTTCAGTTTCTCGCTATAAAAGAATGAGAAACGTTAACTACAAGCATGTATGGTTGTACGAGCTCTCTCGTTACATTTACTTCTACGTCGGATTACTTGAACTCATTTTCTTATCCGGACTTTCCATTATAGGAGAAAGAGAAAACATACGTAAATCAGGATATTCAAAGAAACTGATTCAAACAGTCGTTTCAGAGCTTCATGTTATCTTCTTCTACGTCTTCGGAATATGTGGTATTGGGCATATGCTGGCAAACATCTTCTGTCATGCTCACTCTCTCTATTACCTCAATCCATATGTAAGAACATAATTTATAATCAATCTTAACTATATGCATATCTAATTAAGGGAAGACTATCATATTACTTAAAAATCTTATTCACAGCAATGTATCTTTTATCAACTCCAATACTAGTTGGTTCATTTATACTGTATTGGAAGAAATGCATTACATGGGGTTTGTTTATTATAATTTATTTATTATAATTATAATAACAAATAGTCTATCAGATGAAACAATAGACGAATTTTGTTTTTCAATACACATATTTCGAATGCAACCATCATTAGCATCAACTGAATGAAAGAATGGCATTGTCATTCATACGCATATCATGTGGTATCATTTTACGTGACAGCTTATACGTGATTTCATTCACGTGAACTATTTGTCGTATCATGTTCTACATGGCATAACACACGTGACATTAACTTATTAAATATATGATTACATGTAAACTTCTCACATATTATAATTACCTTACTTTCAGCTTATGACGTATTTGCTGTTTGTGAGTACTGTGGTGTATTCTTGAATATCTGCTTCCATGGTTGTGCATTCTTTGATATTCAATATAAGGTGACATTCAGGTAAGACAAATACATTTATTATTATTATATAATTCTAATTTATTATTCAGCGTTCGTCATGTAGAACGAGTTAAAACTGATGATCAGAAAATCAACTTCAACAAAATCGCCGATGTTGAGATGAAATCAAAAGTTATCCGAATGCAAGGCTAAGTGACATTAGGTGAAATACATGTACATATAATTTATATAATTAGAAGAATAAGGCTAGTCTTCTATTTCATTTTTTTATGTTATTTGTGCCGTTCCATCATGAATCTCGTTCGTTTTCTATTCCTTTCTTTCAATCCCTCTCCTCTCTATTTCTTTGACTCTCCTCTCTTACTCTCTCTTTCTCTCCTATACATACAGAAAGAGAGAAATCTATCGGAGAGAATATATATTTGAAAAAAATCAAAAAAAAAAGAAAATAAAACTTTGATAGAACATATATATGATATATTTACAGAATATACATATTACAGCAACGTCCTTTTACATACATTTGAGGTTACGTCGACGAATTCTCTCAATTAACTGTTCGTAGTTCTTATCTGTGAATGCATGTACATGATCCTGAGCAATACCAGCCAATGTTTCATTGTTGGTTTGCACAGACTTGGGTGGTCGTCCCTGCAATTTGAATAAGATATATATGGATCATAGTTGTTTCCTATATCTCCTGTCTTTTCAATCGCTTACCGTATAAGAAACAGAGTACAATTCAAAACCGGCATTAACAGCTTTGTGGGCAGCTTCAACAGGATCAATTCCTTTGTTATTCCATCCATCAGTGAATACAACCATCACCTTATATTTTATAATTACAAATACATATCAAGCATAATATTGTAATTCATACCTTGGTAGCAACTCCTGGTCGAGCACCTTCTTTATCTTCTGTCTGCTTGATGCCTTCAGCTATTCCAGCGCCTTCAATAAGGTTTTTTCCCCTTTTTTGTCTCCTTATTTATTGTTATTTCATATTTATTTCTTCAATTCTCGATGACCATCAATGCCATTTTGATTAAAAAAAGGAAATTTGAGAGAAATCATGAAAACCAGTTGTGATCAGCTGAGAAAAGCTTCTCCTGCTTCTCATGATTACAGTTGGTTACATGTGAACGAGGCTTTGTCTATATTCGCAATTCCTATTTTAATATTTTACTTTAAAATGACCTTCAAACCACTTTGAAAGAATCAAATAATTGAGAAATGAAAGAGTTTCCGAAATAATTCAGACAAGTTGCTCTTTGACCTCTTGCCACAGACAAATGTCCTTTTTTGGCTGCTGATTAAGAAAATATTAAGAAACCCACCGATAGCTGTTGTTCCTCCTCGGCTTTCTAAATCATCAATAGCTTTGAGCACAGATTTTTGATCTTTGTGTTGCTTCAAATTAAATCGAGTTCGTGTACGACCGACAGTGGCAAAAGTTACAGCTGCTACCTTTACATTTACAAATGAGCATGATTATTCAATGGTTTATCAAAACCATACTTGTGTGTGATGAGGACCGATCTTGAGAGCTGACACCAGACGAGAAGCTAACCCCTTGTAGAACTTATAGATGGGATCGGTTGTAGTAGAGAAGTCGAGTACAAGCACAAGATCCATTTCACATCCTAAACTCTATTGAAACAAAAAAATCAAAAAAAAATTAAACCAGTTATGGGATTAGTCGTGGTTGTGGTGGTTGTTGTAGTTGTTGTGGTGGTTGTGGTGGTGGTTGTGGTTGTTCTACATTTTTCCTTAAAATAATATTGTTATTTAATATAATATCTTATATGTAGTATATGATGTTATTTATATATTAATATACGTATGAATCATCTATGGTTACCTGGGCTGCTCGAAGAATTCTTTTGGCAATGTCAGTAGCCAGTAAACGTCCACTATGCATTACGATATGATTGATGTTTCCAGTTATATCCATTAGCTCTCTCCTTAACATTCCGTTTTACTACTTCTCCCTTTCTCTTCCTCGTTTTCAAAACAAAATGTCTTTTTTTGAAAATATAACAAATGATCTCTCTTTTCTCTTACGTGTCAACTTTTTTCGGATCTCCAGTGGCTGCAGCAAATACCCAGGTATTCGGTTCTCGTTGAAGCTTTTGGCCAGGGAGTTTTGGATCATCAGCAGATCTGAACACAATGCACTTGTTTGAACTTCTTATCACACCTATATTCACCTGCCGTCTGTGACAACCATAACAACAGTTGGAATGGTTTTGTTTCTCTCCTCCATCAAATCCAATGCAACTTCCAGAGCCTCAAATGCTCACCGTTCTGATTGTTTCTCGAAACGAACTGACCTTCTTTGTGTTGGTTGTACCTCCAATAGCTCTAAGGTTGTTTGTAATTCTTACAAATTCTTGGTTGCTTTTTGCAAAATTCCATTTAAAAATCTCTCTTCGATAGCTCAAGCCAGAGTAGACGATCATAGCAACCTTAAAGATGTCATCAATCAAACATGAGCAAGTAAAATCATACTTCATGTTTATTTGGTCCGATCTGAAGTTCTTCGGAGACATCCGTTACAAACTTACGACTCGTGTTGAAGCCACCCTTCACCGAATCAGATCTTCAATATCATTCATGGTGTTATCAAAACATATATTTTAACACTAATTAAGCTACCTGTCAAGTACAATGAGAATGTTCAATTCACAGGAAATAGGAAATAATGGTGTCGTTTGACTGTAAACGAGTGTGATGCTAGCCAGAAGGGCAAGCTGAAACAGATGATTAATTGATGTAATTAAGTGCAAACTAAAAATTATTATTAAATAATTAAAAAAAGATACTTTCATAGATGACTTTCACGTTCTTCTTCTCGTGATATGGAATGCTTACAAACAATTTCATTTTCATTGTAAAAATAAAAATATTTCTTCTTCTTCTTCTTCTTTTTCATCATAAAAAATCTTTTTTTTTTTCATCTCAGCCTCGTCATCATCGTCCGTCTCACATGATTACATTGAAGGTTAACAGAGATTTTTTTTTAATTTATGAGAGAAAAAATGAAATGAAAGTTTCATTTTCCTGTTTATGAAAAAAAAATTCAAAAAAAAATCGTTTTTTATTGTTTTCTTATGCACAGCCGGTCGTCAGAGCCGAAGTAGAAGAAATGAGAATAATGAGATAATGAGTTTACGTGACTTCCACGTAGAATGAGCTTTCGATTGCTATGCTACTTCTCGTTCTATTGCTAACTCATGAGATAATGAAAGAAGATTGTTTGTTTTCGAGACGATACAAGTTATTATAAACAACTAATTGAATAATTTGAATGAGAACGTCACGTTGTGGATCGGATGTTAAGAACTCGCTTTCAATACTATTGAAGTAATAAATTTGAGATGCTTTACAAGCAGAAGCTGAGCTTAACTATTCATTCATGGAGAATGATTATATCTAATAGCTTACTTAATTGCCATAGAGGGAATAAAAAGAAAAAAAACTCACTGCCACAGTAAGCCAAAGACGATTAGGAGGCGGCATGTGGAAATGTATAAATGACCAGAAAAGGAAATGAAGCGGTCCTTTTTAAGGTCAAGCCCTATCGTTTAATAATGTCGAGCAAAAGTAAGAATAGTCGAAGAAAACATTGAAAAAGCTGCCCCCTTGTCACTTTCTTTGCCACACCCACATTTACCGCTAGAAAGGGCGTACAGTGTCAAGAAAAAAAAAGGGGAAAGGATGGTATTGGAAGAGGAGACAAGAGGTGGAAGACTGTAAGAGAGAGAGTTGGGAGGGTGGGGGTGACGAAAGAGAGAGAGAGAGAGGTGGTGGGGGGGGGAGTTGAAAGGGTGGTGTTGGGGGTGAAGAAAGGTGAAAGAGAGAATTCTCGACAGGACAGAGGGCAATATGGGACAATAAGCCTTTAAGAGAACAACGATTGTTGCACACAGAAATTTGAAATTTTTCTTCTTTTTTTTCTTACATAAATGATTATTAAATGAAATAGCCGAATAAAGGAATGAAACAAAGTCTTTTTTCAGATGATTGATTGATCACGAATCAACTGATGTTTGGAGCTTTACGGTAATTAGCCCTAATTATATCTGTACTTTCAATGAATCAAATGTACTTCATCACTCAGAAGCTGTCCATATGAAAGAGAGAGATAGAGGAAGGAGGTGTTGGAGGAGAGATAGAGATAGCCGAAAAAAATTCCAAAACTTTTTTATTCTCTGAAATGAGCAGAAAACGGAAATTTGACAAAAAAATGAAAATTACACTGAGTTATTGACCTTTAAGGTAGTTTCCCAATCCGTCATTCTAGCCTTTTCGTCGTCAATCGCGCCTAGGGCATCATGACCAATCATTGTTTTTGTGTTTCTGATCTTGAATTTACTCTTTTTTATTTTTTCTACCAGTTTCTTATTGGCTTTTGTTACATTTTCTCTATTCATTTGATTATCCATGATGGGAGTTATACAGTCACACAAACTTTCTTTTCATTTGCTGATGACGAAAGTAACTGGCAGATGAAGATGAAATGGAAAAAGCTAAATGAAGAAGGAACGATAAGATAAATCAGAAACTGGGAAGGGAGGGGTTGATGTGAATGAATGGCTGCATGGATGGCTGCATGGATGGCTGCTGCTGCATGGATGGGGAGATGATTGGAGGGGATGGAAGAAACACAAGCCAAATCACCTGTTTGAATCAGATGCATCTTGAGACTATGTGAATCCTTTTTAAAAATAATTAAATAAGCTAATTGGTTCCAAATATGTATATAAAGGAATTTGAATAACAAAAAAGACAAACAAATTGCTTTTCGTCAAACTGTTTATGATGTTGACGATGATCATGAATGGTAATACCATGTGATGATTATATACTATTCAACCCCCCCCCCCCAGCTAGTCATATTGATTAGAAATGAAGTTAAGGAAAAGTTTTGGATGAATTTGCATGATCTTCATCTGTCTGTCAATCTTCCTGTGTTCACATGGATGTATGTGGAGGGTGTGTGTATGTTTTTTTTTGTGATTTTTCATTCACTAAAATATTTATTTTAATATCTACAAGTCTCTTATAAATCATTCCGGTGCTGTCGGAGAAGATGAAAATGAAAATAATCAAATATGTCTGCTTCCAACGTTGAATGTCGCTCTTCTCATCAAACATTTTCTTTTTTTTCTGCTCCTTCAAATGTTTTCTTTTTCGTCTTCCTCTTGAAGCTACAGATGAAAGTCAGGAAAAGATTATTTGCATCGCATATTCTACAATCTTCAACCTTAGTGAACTTTTTTTTTGAAAATGGAAACGATGAAAAAGATTTCTTCTTCTGATGCAAATGAGTTCTATCTTTATCTTCTCCTCCTACTCTCTTTGCTCTCTCAGTTGGCATATACCTTCTTCCTATCCCCCATAAGTATCTTTCACACTTCTTTTTTTTGCTTCCATTTTCTGGTAGAAAAATAAGGGACGTCGGAATGTCTGAACAAGTCATTTGTAGTCTGAAGGATGTGTGTGGAGAGATCACATGGAAATGCAAGCTTATCTATGAGGAGTCTCTGTAAGCTTTTCCAAGTGTATACTCAAACTTGGCAACATTTATGTTCTGAAAAGAAAAATTTTTAAAATTCATATGATAATCTGTCTCAATTGCGATCTCAACCACACACGTGCTTCTTCTGTGTATGTGTGGGGGTAGGATAATCTGATTTCCATTTTAAAGCATTTTTTTGTGTTTTTCAATATTTTCGGAAGAATGAAGCTTTTGATCATGAGCTTTTGTTCATGAATTAATAAATGATTAAAATGAAGATAATAATGTATTTCAATCACATTTTAAAGGGAAAATTCTCACCTGAAGTCACACGTCATCTGCGTTTTCGCATATGGTTTCACGTGTCACGTGAAAACCATGGATTTACGATATTTTAATAAGTGTGTGGACTTTGAGATCGGTTGCATTTTACTTTTCTGGAAGTAAAACATGGTTACTTCATCTTCATCCATTTCCTGTCTCTCTCTGTCTTTCTCTCTCTGTCCCTTCTACTCTTAAAAAAAACTTTCCCTTCGCCATGCTTTATATTGAAAAAAAGGATGCAAAAGCTTAAGAATTTATTGAAAGAGAAAACATCATCTGCTTTGAACATGCTTTTTTAGACATTTTTCATCTACAAAGATCCATATTCTTCACAAATTACTAATTACTTTTCTTATTTTTTATTCAGAAATCTTTCAGTTTGCTTTTGCTCCTTTTGGCTTCCACTTTTTGCGGCTCTTCATCTTCTTGGAGCTGAAAGTCCCGCCTCTTTAACCGCCTACTCTTCTTTAGCCTATAAAAGGCTTATGAGCATTGAGAGGTACAAAAATTTTTACTTTTCAAACTTAAAGCTTTTTCTACATCTCCATATATAGCTGTGCATAAGTATAACCTATACACACATACATGATGTATACATGTTCAGCATTGAATCAACATCATCTTGTCGTATAGTTAGTATTCGATGCTTCTATATGCGAACTCTCGTACTATCTATTGACATTAAATAATTTAATAAAATCATTTTTCATTTATTTTTTCTCTCCATTCATATCATTCATTTCAGGGTCGAACATGAAAGTCCTATTCGTACTTTTTGCCATTTTCTTTGTTATCTCCACTGCTCTGCCACAGTATAACCATCAACGCTTCCGAAAGAGTCAATCGCGTAAGTTTCTCATGTTTGATCAGAGAAAAGAAAAATTATGTTTTTTGTTCTTTGTACAAGTATAATAAGCTACAACCTTGTGCAAATTGTTGCTCAGACAATTATCATGATGTTTTATTTTTTTTTCTTCAAATAATTATATCTGTTGATATGTTTGATACGATGATTTTATAGAAGTTGCAGAAGATACGAACATTCAACCGTTCATTCGTTTCCGAAAAGCCTTGTACGGAGATTGGCTGCAACCCATGGAAATGGAACAGTGAAGAAACATCTGCAACAAACAGCTCTGTACTTCATTTATAGTTGTTCCCTTATGTTATTTTATATTTATAATAATAATAATAATAATATGGACGATCATGAACTATCGGATAAGAAACTAAAAAAAATAAATAAAATCCTGTTGAAGTTCTGTTGATGATGATGATGATGATGATGATAATAATGATTTTCAATGATAACGTACGATTTTTGACCATTATTCGTTCGTATGTGACAGAGATTGAGAAAATAAATGTTGATGAAAGGCTTTCTTATGTTATTCTCTCTAAAACATCAAACTCTTTATCACAAAGTGATCTGTCTTTTCTATATTTGCCTTTAAAAGAGATCTTTACGTCACACGTTCGTTGAGACTGAACAAAACGATGAAAATAAGGAGAGAAAAAATTTTTTTTCGTTTTCAAAGTTCTTATTTCAATCGAAAATCGTATTGTTAGATAGAGATGGCTGTTCACGTTTTCTTGAATGTTCCTATCGAATATTAATTTATTTATAAAAGTATATGATATTCTTCTTCTACTCGCTCCTCTCTCTCTCTCTTTATCTGTCTCTCTTACTCCCTCTGATGTAAGTACTGAGAGAGAGAGAGAGAGAGAGAGAGAGAGAGAGAGAGAGAGAGAGAGAGAGAGAGAGAGAGAGAGTGAGGAAGAGTTATGAAGAGAAAGGAGAAGGCAAGTACAAGCGAATGGCGCTGATGCTCAAAATGTATCTTTTGTTTCCCAAGAGATATATTTTAATTATTGTTGAAATCTTCTTTTCCCTCTTTTAAATACAAAAGAAGTTCAACTTCTAGATGACGTGATTGAAAATCTTCGTTGATGATGGTCATTTCAGAAATTAAAAGAAATTCATGAAATATTAAGGAGTACGTTGCAAAGAATAGAATCAACCAAATGAAATTTTCATTCAAAATTTCCATTTCAAATCCAAACTGGTGGAATCAAAAGGTTCTCTTATCAATTCCTGATGAGAAAAAAAAATATAAATATGAAGGTGCCAACCACGAGTTCAGCCAGAAACATGCTGTAATTAATGTTTTCAACGAATTTCATTCTTACGACCAAAGAAGGAAGAAAAAAGTTTCTTTACTCTCTCACCCTCTCTCTCTCTCTCTTTCTCTCTATCTCTCTCATTCCCTTTTTCCCTAAAACCCTGGGAATTGTAAATAAGAAAAACACAGATGACGTAGATTGCTGAATTTGCCTAATATATGTTCCATATCAAGGTAGGAGAGACAACGAAGATCAAGGAGAGAACTTTGAATACTGCGACCAGGCATGATGTCATCGGATAAATTTGCCAAAAGTATCTGATTCATATCATATTCGGGTAGTTCCCAAACAGTTCACTCTCACGGCAACCAGAAAAAGAGAAACTGATGAGAGAAGAAGAGAAAATATAAGAAACAGAAAGAAAACTAAGATAAGAGAGGGATTTTTCCCACAAAGAGATAGACTACGTAGAACAAAAAGAATATAGGACGATGTTTGATAGATAACCAGCTGTTAAGAAGACTATATAAGGAACTTAAAGAAACATTAATATCATTTTGAAGTTCATTCTTTTTCTTCTTCAATAACCATTTAAGAACATCGTTGTGTCGTCGTAAGAAGCTATCTCGGTCACAGACTTTCTTCATAGATTGTTTTCATTTCTTTTTTAGTTAACAATGAAAGTCCTGATTGTACTCGCTGTTTGTCTTGTTCTCGTCTATCAGACAGCTTTTGCTCTTCCGCCTCCATACTACGGGCACGGTTGGGGATATGGACGCCCACCACCATACTACTATGGACATCACAGACCATACGGACACTATGGGTACTGTTGCTTTATATTACGCCTCTTAAACATTTTAATAATTTACAGATACGGATATAATCCTGTTCGATCAGCCATTCGAGGAGCAGTCGCTGGCGCCATCGTTGGAAGCGTTGTTGGGTGAGAGACAAGAGAGAACCCAACATTTCCATATTTGTACATTATTTTAATCAACAAGTGCATTATAAACATTTTATCAAACATTCAGCTGAATACATTGCCTTCACAGTGGAAAAGATGTTTTTAAACCCAAATATCCGATGTACAGTCTCCACCTGGATATCTCATCTCATGAGCCAAGTAAGGACCACCCTCGAGAGTTGAAAAATCGACCAAGAAATTCGGATTTAGTTTCATTCCGTCATCGGTCACGTCAATTTGAAGTAGCATAGCACCAGTCCTATAGGAATAAATTGATTGAAGAAAGCGGAAGTTGAAAAAAACTCTGACTTGCTCAATTTTGGGTAAAACTGCTTATCCCAGATGGAGTAGAGAGATGTAGTGACATAGAGTCGTTTTCCATCCAAACTTAATTGAAGCATTTGAGGTCCTCCCTCAACTTTTTTATTTTTCACATAAAGAGCATCAGGTTGTGCCTAGTAACGTAATGGGTTGATTTTAATTTCTCGAAGATCACTGAACCTGAAGTTCTGAATCCTTGGTAACGACGACTCCACTCTCTTTATGAATACTTCCGCCAATAAAGACCTTAACACTCCCCATTATCAATATCATTTTTCAAAAAAAAAACTCACGGAAGATACCAGAACTGGTTTGGATGGATCTCTTATATCATATTGTCTTATATCTCCATGAAGCCAACAGGATATAAACAGAAACTGATCATCCATTGAAATTAGAATGTCGGTGATCAGACCAGGCATGGAAAGTAATGCCCATCCAGTCACCTTGAAACAATGTTTTTCCGTTTCCTATCTTGAATTTACCTCTTTATCTGGAATTTTGATGACTTCCACAGCTTTGTATTTCTTGGAGCCCTTCAGATTTTATTTTTTGTTATTTAGGCCGAAAAATAAATTAGCTTACTACAACTTCTGGTTCGAGATGATAAACAGCAGAGCCTAAAGCTGTTCCAACAAAAGCATGCGGGCTCGAAGGTTCATGTTTAAATCTTAGAAAAAACAGATCTTCCGCTTCTTAAGATAGATCATTTTACCTCACTTCCAGGGGTAAAGCCCCATTAGGCATAGGCAGCTCGATTGTTTGAAGCTTTTCATGTGTAGACCATTGGAAAACATGAATAGAATGTCCGTAGAATCCTGAATATTTGATTTATCTCAAGAAGAGGTGCTGCAAAAACCTTCGGCGACATCTGCTGGATTGAAGCATTTCTTGATTTTGTGCGGAGCACCCCACTCAGTCGAAATCATGACGTCATGTCTAGGTTGGTACCAGAAGTCGTAGTTGAAGGCGACGGGATTCGGAGTCCAAGTACCCACAGGGTCGAATGTTTGGCCGTTCAGAAGAAGGAAGTTACCACTCTGATTATCATCAGCATCTCCGAGGGTACTTATCATAATTTGCCCATTCGCTAAACAGTGCGAAGTATGGGGGAAGCTAACATTCAGTCCTTTCAACAAAGATGGTTCAATGGTCTGAATTGAGAACTGTTCAAAGTTGGCAAAAAACAAATAACACCTTTTCCAAAATCAAGTTCTTCTCATTTTCCACGTTCACAACATAGATTCTGCTGGAGTTTAGACATGGAATTATGAGATGAGACCTATAATGACAAATTCGATGAACTACCAATGTTGGTTATTAAACCTTTTCTTGTCTGGCTTATCGTAGCAAGAAGAACATGCATTCCAACCAGTGTGGTGAACCTCATCTCCCTTATTCGGGAAAACAATTTTGGAAACGATCTAAAAATGAAAGATTGATTGGCTGAAACTATATAATAGAACCTTGCAAAAATCATTGGAGGTTGAGTCCACGTTGACAGCCACTAACATATCATTTCCTCCGTCGGCATGAGGACTTGTTACGAAAAGAACAGTTTCTTTTGGAGCTCGAACAGTGGCTTCACTCGGATTGAGATATCCTGGTCCACAGCAAGGCATACTTAAGGCTTAACGAATCGGAAACCTTTTTTTTTCAAATAAACTCAAAGAAAAAAAAAGTTGAAAGTGTTTGAAGGAAGAGAACAACGAGCGTTTGAAGGAAATTAAACTTTATATCTGCTGAATTACAATTAAAGACAATAACGATTCCAAACTACAAAAAAGAAAAAGTTTTTAGAATACAAATGTATTCAACAAAACAGTGAAGTTATGGTAGTCCGGATGCACTCTTCGAATAATGAAAAGCTCCATCATATCACATCTCGTCTTATCTAATCGGAAAGGGTCAAAAGTGGAAAAATCAAAATATCTTACAAACATTTTGCTTCGATAAAGCTTTTTTTTTCTGAACAATCAATTTCCAATTTTCTAATTTAATACGTATGTCTCGCGTGATTCTTTCATACCAACGCACTTTCTCATTTGTGTTTGACCGCTGGTAGAGATCGGTTGCATTCGAGAATTCTTCGCATCATCATCATTTTTTTCTTCTTCATCTTCTAATTACCAATTATTTCGTCTTGTTGAGATATTTTCATTAATATCTGCTAGTATTTCCATCACCGGAATCAATAACTCGATCGCGACGTTTGATATGGAATGCATCTCTGAAGAGAGGAATCAAAAACAAAGCTGGCGCTAGAATTGATAAAGTTGTGAACGAGAATTTATGAGCCAGGTGTGATTCAACATATCGATAGTAATTGATGATATCATGATCATTTCCTTCAAATCCTCTAATTCCAAATAGCGGAAATAGAAGAGCTAAGAAGAAGACTAAAAATAAACATTTTTTATTTTTGAATTTTAAATTATTTGTTTGTGCAGCTTACTTGACTGGTATAATTGAAGTGTTCCTGGTATTAGGAAGTATATGTAAACCCATGTAACAGAAAAGCCGCCTTCTCTGTCTTTCTGAGATGCTCGTCTTATTGCAAAACAAGGTGTCTGACAGATTTTTTTATATTCAAGTGTTCTAACACTTTATGTTTTCCAAAACGAACCATGAAAAAGACGATAGTGGTGAGGACATTTACGAATATTTGTATGATTATATATAATTTGGTTGGAAAAAATTCTAAAATTTCATTACAAATCTCCATAACGAAAGCGATAAGCAAAGACAGTGCGGTGAGGATCATATATAACTTCCTGTACTTCTCAATATACTACCATTTAGATTTGTTATGTTACCGATACTTAGGGTTATCAGGGAATACTGTAGTTCTCTGTTTGCATATGAGAAGAAGTAGCAGAAGTTCAGTAAAACTAAATAGATTGGATAATGAGTAGTGAAGAGTGTATTCAGTCATTAATGCCCAACAGAATATCGCACTTAATAGTCAATTATCAGCTTTTAAATAGTTTATGTATTCAATTTGATCCATTGGATTTACAAAAACGATGAGAAGTGAGAGAGGATCGAAAGAAATGAAACTTGTTTGGAACTTACTAACTCTCCACATCTTCTGGATCTAGTAAAGTAATTGCTATTTTGAACACTCGGATAAGTAATAATATGGATATAATTGATAACAAAGATATGAAATGAGTTCGTATTCCTAACGAAGGCATTTTATAAACGGAAAACCATGAAGTGAGAACTATTATAATATCTGTCATCACAATCCAACAGCGATCTGAATAAATTCAAAGTTAAAACAAACTTTTCTCTCTCGTTCTCTCTCTTCCTCTTGATCTTTTTCAGAAATTTATGAAAATCTGATGGTTTATGTACGAAACTCACCATTTCCAAATATATGATACTCGAAGTCTTCGAAAGAACCACAAAAATCCATTAGTTTACAGTTGAACCAGAGCTATCTAAAAGTAGTTTTAGCAAACATAAAAGAAACTACTCTGCAAGTTACCAAGACAACTTGAATTTCACCTGAGTTCTTCAATCCAAATCAACCGGTCATTCCATTTCTCATATGAAATTCATTAGAAAATTCCGTTCGAATCGTCAAGCATTCTGACGCCAGTACCACAGAAACTGATCTGAAAGTGAGAGAAGATTTGAGCTTTATTGTTTTTCAAAAATGCAATGATTTGTGGGAGTTTGCATGTTCTTGAGATATTGACAGTTTGAAGCTTCAAAATATCTTTCATATTATTTTTTTGAGTCTTGGTAATTATCTTCTCTTTTTCAAATTTTTATCATTTAAACTTGCTCTTTGGGCAATGATTTTTGGTTGACACGACGCTCCAGCGCTAATTTTTATTTGGTCCCGACGCGACTGCATTGGTCTTCATATGCCATGAAGGCCGCTGCTTGATTATTGGTCTCTATTTGTCGATATTTTCATGTTAAGTTTCATATAACTTTCACACACATTAATGTCCGCATACCAACATTGAAATTTTGATTTTATTGAAGTAGTTCATCTTCATTTACACCTGTTTCTCTTCTTTGTTGCGTGAATTTGCTTCAACTTTGTCGGGTTTTCTGCATCTTAGACAATTCCGTTTTTTCCAGGTTTTTTTCCTCTTTGACTAATCCAACATGGGAATCTCCGATACTGATGTTCAGAAACAGCTCCGCCACATGATGGCTTTCATCGAGCAAGGTAAATCTTGCAAATATTCTTTTAAAAACTGCCGACGTTTCAGAAGCCAACGAGAAGGCTGAAGAGATTGAGGCCAAGTCTGAGGAAGAATTCAACATCGAGAAGGTGGAAAAAGATATTAGAAATTCTGTTAAGCTTGATTTCAGGGACGTTTGGTTCAACATCAACGCCAAAAAATTATGGAGATGTATGAGAAGAAGGAGAAGCAAGTCGAGTTGACCAGAAAGATCCAAGCTTCCAACTCTTACAATGCTGGACGTCTGAAGTGCTTGAAGGTAAATTATTATTTTACGTTGTTAATAGCTCTTTCTTGTATTTGAGGCTCGTGAAGAACATCTCGAGAATGTCTTAAGCGAAGCTAAGTCTAACCTTTCCAAGATTTCTGGTGACGCCCAACGTTACCCATCTATCCTTAAGGGATTGATCTACCAGGTAAGATGAATTGAGATTCTCGAAAATCCATTCTCATTTGTTTAGGCTCTTCTCCAATTACTCGAGAAGGATGTTACTCTCACTTGCAGAGAAAAGGATCTTTCTTTAGTTGAGCAACTTCTTCCTGATTGCCTCAATGCTCTTGAGAAAGAGTGGGGACAGAAGAGCAAGGTTACCGTTAATACCAAGCACTTCTTGCCTTCAAATGCTGCTGGAGGAATCGAGCTTTCTGCCAAAGGAGGAAAGATTATGGTTTCTTCAACTCTTGAAAGCAGATTAGACCTTATTGCTCGTCAGGTATGCATACTGTTTGATATAGGTATGTGATAGTTTGATTTCAGATTATTCCACAAGTTCGTACTGCTCTCTTCGGACCTAACCCCAACAGACAGTATTTCGATTAAGTTTCCAAATATGTATTTGGTGGCTGGATATGTTTGTGGTCCCCTCCCCCCTTTCAACAAAATTAGCGTAAAATGTTAAATTTGAATAAATTTAAGATGTTTCATGAAAAACTTCCAAGATCGAAGGTTTTGAAATATTTTTATATTATCAAACCGCTTGAAAAATTTCTTTTTTTCTCTGAAAAATTGAATTTTAGTTTTTCGATTCATTGTGTCTACTGTTCCATTCGTAACCCCTTGTACTCCAGTATTAGGTAAGTGTGTTTGTATGCCACGAATATATTCCGCCACCTTATATATATACTTCTCCCTTTAATTTTTGTAACGATTAAATATCCCGTTCTCTTCCGGGAGAGGCGATCGAAACATTCCAAGTGATTGTGATAGCAGAATTAACATTTTTTTACATTGTAACATAGATTTCTTACACCTTTTCACTTAATAGCTGTAGTATTGTAGATATGCTTGAGTTAATTAAACTTCTGTTTACTGGAAAGTATCGTGTAAGCTAATTCACAAAGGATATTTGACATGACCTCTTGAGATAAATTTGATTCATGATGAAACTTCTCTATCGAACTTCGTTCTTTGGCTCCCTTGACCAACTTGATCTTGGGTAGAACTACAATAACGATATATCTGTCTTATTCTACCCTCTCTTCCTACCAAACAATCAGTATTTCAACTATGTTTAGAATATAGGACTTCCTACACATCTTCTGCTGTTCAGTTAACGACTGCGGAAGGAGAGTTGATGACGCATATACATCTTAATAGTTCCGTGAACCAACATAGCAGTATGGTCCCTGTATTTCCTTTTGATTTGATGTAAAGCCACCAAAAATCAAACTCCCTATAGAGTTTTTATTTGTTGAAAAATAACTCTGCTGGAACACTCAGTCTCTTCCAAATCAGATGGTGTATACGCACGATGAGGTTAGAGGCAACAGCATAGTTAAGACAAAAAGATTGAGTTATGTTAGTGTGTGTCAGAAAATTTATCATCCATGCTCTGAACCACATTCTCTGTTTATCAATTTATTTGTACGCGTTGTTCCATAATAAACTCTTTAACTGGCTTAGGCGAGAGCGAAAACCAAGAACAGAGCATAAGAAGACATTCGTTTCATAAAAACAATTCCATTCTTGTTGTCAGAAATTGGGTTTTAAAATTTCCACAACGAGTTGAACGTTGTTTCATGAGACAAAATAACTCCATCTACGACAGAGCTCAATCAAATGGTTTGATCCCTACATTATCTAATCCGGAAATGCAGCTTCCCGACAGTTGTGTCTTTTCGGAAGTTGCAGAATCTGATGTTGATAGGGCGAGCTGCAACTTGTTGCACATACACATATACGTTTCTACATTTTTCAATTTGTTACCTCACAGACCAACTGAAAGTGAGTAACACGTACACGCATATGACCTTCCAGTTCGTGAAAAATCTCTGCTCACAAGGAACAAATGTCTGCAAATGTGAATAAATAAAACTTTTTATTCTATTTTTGAAGAGCTAAGGAATCAAGGAAATGTTTGTCAGCCCCCCTTCGCCTGAAACCTCCCAAATTTCTGTTGCAGCTTAATCTCATAAATGTTTCTTTTTTGACGAAATATTCTAAGAAAAATAGAACTTCTGTTTTCTGCAACATACCGGCTCAGTCAACAAAAGATTTCATTCAATAGACATCATAAACGAAAATTTTACTGAAACGGAAAGAACTTTTCTCCTTCCCTCTCTCCTTCACGACCACCCCACCCCCCTTTCCAACTCACAATATCCTCCATTTCCTCTTTCTTATCTGCAATCTGATTGTTGATGTTAAAATTTTGTTTAAATCCAATAAAAACGACTTAGTTAGCTGAGAAAAAGGCGAAACATTGGTCGATGAATGATTTGTGGAGATTTGAGTGTCAAATTCTGTGTGTGCGAATAAGATTCTTAGAGCCCTCATTCACCTCTCCACTTCTACAGCATTCAATGCGGAACACAATTAAGAACCTCCGAGGGTTACCGGAAAAAATAATGAAAAATTACCTTTCAAAAATCATCTGACGTATATGGAAGTACATAGGAACATGAACATCGAAAGGAAAGAACGAGTATGAAGAAGTAAGAACAGCATTAACTTTCAAATATTTATTATAAATGTAGTTATAAAGACAAATTATATCCAGAGTACAACCCGCTCGTGAAAACACATTCATTCACATATAAGTTTCAACGTTTTCCATTTAATTTGAATCGTCCGAGTCATCTTAGTGTTCTACTTTACAAGTAACTCAATATGAGCTTATAAGGACAGATAGATGAAAGAGGATTTGTTGAGAAAGTACAATCAACCTTTTTCGTTTTAAAATAAAAAAATAAAACTAAAAATTTTTCGCAAAATATAATGAATGAGCTTAGGTGGGATAAGAGAAAGCTTTGAAAATTATTTTTCTTCCAGATATTCGAAATTGGTCATTTGGCAGATTGAAGCGATAATTTGGAGACTCTTGTTTCGTCAGTTAGAGAGAAGGCAAGCAAATGGATAATGAAAAGCTCTTAAGCGGTCAAAATGGTCTTTTCATAATAATACAAAAAAATAACAACGATAGCGATATTGCCCAATCATATGTATACGAATCGTCTATTATCCAACAACTGAACTTATAAGCATTTCACCCTGCCTCGACCAATCACAGCAAATGTAATGACGAAGTAGCATACGATATTTCTCAGAAAACAGCATGTAGATGCAGATGTTACATGAAGCATTAACAACTACCTGAAAATAATTAATTTGTAATGTTAGCCCCTCAATCACATAGAATTGTTAGAAAAATTGAAATAGCATCAGAAGACAACTGCCAACAGTCGTTATCAGAAGTTTGTTTAAGAAAATTAATGACTTGACCAGAATTTCTGTCCGACTTCAATCGGTTGAAAAATCAAAATCTTCACTCTCACTATCTCTCCCTCTCTCTCTATTTCTCTCTCTGATTTAGTTCTCTCGCTTTGTCTGTCTCATGAAGTTATAACAACAGTAAAGTGTAGCCGAAAGAATGGACAAAAACACACAAAAAGTGAAACAAAACCTTCTTTTGTCATTTTCTTTACATTTTTGCTGAAACCTTCGGCCATTATCTGCCCTACATTCTCTCTGATTCTCTGTCTCTCTTCGTTCTGTTAACAATCACCTTCCCTCTCCTTCATTCATCAAGCACTTTGGTGATGTGAAAGAGAAATAAGAAAAATGAAAAAGAAGACGAAGAAGAGGTTAATGACGGATAAAATATATATTTTTTTGTTATTTAAACACAAATAAATATTATATTTCATCCTATATTTCTTTTCCTCCGGGGCAAGCGCAGCAACTCAACAATAAGAGGAATTGTTTAGTTTTGCTTTCTTTTTTTCTCAGTTTTACCAAATTATGTTGGTAAAAACAGAATAGAAGAAAGAGAAGAAGACAAAAAAATAAATAATTAGAAGAAGACGAAGAAGGATAAGACGAGTAGAAGGATAGATGACGAAGAAGAAGAAGCTGACGCTGTTATTGAAGACAATGCAATTGAACTCACCAATAGGTTGTTGAATGTTACAAGAGCCTGATAGATCGTACTGATTTCGTCCAAGTTTTCCATTATGTTACAAACAAAAGCTAGTGTATTACATGATATGAACAGAATAACGATAGCTATTAGCATAATTGAAGTTTGACGTTCCTTCCTTTCAGCTTTTTTCGAATATTCATCATTTTCTACGCCACACTGCAAAAATTTTAATAATTATTCCATTTTTTTTCTTCGTTCGCTGTGTTTATGAAAATAAAAAATATTTTTTTAAATAGAAAGTATAAAAAAATTTTTTCTGTCTTCGATTGCATTTGGCAATGGCTTGATTAGACGCCATCGTCGTATTGCAAGACGTTGTCACGAACGATAAATATATGAATATTAACAACAATGATTAGATATATATATAAGATTATAGTAATAAAAATAATAAATAATTAACCTGGCTAACCATATGCATTCTCCTACTCCTTCTAACAGCCAATAAAACCATTGAATTTAATGCAATTAACAGTGTGAAAGGCACGACATACATAACAATGGTATAGACCCATCCAAAGAAAACAATTCTGAAAATTAAAATTATTTTTAAACAAAAAAAAGAAAATGAAATTGTCTGATAGTATAAGTAATGAATGAATGCAACCGCATCGTGTGTTGTACTAGCGTATACTTAAAGGATTATAAAGTTCACGTGCAGTTGCACGTGTTTTTGCATATGCTAATGTTGCTTATTAGAGTTGCATCAGATACTGACCGATAGATGGATGATAGACGTAAAGCTGTTGGTTGTAGTGATGGCATATAGTAATTGATGTTAATTCGATAACACACATTTGAGACGTGTACCTGAAAATAGAAAAGAATAGTTTTGCTTCGTCCCTCTCATCATATTGTTTCTCTTTCTTTCCCTCTAAGTCTTCGAGTTCGTCTATAGACGAAGAAGAAAAATTTGGAATTGTTGTATAACAAGGAATTAGTTAACGAGATCTTTGAGAATTGCAGAAAGAGAAGGTTAGTGGAAGAAGAGTTTGCGAACAATATTTTCTTCGAATAATTCAAACAGAAGTTTAATGAGAATGAAAACTGTCTTGAGAATGTTGTTTCCCTCGCAGAGATTGCAAGGAGAAGATGCATAGATGGAACGCGGAAGAAAGAAATAGAAATTGGAAGTTGATGAAGAAGATGAAAGCTGAACAACGCAGAAGAAGGAAACTATTTTTTGTGCTCAAGTATAAACTACGTTTGATAATGTTTCTTTACACTTCATGCTTGTTCCCCTTTTCACTATTTCTCTTTCGTCAACGTACTCTTCGCGGAAGACTTCTAAAGAGAGAAATAAGGAGAGTAGAACGAAAAAGAACAAATTGTAAACAAGTTGGTGAAAAACAATAAAAATGTTATTAAAATAGAGCAAAATGGAAAGAAATAAAAGCTAACCTCGAAAAATCGTGTGGTATTGAAGAGAACGGCAAAAGCCAGTAACGATAGTATGAATCGTGTGACGCGCTTCTTCGGTAGCCATTCCATTGACTTGTATGGATGGCATACACCTATGTAACGGTGCACTGATACTCCTACTGTCATGAAAACACTGAAAATAAATAACAATAACATATTGCACTATATGAACTCTTTCTTTATTTTATTTTCTGAATATGATTATGAAATGCAAAAGTAGGTGTTTGATCATCTGGTTCACGTCATATTGAACGATATCGTTCTACGTCGTTTTTCTTCAACAAAAAATTTTGTTTCAACGTCATATTTTTTGAATTCGCACAAAGCTGCTCTCTCTCTCCATCTCTCCATCTCTCTCTCCTTGTCTCTGTGCATATTAGCGAGAAAAGAAACTATTTTTTTAGCAGCAGCATATTTTTATTATATCTTTTCATATAATTTGTCATCATCATAGACTACAATTATTTGATTTTCGCTTTTTCTGTTACTCCCTTCGCTCTCTTCGTCTTCTCCTCTTTCAATCTCATATCTTTTATAGCTTTTGGAGACTCCTTTACAAGCGTAATTTAGCCAAATTAAAATGGACAAAATCGTGTAAGAGCATGTTCTCCTCATGCATCGCTCTGTTTCGATGTCGACTGATGATGACGTTCTAATGAAAGATACTAAGAAACACATGAAAAAAGAAAATGGAGATAGATGAGTTACAAAGAAAAAAAGAAATATGGTCCCTCATGACCTCAAATAGGAATTAAAAGAGAAAGAGAGAAAGGGTGAGAGGGAGAGGGAGAGAGAGAGAGAGTCAAAAAGGCAAACTAAGTTTAACTCAATTCTCACTCTTGATTTTCCAATACAAATAAGATAAGCTTATGTGGATCATCCCCAGAAACTTTCGTCGTTTCTCATCTCTTCTCATCTTATTCTTTTCTTCTACTTTCTTTGCTTTTATTCTTCGTCGTCTTCCGTTCCAACAGTTTTTTGTCTTTCCTTCATTATTGTTTCAAGCTTATGCCAATCTTTTCTTAAAGCACAGAAACAACAACAACAACCAAAAAAAGAACAAAAAGAAAAGAAGAAAAGCTTCTTCCATATTTGATGTCATTCGCTTTTTCATAATTAATAAAGAGTTGCATAGAAACAGTGCTTCTGATGTAATGCTTTCTCCTTCTCTTCTCGAGGTCATCAACAAATCTCTTTTCGACAAAAATTTGCAATTGCAATGAGTTTACAAATCAAGAATCAGTCTGAAGTCCAATCAAGTCCAAAAAACCATGAAGGAATGCCAACGGAAGAATGAAGTTAAATCATTCCTAACTCAATAAGCGTTTCTTGAAATCGCAGCATAACATAACATACATAGATCCATACAAAAAAATAGTTACTACATGAGTCTTTTTTTAAACTTTAAGAGGAAGAAGAGATGACTGATTCTCGATCTCAACGATGAACTTGCTTGTGAACGTTGAGCGAAGCTGAAGAAGGATTCGCCGATGATTAGCCAACAAAGCTTTGAAGAATCTTTCATGTCAACATAACTTCTTTCATAGTCAGCCCCCACATATGAATGAATCGCAACATATGTGTTTTCGAAAAATTCAAAAATGGTAATGAAGTTAAGGAAATTTCTCTTTTCTCTTCCTCCCCTCCAATCCGTTTGCAGCTTTTTCAAATAATAACATTAAAGTGCAGATTTGCCATAAAATAATTTATAAATTAGACAGGCTTTTCCTCTGGACATCTTACCCTCTCATGACGCTTACACATGCTGTTTCGGAAATACGAGATTGCATAAAGAAAAATGTACCTATTATTATGGAACTTAGCCTGTCATATCTAAAAGGAAACCCCACAGAGCTTCAATCAAAAAAAAAACGTTGAAAGCCTGTCTCAAGCACACTCATACACTCACACACATGACGAAGGCATTTCGTTTCTTTTTAATTTGAGTCAATTAATTGTTTTTATTCTTGTGCTCAAGAGATAGATAGAGACGTCAGAAAGATAGAGTCGTTAGAAATCGACAAGGGCAAGAAGTAGGTAAAAGGTCGAAAGACGTGGGAGATTTCATTGATTGACGACTATTTAGAACTAAAAGCTTCTGTTTATGTTTTAGTTTTCAGAACATCAAAAAGCACTTTTTATTCCTAAAAAGGAAGACGAAAACCTTCTATTCAAATAAGGATGAATGATCATATAAGGACTTTAATCAATCTAAAGTTTTCCTTATGAATAACTTCCATTTCTTCAAATTTTAAGACCAAAAACTACTATTGTTCCAATGAAGAGAGAGAAAGAGAGAGAGACAGAGATAGAGAGACAGAGAAAGAGAGAGAGAGGGAGAACGAAGATGGGAAAATAGCATTTTCATCTCCGGCTTCGACATCTCGAATTAACTTAATTCTGTTGCTTTTTTGAAGACTCCATGAAGTTGCGATGAAAATGAACTTGTAGGCCGTTCAGTTCACTCCAAACTCATATCCGTCTCATTCACTCACACCATACTCAGTATCGGATAATTGCATTACAATGAAATGAGGAACAAAAATTTACCTGATAGTTTGAGCAGTCATCATCAATCCATAGAAATAAGGAGCTACTGAATAGCTGAAAATAAAAAAAACTTAATTAACTCTTGAGAGGTACTTTTTGAAAGAATTGAGTTACAAATGCGCTTTCAAATGCTTTTTTTGGTGGGGGGGGGGGGAATCTTTGAGAGCTTGTGAGGATTCTTAATCATCTTGGTGATCAAGTAACATGAACGTTTCTTAACTCACTTTCAAAATGATATTTTCGACTGTTGTCCCCACACACTTTCTTTCTCTGCTTGTCTATATCTATCTCATACACTTATCATACTCATGCTCTTTTCTTCGATTCCAGTCCGAGTATTTTGATGAGCGACATTGAGAAGGATAATAAGCTTGTTTACATACGCTTTTCCCAAACTATTATTATGGATTCAGCGAGAACGTTTTTTTTTGAAAATATGCATGTGCTTTTCTATATTAGGAGAAATAAAATAATAATTACTTTGCTCGTGGTTGTATGCACGAAGAAGATCAAAACTAAAAGGTTTCGGTCGGAGGCATTGACTTCTACTCATATCCCTCTCACATCTCGATTTGTTCGTCATGTTCATGCTACCCAAGGAAAGTTTGTCAATTTTTCCTGTCTTGTTCCGTATCATAGCTGAGCGGTTTGTTCCAACTTATTCAAACGAAAACAACAACATTAAAACCTTTTGTCTTCTTTTCAGAACAAACATAATTCTGTATACTATTAGAAAGGAAATAAATTTAAGCTCAGAACAAAAAAAGAGAGGAAATGAGAAGCAAATGGTATAACTGGACCCAAAAATAGCTGTAGCCATCAGGTTATCTAGTCGCTGCCTCGGAATGGCAACAACTAACAACAACAGTTTTTAACCAAGTTGTTCTTTTTTCTCCGCTTCTATCTCAGTTCTATGCTACAACTCTGGGCAGGTTCGCCGCTGGATAATACGACTAACATATATCTTATAAGAAAGTTATTGTTTCAACCCAAGCTCTCAATTCATGAACAAAAAATAAAGAACCGCACTGGGAGACTTCCGTCTTTAAAATCGCAACATTGCGGCTTTTCATAATGATGAAACATCAGGAAACATTTCAAGCCTTATTACGGATAAATCCTCTGCAATCTCCGGCAAACCCAAACATGAAATCATTCTTAACTGATACAAGCCTCGTGTTTAACTCACACAGCTTATTTTTCGGATGCTTCTCCAAAAAAAGTGTCTTCCAGAACGAGCTAGGAGAGAACAACAAAAAAGGATTTGAACATGATGAAACACCTCTCTCTCCGAGCAACTTCTCACATGCAACATCAAATACGTGCTCATCGTTTCTTTCTGTCCCCACGACCTAAAGCCGGCTTCACACTAATCCGGCTGAAACGTAGGCAAAATGCTTGCACAAGGTTGCCAAGCTAGCTTCCGGCACCCAGTCAAGCTGCCATTGAAATCACATTCAAAACGAAACTGTCACGTGTGTCATAAAATTTTTATGACCATCGGTTACATAGAAATATAGAGTGAACGAAGAAAAAAAGCTCTTAATTGAAGCATGATTGATGAAATGTTTGTGTAAGCAATCGCCTTAACATGTCCCCAGCAACTGTTACTCAATCAGTCGTTCAGAAGGCATTTTCATTCTTCCTTTGTTTCGCTTCAACTATAACAACCGTGTTTTGAAGCTTTTTCTACGATGATACTCAAACATGACGAATACACAAAACTATTTCTAGAAACACAAGCAGCTGTAACTCTATGACATCCACGACGATATCAATGACGAAAAGCTGATGATGAAATGATTCTGTTCTCAAATCTTGTGAACAAACTAATTTAGTGAGTGTCATTTACACCAATAAAAGGCAATATCCACAAGAAAGCCACTTGTTCACAGCATCCGAAATCAAATTTCCTTTCACATCAAAGGCCAAGCTTAACGCAACTACAACGAAGGATGGTAAACTGATAAATGACAAAGAAAACCAAAACATCTAACAGACTTCAAGAGAAAACAACTTTTGCTCTTTGAAGTTGCTAGAGATAGACGCGCTAACCTCCTATTTCAACAGTTTCACATTGCTCACAGAGATATTGAAAGCGGATCATACTTGACAATCTCAGAGAGCAGCTCTTCTCATCTTTGATGTAGATAAATTTGTGAAAAAACTATTCATTACTGAAGTGGAGGAAGTTAACTGAAGCAATAAACGAACAGTCGAAAGCATGACGTGGGCTTTAAAAGCAGGGGAGACTTCTGATCATTTATTTCCTCTCAGCTTTAACAAATCTCGTCATTTATTCATGAAACGATTCAGAACAAAACAGTTTTCCTTCCTTGAATCATTTCAGCACCATTCTCAAAAGTATGGAAGTGCCATATTCACTTTCCCATTTTCCTTCCTTCTCTCTCTCCGTCTCTCTTTCCTCAACTTCTTATGGTTCTTCTTCTTTTCTAATTATCCCTTTGGAACAGTTTCCTCTGTCTGCTCAGCGACAACAATCCATTATTTAGAGAAAAAACAAAACATTGCTCATACATGTCGAAAAGCGGGCACACACACGGAGTACCAGCATGCTTTGAGTTGAAAATGGAAGATGCTCTTTATGATTTTTTGTCTTAAAACCAGATAGTTGAAATATGAGACAACTTGTCTTCTTATATTTTCTCACTTTCCATATTTGGTTCAAAGAACTTCTTGTTCGGATATTTTATTGACTTCCGAATGTTATACAAGCTCAGAAGTAAAGAGCTTTGGTCTCTCAAATCCTATGTATTATGCCAGGACAACTTGCGCGGCGAATCAGAAACAATTGTTAGCTGTTTCTGTTACAAAACGTTGTTTCAACTTACAAAGGATAGTTTTTATTGTCAAACAACGATTTGAATGCATGAAGAACATATGATATTGAGATTGAAGTCTCAGGAGAATGAGGAAGAGGAAATAAGATAACGATTTTCGAGCATTGGCAGGAATAAGGTTACAGCTAGTTAGTCTCAAAACATCAAGGTTAGGGATATCTCCGTAAAGCAAATCATAACATCAGAAACTGCGGCGTGAGTTGTGAAGAAGGGAAAGACAAAGAACATAGCATTTGACCCTAAATGTCTTACTTCCTTCATTCCATTAAGCCAACACTCCTCAGATTCTTCAGAATCAGAGTTCATCAAAGAAAAGTATCTTAAACATCACTAACTCTCGTTCTGGGGATCTTCCTTTCCAAAACAAAACAAAAAACCCCTCAACCCATTATTATCCTAAGCTTATAACTGTGAAATCCGTGATTGAAGAGATAAATACAAAACGGCCAAAACTGACACACATGTTTCTTGCGAAAACAATCAAAAGCGCAGAGTAACGATTAATTAACAGCATTAAATTGAAACAAGCTTACCTTATATAATTGAACCGCCATAAAGATAGAAATTCGCCTAACCTAGGCATAGATAATACGAAAAAGGCGGAAACAAGAATAAAAGTATCAGAAGCCGAAAGAACGGCTAAATACCAATTAATGGAAGAGCTGGACATCAGACGATGAGTAAAAATTCGTACACTTGTCAAGTTCGCGCAAAGGCCGAACATAATAATAGGTAAAGCAACCAATCCGAGTAGAACTCTTTCTGGATACTCATAAAACTGATATTCAAAATGACAATCGCAGGAGGTGTTTAGAACAGTACACATAGGTGAATCATACATTGCTGGATGGGAGGAACCAGCCAATGAATCGCTCCCGTTCTCCATTCTGGATCAAACAAGCACAAGGAGCTAGAAGATCTGAATGACGAGGTGAGGCTTGGCCCGAGGGAAGAAGGAGGCGGGAAGTCGAGCGCAGGCAATGACTGGAATTCGGGGCTGTCCAACAGAAAATGAGATAAGAGGAGATAGACGGAGAATACTTATAGCTAGCTTAAGACTGGGAGTAGTGAATAGTAAAAATTAATTAGTAAGGATAAATAATTAGTCAGTAGACGAATTAACGAGAGAAATCCTTATTGAGGAAAACGCTCGTCGTACCGGCTGTCGCGAATATACTTCACTCGGAGCAGACGACCTGAAAAAAATTCGATTAACTTCCCATTCATGTTCAAATGAAATTGAAATAAAAAAAACAACAGAAAGAAACTGGAAGAACAATATTGAAACGAAACAAGAATTGAATTTAGACAGAGTTGGGTTTGCAAGAGTGTATGAGACGATTATTAGATATATATAAAATTTTATAATCAATTGGTATTCGGGCAAGTTCATCTACTTTGGTTTTACTGTCTTTAGAGAAGCACACAAAGCAGAAAAGATGAGAAAAAAAAGAAAAGGGGGAGGAGAATAAAGAAGAAGTGAGGGTAGGACCATTGCGCCTGGAACTGGGTGAAAACATTCTGCGACAAAGCGCGTATGTCATAACAAGCTGAGTGGTCTCGCACAGCTTTCCCTCCCACCTCTTGCTTTTTTTGCGAGTTTTTTCTTATAAATCCACCAAACTTCAAACAAATTTCCATAAAATCGCAGACTATGGGTGGCTAACGCAAAAAACCGTTCGCAAAATCAATTTGGCATCTGTCTGCTGGATTGCCAGAAACGAACATGAGAGGAATATATGAAAAATTGAAAACAGGCGTATATAAAAGAAAGAAAGATGAATTATGTTGATCGAGAATGAACAATGTGAAAGCAGATTTCAACACGTTTCTACTGAAAAGCCTCATTCCATGATTGGAGAAAAGAGCTCAAAATGCTCATTTATCATAAAAATTTGCTGTATACATGAGCTTAGTAGGAGCAGAACGTCTAAATCATGAAGATTTGGAAGCTGAATTGACTACTCAGCTTATGAGAATTCCAAAAAAAAAATGCTACTTTACTCATTTTACAAGAACAGGGAAATATAACAAGCAGGGCAAACGGATCATCATCATGGCTTTCTTCATACGGAAAGAGCGTTAAATTAAGGCTCACAGATCGTGAATCAATAGTAATTAAAGCAGCAAAGTAATATTTCTTATTAGTTAATAATTATTAAGATAATATATAGTCAAAAATGACGCTTTTATTAGGTAGCAAATTCTATATATGGCAAACAAGCCTATCCATTTAGTCTTTTTTTAGTCTATTCTGATTAGCCCATTTACTTCGTCATGTAAGTCACATCAAAGTGGATACTAAGAAGCAGAGCGTTGAAACACGAATGACAGATTAGAGTAATCAAAGTGGCGTTCGAAATTCGAAAGAATGAACAAACCAAAAATTTGGTAATGTAAATGGTAGGTGAAAAACTAATACATTACACGAAACGTTTGATTCTATCATAAATATTGAAATAGATCTTGAAGAGAAAATGATTTCGATCATTCAGATACTTACTTCAAAGAGCATCTGATAAGTTCAGTTCGAACAAACTTTCAACATATCGAAGCAAGCAAAAGAGCAATCCGTGCCAGAGTGTAGGGGTGCTGACGAATGAGAAGTTTGGACAGGAAGAGGAAAGAAAAATAAACAGAATAATAAGGACTATAAAAGGCTTACTGCCTTGAATAGCGGTGTGTCCCGTGCTTAAGCTGTTCCTCTACAGCAAATAATGTTTTGAGATAATAAATTGCAATTTTGAAAAAATGAAGAGGAAACACGAAAATTATCGTTCACCTCGCAAGCTGAGAGAGAAATTGAGTGAGAGACTGCTCGAGAACATGAAGCACATGGCTCGACCCTTCAGCTGACGAAGAGGAATCATCGAAGTTTTATCAGCAATAGCAACAGCATCAAAATGTTTTCAAGGATTCAGTTTACGCTTTCTTCTTTTATTTCGACGTGGCTAACTATTTCAAAAACTTAATTTTAAAAATAAAAGCGATATAATGATTCGAATTGAAACTAAAATAATTCAATCTCATATACGAGCCAGGTGGAAAGAAATATTGCTGACAGGTGGAATTAGAAATTTATCTACTTGATAGTAAGATGAAAGAACCAATATTCTATAAATTAAAAAGCAATTGGCGGTTACTTCAATTCTGGAAGTTGAAAGTAGGAGTTGCCATTTGGCCAATTCCAGAAATCATAACAAACTTAGAAGTAGCGAGAACTTCGACAAATATGGCTAAAAGTTATAAAAGACACACAAAATTATCTAAATGGATAGTAGTGAACCTATTGAAACGGAAATTAACAAAGCAGACTTTTGGAGTAACTTATATGGCTATATATGGTGAAGACGGAGCAACGGAGATGTAAGAGAGAGTGTAAAGATTGGAGAGAACATCAAAAAATATTAGAATTATGAATGAATTTAACGCCTCAACCGTTAAATGCGGAAACGGCTCTGGGCAGGTCGATCGACGGAATTGGAAACGGAAATGTGTTGTACTTTAGCGATCTCTTAAGACTAATAAACTTTCAAGTTTTAAATCCATTTGAAGCTGTTTTCGTGACGAATTCCTGAATAGGCTTACGCAATATATTGCTAATGATATAGCAGATATTGGTAATATACAAAACAACTAAACATTCTGATGCTTGATACATACGAAATGATGTTAGAAGGTTCAAAATAGAAAATGTTTGCTCGACAGGTTAACTTAATTCTCAGTCAAGTACAATATCTGATGAATGAGTCGAAAAGAAACAAAGAGGAACTTCTTCATGCTCTCCGGACACCGATCAGTTTCAGATCTTTCACAAGTTAGAAAGCAAAAAAGTTGAACAATGATATGACAAGTTACGACAAGAAGTCCTCATATAGAATTTATGAACGGCTTCCCATCTGAGAAAGTCACGATGACCGAGACAGTTAACCCCTACTTCCAACTATCCAAATCTAAACATTAATAAACAAATAACCTCAACCCATTCAAAAACGCGTTACGCCAGCCTTAAGTATCGTTCTAACAATCCCTTGGCGAAAGAACTTCGAGAAGAAGTTCACTTATTCATCAGTTTCAAATAAACCCTGGGGAAGAAGAAGTCCAAAAAACAAGGCTGACATTCACAAAATAGCCGTCTATCCTAAGTACATCAGACCTGTATATCTTCTTCAACTAAGAGACAGCTAGTAGAAATAAATTAAATACAAACAGAGGAACGAACTCGTATCATGATGAATAGGTTTTCACACTACTTTCAACTTGACATTCCCAGAAGACTTTGAGATGCTATGAATTAAAAAAAAACAAAAATAAGAATCAAGAACTTCTAGTACTAAAAAATTGTTGGTGAAATATTACCAAGTTCGCTGGAAATGTCATGTTAAGGAGGCTCCTCCCTGGGGGAGATGAAAAGACGAATCAAAGTTGGGTACAACACAGCTCAATCTTCCAAAACATAGACAATATGTCATAAAGATAAATTTTTGAGACTATCTTATTGCGTTTCGGATGAAACAGTGAAGACGAATAGTGTTATGGAAAATCTATTTAGAAACAAAATAAAACTTTAGCTTATGGCATGCTCAAATACAGAATTGATAAAAACGGTAAGAATAGGCCTGAATTGAGCTGCTCATTAAAAAACTAAAACAAGTTTTGAACAGGAAGTTGTGTGAATCTACCTACGTTACTTAACAAGCAATGAGAGAAACGAGATCAGAACCCCAAATAAGCTTCATCAATGCTTAATTATGGAAAGGGTTCATTTCTACCTTCTACATCTCAGTTTAAAAGTCAGAATATTAAAAAAAATAAGCGACAAACAACAAGATGTTAGAGTTTTGAAAAAGCTTAAACTTTATAGAGGTGAAGTTATCAACAAGCTCCTTAAGGTGTCGTGAGAAATACTACTTATCCTGGAAAGGAAACAGATATTCTAGAAGAGGAAAGAAATGTTCGTCAAAGAGATAAAAACAAGCAAGTATACGGATAAAAGGGACTAAATCAGTACCACTCACGCTTTCGCACTCAGATTTACACCCTAGATGGAATCTCAACCATGTGCTACATCATTATTCGCAAGGCGATAGCCATGATGCCATAAAAAGACAACTAAAGATAGAGTCATGAACAAAACTGACAGCTGAAAGTTAACAATTCCAACTGATCCCATGAGATTGGTAGTCATAACATTGGGACTATTAAAGGCTTATATATTCTGGTTCTAGGAACTGTTCATTGACCAAAGATTGTAACGATTATCTTAAGTTTTAACTTAATGTCCAACTATTACCATTTGACTTCATCTACAAAACTCACGAAAACGCTATTCAAAGTGCTTCGCAGTCTCAAGTTTTCAAATTTGCGGAAATTGTAGAAAAACATGAAACTCCGAGAAAGTCTGAATATGGTAAAGAAAAAGAATATAGGAGATTTAGAAAACAATTGCTTCTATTACCACATTTATAGGGACCATTCAAGGAAAACGTTCGAATTTCGCATGTCTGCTTAGTGCGCAATAAACAGGGAAATGTAAAATATAATGAGAATAATCAGGCCGAATGAAAAAGAATTAGCTCATCTAAAAATCAAGTGCTCGCCGACAGACGCTACAACGAATTTAACACATAAATGACACCAGAAAAGTATTGGCTTTAATCATTAAATACAAGATATCTCTCGAACAAAGAGCATTTTCATAAAACTTCTCGCTATTGAGAGCATGCAGAAACGTCGCGTTTTGCCCGAGAAATCTTATACGGAAAAAGAAAAGTCATGTTAACCATCATAACAATTTAAAAATGGACTTTCGTAAAGATAATGACTGAAAGTATGAAAACAGTCCTTATATGATATGTTACCAAACCAACAAACCAAGAGTATAAAGAGGAAAAGAAAATCAGTAAATAGAATTCTTATTAATGACTTATTTCTCATTTGTTGAATAAGTCACGGACTATTAACACAATGTAATAATAGTCTATGTAACTAAGTCAAAACAAAATTTCAAAAGATTATTCGCGATTTTGAAAGTTTCAAAGCTTCGCGGAGAACGGAATAAGCGTCTGAATGCACACACATACACACCTATGGAAACCTAACCATGTATGATGTTGTTATAAAGTAAGAAAATCGGCAAAGTAATAAAGCGTAAACTAATGTTAATGTATATACATACACGCATAGATATATACACAGAAACAAAAAGTAGCATCTTAATTATTCGTAAAACTTTCCAAATCAATCGCTTAATAGCGATTGGTATGTAAAGTTATTCGTTCATTAGACATTGTCTCCGTATGACTAATTAGTAATAAAATAAGATGAGGTTTCAGTAAAATGAGGAAACGGATAGCTAAGTGCTTTGAAAGCTTGATTAGCACGAAAAAACCTACACGTCAATAGTCGAAAACCTTAGGAAGTCAATAGAATATTTAATAAAGCCTAAAGAAGAAGAAGGAGGCACATGAACACAAAGATTTTCGCAGATATCACAACTGCAATGTTAATCGATGCTAAGCTAACACTTTTCAAATCAGTGGGTTCCAGCTAGATGATTTTTGAGTTCTTGCCAACACAAAAATAGAAAAAAAACTCAAAAATCGTTGGTTTCTTTTTCGCAGCAAGGACAGCATATGACACTTCATTCAGTGATGCCAGTTTGTCTATGTATGATCTTCTTTGAGGACCAAGTGTAATGTGTCCAGCAAAAGATATCACAACGGGGGAAAACCTTGGAATTAAAAAAAAAACATTTGCCAGGAGAAAAAAGTGTCCACGCTAGAATAATTAGCGCATTAGTTCAAAACAAAAGTAAATTGAATAAGAGTAATAATGGAAAATGGCAGAAGGTATGCAAATCTTATTTAGTTCCAAATAGCAAAAAAAAGAAAAGATGAAGCACAGCCAATTCCGCTTTCAGTTTCAGATAATAAATTGGTCATGCTCAAAAACACGACATTGAAGTTGTCTCTCTCTCTTGCTTCAAAAACAACATGCCATACAGAGAGCGAAACACAAAAAGAAAATGAGAGCAAGCACGCCGAGAAAAGTTTCAGTGATCAATTATACAAACAAGAACCATCAACAATCTAGCTAAGATTATTTGGAGAAAGCAAAATTTAATATAGCGTTCGTGATGAACACAATAGAAGGGAAAATGGCAGAGAATAAAAAATTATGAAAAACTCACAAACATTAGGCGACCTCAATGCCTCTTGGCTATTTGATTCTCAGACCGTCATTTACGACCGCTTTAGATGAAATAAACTTGAAAATAAAACAACAAGCCTTTCATTTCCACGTCTTTCACGTTTTCCACGAGTCAATATTCAAGTGAAATTTGAATAACGTGAACAAATCGATAGTTTGTCCACTACAGATAACCACGTGGAAAAAATTTAACGTAAACTGAGAATAAAACGAGAGAATAGAGCAAGGAAGAGTTTACGGTCCCTTGAGAATTCAATGAAGCAACAGAAACTTCATGTTAAATTCTTGCAAGTTTGAAGAAGTATTGAGAAAGGAAATGGTAAAGGAAAGTCACCTAATAATAGAATTAGAAATAGTTTCCTGGTCGAATTTAAACAACTTAAAACATCAAGAAAAAAGAAAGCAAAAGCCAATGGTGAGAAAAGCGTCGGAGATTAGAGTTAATGAAAAGACAGATAAAAGCTCTGATTGAGCAACCTCGGTGACAGAGAAAAAAAACAAAATAATGTACGAAGCTGGCAGCAACGAAAAAAAATGACATAAACTATCTCATAGAATTAACAAATCACACAAATCAAACAAAATTGAAAATTAATTCCATTCAGTATAACAAACTTCGAAAAAATAGAAGTCGGGTGCGAAAATACGCTGCTCCTAGATACACACTCAAAAATGAATCGAGTAGTCAAAACAAGCAAAAAAGAATGGAAAATGTCGTTGAATTTGAGAATCAGGCTTCAAGCTGAATTGTTTGTAACTACTCTTAACTGAAGCTAAATGTTTCTCTACAAAGGAAACTTGAAGAAAACACTTACTCCCATAAGAAGGATTGGTGTCAGAGAAGAATAAGAGCACAAAGGTCATTACAAACTTGAAATCATTACGGAGCATTAACTCCAAATAAGTTCGTAATGTTTCATTGGGAAGTTTGCAAAAAAAAACGTTAAACATTCAAACTCGCTGTTACAGAAACATAATTAAAGAAGAATTGATCAAAAATTACGTGTCGCTAGGAAAGTCAACTGTTTATAACTATTTTGAGAGGCAGATTAGCTAACGAGGACGCTCATGAGAGAAGCATAACAAGACGGCTTTCCGGAGCAATTGTGAATTCAAAAAAGTTGCATCGGAAACCTGTTTCACAGAACGAAAATACCCAGAAAGGACAAAAATAAGGACCGATTATTTTGAAATAAGTATGGTATATGGCCAATTAAGAGAAGAATAAAAGGAAAGGACAAAAGGAAGGAAGGGACTCTTGCTGGAAACACTTTTTCATCGAATTCCAGATCAATTTTAACGTTTGAATACGTTATGAAGGTGAAGAACTCATGGAATGATTAAGATACAATTAGATAGCTTCATCACGAGATCGACCAAAGTAGCAACAACTTTGACCAGTAACATGTTCGAAATGTAGGAATAAGCAATGAATTAAATGGTTCAAAAATCTAAGAGAGAGGCTACAAATTTTGTATAAAGACGAATCCAAAACCTAAGGTGCAAAGAAAATGAGAATTATCCTACGAGTGGAAGCGAGACAATGCTGCATGCCGGAGCATATCAATTTACTTCGGGTGAATACCCATGAAAAACATAAAATTGACCTGGGTGCGACTTTACAAACAAAAATATAGCTCAAGCTAATTTTCTAATTCAGTTGTCGTGCTATATAGAAAGAAATATTATACATAAACTAACCATTGTACCATGTTGAATGAAGGGCATTAAAGGCAGACTTGGATTCTTCCAAATTTTTCAGCTTCATGAAAACAAGGCCTTCCTAAAAAAAAAAATTGAGTTGAAGCCATCGGAAAACTTATAACAAACCGGAGCCTCAGTAGAGAAGCCAATGTGAACGGGCTGCGCTGGATAAACCTTTTCAATCAAATCTTTACGGAGAACGGCGAAATCAACACTAAATAAACTAATTTTTCTCATAAACACAAAAACCACTAACAACTCTCCAATTTTATTATTGAAGACTTCTCTTATTTTCAATGAGCGCGTAAGAGCATAAGCTGGTCCGGAAGGAGACATTGGAGAGCTCGGATTCATCGCTGCAATTCATAATTGAATAAGGTTTGGAAACTTTGACTGCTCTTTTGATGGTGATAAATGTTTATTGTGATTCACGTACATAAAACAATGCAAGGCACAAAATATTTCAATTGTGAATGTACAGATTATTTTCAAAACTTCGGCCTACCATTTCCTTGCCATCCTGTTTTCTTATATGGAAGCCATCTCCAAACAGCACATTCCTGTCCGTGAATTACTCGAGTTTCAGTTGACATGCGAGATTCGCTCGAATCCAAAAATTCAACTGCCCTATTCCAGAGCTTCAGTTCCGATTTTGTTCTGCAAACTGATATTAAACACATTCGAACTAAAAATACCTTTTAGATGGAGGGAAAATAATATCTCTGACATGGGGGACGGAAATGTACTGTGCCCCGTCTCCATTTTCAGACGAATCGCGAACAAAGTCTGAAAGGAAAGTATTCCCTTTTTACAACAAAACTTCATACCCATGATTTTCTCAACAAGAGTTTGGAACTTCTCTTCCTCCTTGACTTGATTCTCTTGAACACGTTTGTATAAGAAGAAAATAGCAACAACGAGGAGTGCAGCTGAATAAAAAATTAGATTTTTTCTCGAAATATGGAATACCTCCAGCAACAAGAAAAACTGGAAGAACAGCATACGTGTAGAAGAATCCGATGGTGTCTCTTGTGGTGGCTACAATGAAGCATGCGTTAATGAATACAAAAATAATAGTACCGGCCAAGACGTTCACTGTTCCAAGAACAACTTCTCTACGAGCAGTTGCAACATAAGCCATACCCAGAAGTAAAAAGAAAATTGATAATACAATCATCAGTATAGTTGAAACGTCTCTGAAAAAAAATCTTGAAATGACATGGTTTTAAACTATTTCTAACCTTCCAACAGAAAGTGGTTTTGTATTCTTTCGTAACTGAGCAGGAGTTGTTGTCTAAACTTCTAAGATATGTGAATATGTTTGCTGCGAACTAACATTTCTACCAAGAATCGACCAAGCCTTTTGAGAAGTCCCCATGCGTTTTGGATTATAGAAAACTCTGCTAGATTCAAGAACTTCTCCATCAGATTCTTCACCAGTTGTATTTCCCAAATCATGCAAGGTTCGAGATGCTGAAGTTATTGCATTAAACTACTACAGGTAATACACTTTGAACCTAATGATTCATCTAAAGTTTTCTTGGCCCAGCTAGAGGCATTTCTTGGAGGAGTTCCACCTGGTCTATCACCAAGCGGTTGATTTATGTTAATCCGCCGAGGTGGAGTCAAAGTTCGTGCAATATTCCGGCTTTTGGGTGAAGAATCAACATCAGAAGTTATGAGTGTTCTCGTGCTATGTTGCTCCTTGCCAGATCTTGAAATTATCGACGAGTTCTGTATTCTTCTAAAAATCCCTGCGTTCCTTCTTTTTTATGAAAAAACTAACTTTGCCCTGGAAGACATTTGTGGAGAAGATGTTGGTGAAGGAGTTTTAGTTTTCTTGGGTGTAGATACTACTGGCTTTCTTGGAACCTTGACATTTTTTGCAGGAGACACAATTTGGATATCATCTTCCACTTCTCCATAATCGACACTTTCACTTTCTTGAACAGATTCGTCTGAGCTCTCCAGTTTCGAGGCCAATTTTTTTTCTCTAGCACTTTTTGAAAGAGCGTTACGTGACGGGGATTTCGTCCTTTTTACTGTAGAATCCTAGAAAGTTTTTTGTTTTAGTAATTATAGTATAAGATCCCAATCTTACATTTAGGCTTGATTTAGTCTCCGTGGGAGGGCCATTCAGTCTCAACTTTGCCAACTTTTTTTCATAGATGCTTCTGGTAGTTCCGGTAACTGGGCCAGGGTTGAATTTGTATAAAATAAGCTCGCTTCGCAACTCAGCATCAGATAATGATTCTATGTCCCGCATATCTGGAGAGAATAAATGAAAAATAGCTCAAATAAGGAAATAAGGCAACCGTTCCACAAAAGAATCAAATGAATTTGACGAATTTGAATAAATGCCCGCGAATTCAGTTAGCGTTAGAGCGCATGTCAATCCATACGAAATTTTGGTCAAACACTGAGGATCAAAACTAGGATCTCCCCAGATTAAAAAAGCATTAAGTTGTGAGATTTTGCAAAACTGAAGTACTCCGAATTGAAAAAACGAATAAAAATAAACTTAAAAATTGTAATTTATGATTTATTTCTCATTCATTTCTCAAATAGAAGTTTTGATAAACTTTAAGTGCATCTGACAAGTATCACATATTCTACAAAATCCTGATATGGCTGATATATTTAAAGTCTACTGGTGTGAGCCCACAGAACCCATCCTGGTAATTTTATCCAATCTGGGATCCATGCTGCTGTCTGCTTGTATCCCAATTGGTTTAATATGGTTGATAAACTTCTTAAGTTGGGTGGTTCACGTCCTGAAACTTTGTGCTCAAGAATGCCTCAATTTCGTTTCCTATACCGTCTACATCCATAAAACCATACTCAGATCCGATATCTGCAGTAATCAACGTACGTCCTGTTTTTTCCATGCGTCTTGGATCTTTTGCAAGCGCTACAACAGCTTTTCCAGGATATTCTATTGTTTCGCCATTAGAGAATGTTTCCCGAACCTATTAAGAAAATGGTTAGAATGAAAACAAAGCCATGTAAATATCACCGAAGAGTTACCGCCATCAGTTGGTGGCCCATTCAGAAAATATTTTGTAACTAATTCTGTACGAACAGCTCCTGGCCAAAGAGAGACTACACAAACATTGCTTCTCTGAAGAAAAAGAAAATATCAAAACTCTAAGCCTAGTTTCAGGTATACTTGAAGCTCTACTGCCATATCCGCTGATAAGCGATCCAACGCTTGTTTACCAGCTCCATAAGGCACATTGAACAAATATCTAGAAATGTCACAGTATACGATTTCACATTTAGAACAACTTGAGCCCTCCAGGGGAACTGATGTTAACAATCAATCCATAGCCGTTTCTATGCATAAGACGGGCTCCGTATACAGAACAATAGTAATGATTTCTGCAGAGAGCATCTCAGTAATCGTGAAAACGCTAAAGCTACTAACCTCAACCCAACATTGTTAACATCATCCCACATTTCTGGAGGACATTCGAAAAACTTCTTGTTCATATTCTTGCTTATTGTCTAAACCGAGGTGTTTTGTTGTTCATGAGTGCGTAGAAAAAAACCTGGACCGCCGCATAAGCATTATTGACAAGAACATCTAATCTTCCATTGTGGGATTTCTCAACATGATCAAACAGCGCTTTCACCTCGTCCATATTTCCATGATCGCAATAATAAACTATTCCTTTCCCACCACGAGCTGTTACATCTGAGGCAAGGAAATAAAACGGAAAATCTTCCAAACAAGTAGCAAACCTTTAGCTACTTGCTCTAATTGTGGTAGAGAAACATCTTTCGACGCATCACTCTCAGTAGGACGTCTCCCAGTCACATACACCACAGCCCCCGCTTCTCCCAACTGGAGAGCGACACCTCGTCCTAGTGAAGAAAGATTAGAAGCATATTTTCAATACTTTTAAAAGGAGGGCTGAGGTAAACAAAAAAGCAATATATAACTAACCGATTCCTCGGGAAGCACCAGTCACGATAGCGATCTGACCTGCTAGAGCCATAAACTGAAAACTCGATTGAGAAGTAAGTTGCAAAGTGAGAAAGTTATGTTTCATGTGTTGTGTGAAGAGCGGAGATCAAAAATCAACAGGCTTTTAACCGTTCGGAGTGGAAGAAAAGATCTGGATCGACTTTTTATGTGAAAAATAAATTGTTAAGAGGACGAGGACCCTTCATTTCGGAACATACACATATATTAAACACAAGGACTCACATATAGCAATTGGAATATACTCTACATGGATTTTGGTACATCGATTTTGACAAATAAGCATTGCAAAGAGAGATCTCTTCCCGCAAAAATGAAACAAATAACTTATCTTTGGTACAACATCACGACTAAGCTTCTTAAGAAAGTTAATAATATTTGCAAGAGGTGAAGGAATTCAAAGGAGTAGGAGAAACATTATTGAAATTCAAATTATTTGGTCGGGAATAAGCAAAGATTTGAAGTATCAGAGTTACTCCATTTCATCGTCGTCCTGTACCGAAGCATGATGCTTCAAGGCTGCTCCTTCGTTGTAATGTGCTTTTCTTTTCTTTTCGAACTCCTTTTTATGTGCTTCAAGAAATATGATAAGAAATTTGTAAGCTTCTCAAATGTACGGAACCTTTCTGCTCTTCAGTCATGTGTTCTTCGTCCTCTTCAGAGTCATCAGATGAGATATGCTTGGCAGCAGAGGCATGAGAGAGACCTTGTAAAATCTATAAACAGAAAAATGATGACAAAACCGTCTCGTAATTACCTGTTCAGGATCCACCGCAGTGCCTAAAGAAACACGTCTTGGGCGATTTGATGACAAAGAAGTCTGAAAATTATGCAATATTCAAGCGGTATTACTCGATATCAAATACTTCGTCACCACTTTCACCATCTGAATAATGATACGGAGTTTTAGGTTCGTCAATCTAAACAATAAAGGATTATTCGACTAGAATGTAGTCAAGGTCGAAAAATATCATTACACAATAAGATAACAAAAGATAAACAAACCTTCATTGTTCCATAGTCTTTATCAGCTGGATGATATGTAGCTAAGATGTTCATTTCATCGAATCTGGCCCGAGGTTCTTTGCCATCTTGGGAAACATCCTTTGTTGTTGACATAAATAGCGATTGTTTATAAATCAAGGCTTACTTGCTTCATTTTCAAAATGCTTTTTTTGGGCTTCCTTTTCAGAAATTCAGTAGGATCTTGATCCAACGGAATTTTTCCTTCAGCATTAACCAATCCTTCATCAACCATCATTTCCTCAGAATCAGCCATGTTCGAAAGAATTAGTCTGAAACTCGAATGAATTGGGATGGAAGGAAAAAAACAAATGAAACGAAATTTGAAGGACCAAAATGAAGGAAGACTTGAGGACAATAAAATTAATTATTAGGGAAGCCCAAAAAGGGATTTGAATAATTTTTGCTGAGGAGGGAAGAAGCAGAGAGCACAACAGAAGTCATGGGCGCCAGAAAAAAAGAAAAACTATTTTGTCGAAGAGTGCCGTCCATGCGTCCGTTTGAAAAGAGGAGCGAGTAGAAGAACAGAGTGGAGAAGGAGAGGGACGCAGAATTGCCTAGAAGAAGAAAAATCTTATGACTCTAACTATGGGGAAGGAACGTAAAAGCCGAGACTCTTCTTCTAACTCTAGTGGTGAACCTACTGCTGCTGCTAGCAACGGGATTAGATTAAATGCGTTATATGGGGAAAATGATGGAAAACTTTCGAACAACGTAGCTTTGACATAGTTTTGGAATATTTAATCAATGACTTCACAAGTGAAAGGAGACTATTCTAGCAGATATGAGAGACGAGACGAATAATAAATGGGAAATTAGTAAAATATGTGAAAATGGTCTAAATATGGCATCGCATGAAACGACCGCTTATGATTAATGAGAAGCGAATTAAAACTTTATTAATTTCTAGGACTATTCTACCTGTAACCCTAAGGATATAAAATTATCACAACAATATGAGTTATTAGCTTTTTGTACACAACCCGAAAATGGTAAACCTAAAGTGTGTTAAGGAGAATGTTGTCTTTCAGAAGCACGACAAACTCAGAGATGTGGCGTTACGAAAAAAATATCAAATGACATAATGTACAACATGTAATTTGAAAAAATTTTAGACAACTTCTTGAAGTCTAGAAAACATCTTGTGGCGTCCAATTTATCGTATTAGGATCTTCGTCTAAGCCTAAAAGCGTACCCAGCCACGACGGCAACGCGTCGACTCCATACCTCTCAAGTAGCTGTTGAGGACAACTACCCTCCATCAATTTGAGTTGAGCCATTTTAGTAATGGCATGGAAGTGGATGAAAGCAGCCGCAACCACAAAAGTATGGAATAACTGATGTGATTGGAACTGTAAAAAAAACAAGTATTTAGAATGAAATCTTTGTAAAGCCAACAAACCCAAATATCACATTTGCCAGGGAAACAACGCTCAGGTACACGAGTAGCGTAAATGGTAGCTCCTCCTATGTACATTCCTCCCATCAATAACATCCAATTCAAGGCAGCCTTCAAAATAAACAGCTTATGTTGAATACAAAAAAAAAAACCTTATTCATCATATAATCCAAGCCATCAACAATTAGAAGATGTGCAGCTGGAACGATCGCTGAGAGACCCATGGCGACAAAAACTCCTGCTCGCACAGGCCTGATTAAGAGTGTTATGAAAGATGAGTCTACAACAAACAATTAATACCGGAATTTGGGAGCCGCAAATTTATCCCACAACGATACGATCATGGCCATAATACCAAGAACAGTTATCATGAATATATAAATTATCATAGGCTGTGGACGACAGTTGAAGGCATAGTATATCCACGGGATGAAAGAGCCGACAATCAATAGAGTGATGCCAGTATAATCCAATCTAAACAATAGAAGTTCAGGTAATATTAGAACGTATCGGAATGGAGTAGCTTACTTGCTAAACAATTTACCGACGGCAATGGAATGACAAGCAAGAGTATGGAAAGTGAAAGACATTCCCAAACAAATGATGGCTCCAATAAAAAAAGCAGCAAACACCACCTTTTCCATAAATTGAACCTGAGATATAACATTTGCTTTATAGCAAAAACAAGTAATTTCATTACCTGGTCGACATTTCTTGTCAAAAACCAAATAGCAACTCCAATGAATGCTACACAGCCATACATATGAGTCCAAATATTTCCTGATTCAGTGTGAAGTTCGAATATGCTTTTGAAGCAGTTACTGAATGAAGGAATAGGTGGACGATGTCCTGCAACATTTGGATGATGAGTTTGCAACAATTGCAAATAGTGATTACCCGTTCGTAAGTATTCATTATCTTGTAACCAATCAGGCAAACTCTCGAAGTTGGTTGCTTTCCAACGGGCTTCCCAAAACTGAAAAGACAACAGAGTTCAGGAGAAATAGAACAAAGTCTAGCATACTCTCTTAACAATTGTCCTGGCGCCCTTGCCCTCTTCACCTGGAACCACAACTTCCTCTTCATTGATTTCCACCTAAACCAATGATTGTGAAAGATGAAACAGTTGCAAAACAACCTCTAACTCATTGTCGTCATCTTCTGGATTGGGATATCGAACAGCTAAATGAAGTCTGAAAAGAAAACAGTTAAAACAAAGAAAAAGAAAGAAATGGGAAACCTGTCATCAACATCAGCGCCAGGAGCGGGAGCTCGATGCGGATGTAAACGATACTTCACGATTCTCCTCTTTGTATTTCCTCCTTCCTAAAACACGACAAATGAAAAAAGGAAACAAGCCGATCGCAATTGACAGGAGCGTGAATTTGAATAATTGGAAGCGTCCGCAAAAGTTAAGAGGCCGTTCAAAACAATTATTTTCATGCTTGCTTGTTTGAGCGGTCTCTTCCGTTGTACTGTGCTTGAAGGGTGACGGAGAAAGAGTACAATGATCTTAATTTCTAAGCTTTAAACTTCAAACTCACGTTAGATTCATTATCTTGGATAACAGCAAGAGTCATTTTCTCTCCTTTCGCATTGGGCATACTCCATGCACGCCGATGTCCTCTTTTCCATGTCGGAGGAGATTTAGAAGAACAGGACGGCAAATGCGATGGTGACGATTCTTCCCCTCAAATTTATAATTTATAAACTATCAAACAACAGATCGATCATGACTTCATAAAGTGAATAATCCTTGTCGAACACGAAAGTGCAGAAATGAAACTGGGTCTTACCTTCTCTCAAAACACTCAAACGTTTTCGTTTAAGATTGACAGCATGATCATTATCCTCATCATCACTACTATAAGGATGTTCAACAATTTTGTTGTGGCGAACAACAATTTCGATGGGCTGACATGATTTCCGGGGGCTGAATCATTCACGTGATTATGATGATTTTCGCTGTTTCAAAACCACCTGTATTCTACATCAACTTCATCGATTAGAACTTGTTGTTTTTCTTTTCCTGTAGCAATTTGAAGTGGACCATCTGTCATTATATTTTCAGCTTCACGAAGAACATCCTGAAAGAAGTTTATTGGAATCACATTCAAGATGGGATAGCAAACCGTGACGCTCCTGAGAGGACTTTGAAGCTCATGATGATTTCTATGTTGAAGTTGGAGATCGCCATCATTTAAAACAACCACAACATCATCATCTTGATTCTAAACATAACAAATGAAACAGTTTTACAGCAAAACCATTAAATTTGTGACAAACCTCATATTGTCTCTCATCATATTCAGACATAAGAGCATCAGACTCCTTTGCAGGATAGGATACTTCTTCAGAATCCATTTTCTTGAATATAAAATTATGCTTTAGACATATAGACAAGTATCAGCGGCACGAGTTCTGAGAACGGAACGAGACAGCGCGCAAGACCTCATAGAGTACAAAGAAAAAAAGATCGCTTCAGGACCAAATTACATTTTCGGCCAAACAAGCCTTAAAATTTTACTAAATAAGTATGCTTCAAGTCCGACTAATGATGCTGTGATAGAGTCACAAAGACGCATAAGATACATATATAGCAAATAGAAGCTTAGAAATGCGTCAATCAAATGCAATTCATAGAAAATATTATTCAAACAGTTCCAGGCATAGTGCAAAACAGGAAAAACAACATGAATGTTCAAAAGAATTTTGATTACAATTTAATAAGCAAATATTGGAACAAAATGACCATGTCATTGATTGTTCTTATCAGACACGTTGAATTCAATGTAAATCTGATCTTTACCGTTTTGGTTTCTATTTGCTTATGCGCGTCTCGTGAATTCAGCGACTCATAACAGAGGAGCTTATTTGAGTACTATAACAATAAATTTTTTCCATCTATTAACTATATGTAATTTCATTGGGAAATATGTCTTCTGGCTACATTCAACTTTTGAAAAAAAGTGTTTCTTTCAGCAATGGGATTGTCAACAGCTTTTTGTGGTACGGGTGAATTGGTGGTATCTAAAGTGAGCTGTGGTCGAGAATTTATTAATGGTCACTTGAAGAAGGTAGGGATTCCCAGATATTAAGCTGATCGAAGCAAAAACTAAGATTGAACCTGTTGTTCTTGTCGTGGGAATAGTTGGTGGAACTTTGGTTTACTTGAAAGTCCTTAATATTTATAGACGAAGTGAACAGCCTCTTCTTAAAAGGTTTGCAGCCATTGCAACAACACGGAGATTAAGCATTCAATTTATATTCTTCAGACTTTCATCCTATGCTTTTTCATTGTTACGAAAATTGCCCATGGTGAGAGCCAAAATCGAGAAAGAACTCGCAGGAGCTAAAAAAGATATTTTTGAAACCATACACAAGGACGACTCAGACAAAATTTTCATAAGCAGTCAGTTTATGTGCCGTTTGATCCCTGTTTTTGTCACCGGCAGCTGATGCGCCTATAATTTAAAAATACTTTCTGTTTCAGCCATTCCTGATAATGGTCTAAAGCAGGAGGATGTTATTGTCCTTGCAGAAAAATACGACGCTTATGGCAAATTCGCCATAGCTGAAGGCAGGGTATAAGACAACTGATAGGCTCATCCTCATTAATATTGAATCAACTTTAAAGGTGTCTGGAGCTGTTTATACCGATCGATCCAAGGAACATCTTCAACTATTATCTCAAATTTATGGGAAATATGCCTATTCCAATCCACTCCATCCCGATGTGTTCCCAGGTGTTCGCAAAATGGAAGCTGAAGTTATTCGAATGGTTAGAATGAATTAGAATATTGTGAACATTTTTAAAAACAGGTGATGAACTTATATAATGCCCCTAATGGAAGTTCAGGCAGTCTGACAACTGGAGGCACTGAATCCATTGTTATGGCCTGCTTCGCTTATAGGTTTTTGATCTTCTAAGCAATTATGAGCACAAAACATTCTCATGTTTTCAGAAATAGAGCTCATGAATTGGGTATAAGCAATCCTGTGATAGTTTGTTCAGAAACTGCTCATGCTGCTTTCGATAAAGCAGCTCATTTGTGTGGCTTACGAGTTCGACATATCTCAGTCGATTCTAACAATCGGGTAGACTTAAGATTGATGGAAAAAGCTATAGATTCTGATGTGTGCATGGTAGGATTTTTTCACGCGATGATAACCTTGATAAGTGTTATAGTTGGTAGGATCGGCTCCAAACTTCCCAAGCGGAACTGTGGACCCTATCCAGGAGATAGCGAAGGTACATTGAACTTTGAAGAAATCATATACTTTGACTTTTAGTTGGGAGAAAAGTACGGCATACCTGTTCATGTGGATGCTTGTTTGGGAGGATTTTTGATTCCTTTCATGAATGAAGCTGGCTATTTTCTGAAGCCGTTCGATTTCGTTAATGCTGGAGTCACTTCTATCAGTTGTGACACTCATAAAGTATCTTAAAAAGAAAATTTTCAATTCTAAAAAAGTACTTTAGTACGGATGTACTCCTAAAGGATCCTCCATTATAATGTATCGCACAAAAGAGCTCCATCATTACCAGTACTTCTCAGTTCCAGAATGGACAGGAGGAATTTATGCCACCCCCACCATTTGTGGTATTTCATCAATCTTTTCTCTTATATTTTTGCTTTTCAGGAAGTAGAGCTGGATCTAATTCAGCAGTTGCGTGGGCTACTCTCCTTTCTTTCGGCAGGACTGAATATGTCAGGAGATGCAAAGCCATTATCCAACATACTCGCTTGATCGCTGATAAGATCAAAACAATTCCTGGACTTAAAGTTTGAAGAAGTTGTAGTTAAAATATATTTTTCTGAACCTCAGCTCCATGGATCTCCTGATGTATCAGTGATTGCTTTTGCTAGTGACGAGTATAACATTTATGCTGTGGGAGACAAAATGAACAAACTAGGATGGAACCTTAACACTCTGCAGAACCCGAACTCGTAACTTTACACTAATTTTCAATTTCACACTTGACTTGTTTAACAGTATTCACCTTTGCTTGACTATCAACCAGGCTCATGAAGATGTTGTCGAGAAGTTCATTTCTGACCTTCGCTCATCAGCTGAAGAAGTCTCAGGCAGTTCGGATAAGGGCAACAAAAGTAGCACTGTAAGTGTGCTAGTATGAAAAAATCTAATTAAATGTATTAGGCTGCTTTATACGGTATGGCGGCTCAAATCCCTGACAAAAGCTTGGTTGACGAGATGATTTACCAATATCTAGATGCCTGCTATTCAGAGCCTTCTGAGCATTAGCAGAGCAACGTTCGGGAACAGAAAAATAGCGGACATCTATAAAAAGAGCCGAATGTATCTATAATCGAATAAATAAGTTTTATCCTCAAATTGGTGATATTTGTTCAAACATTCAACAACGCAAAATCACTGAACCCATGGCAGAAACAACCCAGAATACGATATAAAGCTAACATCACAGCGCGCTTAGTGCATGCTTATTCAATCCATTGATTAAGAAAATCAGTAATACTGCCAGTGTCCCATTTCTCAATGTTCAACGTTTGGCGTGATATACCCTTGTGATCCTATAACAACGAATGTATAAATGAATATCCCATTGTATTACCTTCAGTACGATTTGAGGCCTCACTCCACGAACATGCTTAACTCTTACTTTACCTCCCCAGGCACTGGCCATGTCTTTATGAACAAAAGCTGAAACCATACTTGGGTGATTACACATAAGATTACCACAAACCTTGAGCTTGAGGGAAACGTGCCAAATTACATTCGCAAACTTCAATGAGCGCAAGAGGATATTTCTGAGTTGAAGAGGGATTGATAAAATACGAAATTAGTTATACCTCGTGTTGTAGTTCTTTTTCTTTAGTACAGCATGATTGACAGTCCGTCATAAGAATTTCTAAGTTATATCCAGAAAGCCGTTCGCATGAACTACACTACAAATTATTGATAAACATAAAATTATGGGATACGTGAGTGCAAACCTTCAATGTCTCTGGAACGAATCCAGCTGCTACACATTCTTCTTTACTCAATCCATACTCTTCAACTTCTGCAATAACAGGAACCACGAAAAGTATGAGGAGCCATATCATGATGAAGCTGGAAGTGATTCGAAGATTAACTAGCATTTATTTCAAATGAAAACAATATATAATAAGTCATTCGACGTGAGTTAGAAACACGATGATTGAATAGTTCATTTCACTAATGTGACACTGGGTTAACAACAAAAATTAGTCAGTTAATTTTCTCTTTGAATATTTGAATAATTTGTATAGTGTTACATCGACCAAACATGCCATGTATCAAAATGGCTGACGACTATTCACGTACAGAATAAAATTCTTTGAATAATATTCACAGTAGAAACAGCCTTTTCAAATATTGGATACGCTAGATTATTTATAATAAAGTGATACCAAGATTTGCCTTATTCCTGTTATCCAATTTTCAATAAATTCATTGATGTAAAATATAAGTTGAAGTGTTCGGAGGGTTTTTTTTCAGATTTTCTCATATTTTTTGATTGAAGCTTACAAAATTTTAGTTCAACTTAGCTTCCTTCAAGGAGAACATCTAATTTTAGTTCTTCCTGATTTCCCTCTTATACTCATACTAGAAAGATTCCCTTATCGTTTCCATCGGGTAGGTGAGTTCAAATTCTTATGTGTATACATTGCTATCATAAAAATGGCTATACCAAGGCAATAATAAGGTGCTAAATCGCAGATCAAACTTATATCATTCAACCCCCCTCTAGGTGACCAGAGGTTGGGTAAAATTTGAACGCTTTGTAGGCATTCAAACGTTTCTATCAGCTAATACAACAGATCGCTAGATATATCATTGACAATCTAGATCTTAAGGATGGGAGTTTAGCTTAAAACAAGAGAATAATCGAAAATCTTTTGAAAATTCCATTTGAAACTCATTCTCATCCATCTTTCAGCTGTATCTCAGAGAGGGTAGTTGGAAGTAGATGTTGGAAGATGTGTGAGTTTCATTGTCGTTGAGGATGATAGAACAAATGTGAAAATGGCAAAACCGACGATGTAAGAGTTGATTTGAGTTATTTATTAATCTCAAGCAATAAGTTTTTGTTATGAGTTCATTATTAAATCTGATAATGTACAATATAGAGTGTTAGCATAATGATATGTTTCGTGAGAGGAAAGGAGTTTTTTTAAGAATGGGGAAATGATCTTGTAGTCAAGAGATTGCATTATATACAGCGTTATTAGGCTTTTTGAAAGTTTCTATATGTTGTTTCGTCGATTCTTTGTTGTTTTTTTCTGTCTTGTTAGTTCTACCTATCATTAGGGAGTCTCTCGTCTCTGAAAGAATAAGACTTCCTTTTGCCACCTTCTTCAGGTTGAGCAGCGCCACTAAGGGCTTCTATAAAGTCAGTATGAAAATGTGCAAGGCTAAAGTTCGGATTTACCTATATTAAGGAACATTGCATTTGTGTACCCTCCGACATCAGTCGACGCCCGATTCGTTCGAGGAACAACCAGAGTTTGAAAAGCTCAAGAGTTAGAATTTTTAGTACCAGTTTTTCTACGCCGGAATACTGCACTTGAGAAAGAATCCATACGTTTAGCTCTGTGAAAGCATTCTGGTATGGGGAGCGATATGAAAATAACTTACTTGGGATTTACTACTGATATAATGCTCGATCCTCGTCTATTTCTAGGCGTTGTTTGGAGATACTGATCGACTCTCTCGTTAATTGGATGACGGACCATTTCTACTTCTTTTTCAGAATCATCATCTTCTTTTACGGGTATATGAAGAAGATGACTAATTGACTCCAACAAATGGAACGGCTTCCTAGAAATAAATCATTCCATAAAAACGTGAAACCATGGATGATACCCAGCGCCGGCATTGGCACTTCCGAGATAGAATTTGACATTTTTAGCTGCCGAATTCTTCGAATAGAGAAGGGATACTGTATCGTTATAGAAAACATCTGGTTGTACATCAGGTATATCATCAAAAGCTTCATCGCAGCTAGTTAGTCCAACCTGTAGATTTCATAAGTTTAAAATATTTCTCAATTCTTTGCATACAGTCATGTTCCGATCGAGTAAAAAGTTACAATCGAAGTCTTCGTCGTCTTCTCCAAATGGATTCAGAAGACCCATAGCAACCTGAAGGTTGTATTGGTAATATCTCAAAAATTATGTATTTTTCACTTTGAGCCAACCCATGTAGAACACTAGCTCCATCATAGACATAAATGGGATGTAGAGATCATACTAGAAATTCAGGAGATTTTTTAACAGCTAAAACTTTTCTAAAGTACTTCTGTTGCATTTTTCGCAGTTGATGTTATGATAAACTGTCTTGAGACCAAGCATACAGTGAAGTAGGCATAAGTAGCCAATGTAATCAGTTGCGGATACATTATAGGTAGAGGAACCCAATCATTAGTCCAAATCAAAGAAAGACCACTCCTGAATGTCCGTATTTCCTGGAGTGAGAGAGAAGGTTTCAATAGTTATTTTTCCAAATCAGCACACCTGAGCTACAGAATTTTGCATCATATCCGATGTGATACGTCCTTCTTTACGAGCAACATTCAATAAATGTAAAGCCCAATTGAATGGCAGCCAATATTTGGCATAACGCGATTTGCAGCCATCAAACTTGTCCATTTCATGTTGCTGCATCAATCCTGAGCAGTCATATATAGTAAAATCAGTTGTGGCTCTCTACCGGCAGCCACCAGCGTATCCAAATTTGGGAAACGTTTACGTACGCCCACATGAATGTCTCTGAACACCAAAGCTTGTGATAAACAGCAATATCTGGAAATAGGCTGGAGTAGGGTATCGAGAATAGACAACAATTTTATATTTGGCTTATCAAACACTCATTTCGGTTGTGATAAATATAGAAATAGTGGGGCGATGATGGGTGCAATCAGTAGGGCATTCCTTTTTATGATTTTCAATCTCATGAAAGAGCCCACAACACAGGACGTGTAAATATTTCTTTTATGATCCATTTCCACGACATTTGTACATAAGACGCCATAATAGCTATGTTCATGGAAACACTTGCAACATCAAACTTCACTCATACGCTAAGAATAGAAAGCAGATCACGAACCTTACTATATTTCTCCGAATTTGACGACCTCTGTCATCTCTCCCACTAATAAGTGATGAAGTAAACAATGCAATACTGAAAGTTAGGTTAATGAAAAGCATATGAAGATTACTATTCACTTATCGATCATGCCTAGATTCGCAAACTGTTGTGACCATCTATTGACTACAATTTGTACGAAGAAACCAAGCATAAAGTTGAGTGGAATATAGTTCAATCGATTATCACAGAAAAGAACAAATCTCTCGAATGAGCTGAACATATAGCGATTTAGTCTTGAAGAACGAACATCGTTTCTACTTTTGCTGAGTATCCGATAGGGCAAAACGATAAATTATAGAAATAATACCATAGCATACAGTCCATATACCGAGTTCTACATAAGTTGCTTGCCATACGGAACCTCTCCATCTACAATGACACGAAAAATAAGAGGGAAAGTCTTTAACGTGTATAATACCTTAGCAGAAGTTTTATAATCAAAGAACTTTTGGACGTGGCAACGTCGTAGTGATAGTTGTAGGTCATATCTTACCGTCGCTACAAGTTCAACATTAGTAGTAAGAAATTCTTTTTCAAGAAAACAGAGCAGCACGGATAAAATTAAAAAATCTGATGTAACTGAGAAGATTTCCTTATCTTCTATAAATAGGAAGAAGGTAAAGTTCAGATGCATATGATAGCATTATAAGTATCATAAAACTATTAAGTTTTTATAGGAAAACTCGAATGCTGGGAAAATAGAAGTTTGGTTTCTTCCAGCAAGCAGGCAAAGATAGCTTCTAAAGCACATTTACAATCTAACACGTGTAAGGACGCACCCATTTCCAGAGTTTCTATCACAATTGCAACAGGAACCGTAGAAGGAACTGTTAGATAGGTGAAGGTGACACTTGACTATGTGAACAAGAAAGCGCAAAACGTGAAGCTATATCAGAAAAATACGAATTGGAGACAGTAGTCTGGGATTCAGTGTGGTAAGACAAGGCACTTGAGTGATTGAAATATCAAAGCCTGTACGGTGCAAAAACTGCTCCTCATTACATGAAACGGTTAAACATAGCTAGATAAGCCGTATTATCTTCACTTGATTTTATTGCATTACATTGCTATTTATGTCGATTTTTCGCACTTTTCACCTGAACGTTCAGAAATTCCATCGCTCAACATAATATTTTATTTGTTTCTTTCATCTTGACCGACGTCAGAGCATTCTCATGAAAGTTACAGGTAGAAGTTATAGACGTCACTCTGTTCTCTGCTTAAGTTTTCAGTGAGTTCCTAAAATTTTATTTATCAGTTTCTAATAGTACTCTGACAATGACAATTTTTCCTTTTTCAGTATACATTTCTTGAGTTTTGAGTACTTTGGGTTTTCAGTGTTCTAGAGGTTATGTTTGCTTTCAGATGGTCAAATCAGCTTTCACAACAGATTGCTAGATACAGAAATGGCGATCTAGATCGCAATGGCGATGAGAGTTTAGCAGAAAACAAGTAAGTAATCTGATAGGAGTACTTATAAAACGAAACATGCTGTAAGCTACACATGTAAGCTGTAAGAATGACATCGAAGTTTATCTTAGCTTTTCTGTTCATCTCTTCCTTCACTATCCTCATCGACGCCTGCCATGGTGGACGCAGTTCGGTTAAGGCATCTTCGGATTCAGATTCTTCGGGTATAGTTCAATTTTTGATAAAAACTTCTTATTATTTTTTAATTCAGCTAGCTCGGACAGTGAAGTCATGGTAGAAGAAACGACACCAATTATGGAGCCGCCTCCATCAGATTCAAGCGAGACCGATAAAGTAGAAGATGATCCTGTATCAACAGAGACCGACGGAAGTATGGAAGGAGGCAGTATAGGTGGAGGAAGTATTAATGTAGGAAGCGTAGAAATAGTGACCGGCATGATGGTTGAGGGTGGTAGCACGACTATGATGATGCCAGAAGGGATGATGTAGTTGTAGATTTGAGTTATTCATTAATTTAATTCAAATAATAAATTTTTCTGTGTCAAACTTCTTTGTTCGCCTAGGCTTTTCCATGTTGCGTGTTATTACGTTGAGAGAACACATTAATTGAATATCTTCATTTATTCAAATGACTCTACAGTGCAAAGCATGGAGGTATGAAATTCGAAAACCAATTTAAATTTCTAAAACCCAATAATGCTTCTGAAAAAAGGAAGGTGAATGAACATGTAAAAGAATTGGAATTGTTACAATGAGAGAACGAGGAGACGTTGCATATTGCCATTTGTTGTGCACTGAAACTCATAATTGATTTTGAAACAACTGTCACCTTAACTAAATCTCAGCTTTCATGCAAATTCTCCTACAGAGTCAAATTCACGATACTCTCGTGGTGCCACGTTGTTTCCACCCAGTAAATGAGTGTTTAAATTGTTTTTTTCACATTTCATCAATCTTAATTTGTTTCTGATAAATGCTTGGTTTCGTCTCACGATAGCGTATAGCACATCTGTTTCTTATCATCGAAATGCATCAATTGATCGTTCATCCTACAACCATCATAATCATTGACATGGTCATCTATTTTACACACCCTTCAAATAATTATTGTATACTTAAAGAAATATAGTTTTTCTCGATATTCTATTCGCTTTCTTGTTAACTCTATACTTATTCGCAAATTCAGATGCTCTCGCGAATTTCCTCTCGTTTTTACTCTTCTGGTAGAAAACAATTGGATAAACACTTACGTTCCGAATTGGATGGCATTAAAGTATGGTTTACACTTTCACTTTGAGCTAAACCCACCAACTGTTTCAGTCTGCTGGAACTTTCAAAAATGAGAGAGTGATTGAAGGAAAGCAGGGAGTGATAGTTAAAGTTACAGGAAAAGAGAAACCTGTGGTTAATTTCTGTGCTAATAACTATTTGGGATTATCAAGCCATCCAGAAGTAAGACAAGTACATACAATTTTAATTGTCAATAAAGGTGATCGCTGCTGGAAAAAAAGCGCTCGACACTCATGGAGCGGGATTATCATCTGTTCGGTTCATCTGTGGAACACAAGACATTCACAAAGAATTAGAACGGAAAATTGCTCAAGTTGTTGAAAATTTTTTTCATTAACGTTTCTCGATTTAGTTTCATGGAACTGAAGATACGATACTGTATGCCGCTTGCTTCGACGCCAATGCTGGAATTTTTGAAGTTTTAGCTGGTAATTTCACAAAACTAGTTGAGACTGGTGATGGTTATTTCCAGGTCCTGAAGATGCAATAATATCAGATGAGTTGAACCATGCTTCCATCATAGATGGTATAAGACTTTCGAAGGGAAAGCGTCTCCGATATAAGCATATGGATGTTCAGGATTTAGAAGAAAAATTGAAAGAAGCTCAAAGTATGTCATATGACATTTATATTGAATACTTGAAGTTTACAGGTTCTCGGCATCGTGTCATCGTTACGGACGGTGTTTTCTCCATGGATGGTGATGTAGCTCCTTTGAAAGAAATTTCCAATTTAGCCGAGAAGTACTTCATTGTCCCAAATATAAATCAAACGCTTTATTTAGATATAACGCAGTAATATTTATGGATGAATGCCATGCCACTGGATTCTTCGGAAAAACAGGACGAGGAACAGAAGAAGCTTTAGGAATGAATGGAAAAGTTGATATCATTAACTCAACACTAGGCAAAGCACTGGGAGGAGCTATGGGTGGATACACAACAGGTTATTAAAACGAAAAACCCTATATTTTATAAGTATATAGGACCAAAATCGCTAATCGACTTACTTAGACAACGTTCTAGACCATATCTGTTTTCAAACTCGTTGGCACCGAGCATAGTGGGCTCAAGCATCAAGGTCTGTACTGACTCAGACAGTTAGATTATGAATACGCGTTCAGGTTCTTGATTTGTTGATGAACGATCCATCGTTCATAGGCTCACTCCAAACTAATGTGCAGCGCTTTAGGTACTTGACTCTCATTAAAGAAAAAAATAGTTGTTCAGGTCTAAAATGAATGCTTTGGGCTTCACAGTTCTTGGAAATGAAGCTCATCCAATTTGTCCAGTCCTTCTCGGAGATGCTAGGTAAAGTTAATCGATTTATTGTATCAACATGGGCTTGAAGATTGGCATCGGAAATGGCTGATCAAATGCTGCAAGAGGGTATTTATGTTATCGGGTTCAGCTATCCAGTAGTTCCCAAAGGAAAAGCCAGAATTCGTGTCCAGGTAATGAATGATATTTTTTGTGACAGCATATATTCTTTCAAGATTTCTGCTGCCCATACTACAGAGCACATTGATCATGCAGTTGACGCGTTCGAACGCATTGGCAAAAAACTTGGTGTCATTTAATTATTTTCGTGTTCGTCTTCATAGAATAAACGATTTCGTAGAAAAAAAAATCGATAAATTATTGTAAACCATTTCGAGCAGTTCGCGTGACTTTTATCAACTCATTGAGGTTTTCATTTTTTGAATGCGTGGCGGGTCGAACGGTTGGTCATCGCGTTAGCTTAATCGATATCGCACTGGCTACCTTTATGTTTTTAAACAGCCTGACCTGACAGAATCAGTTTTTTTTCAATCACACGAACCTTTTTATGTACATAAGTTTAAATGACAGTTAAACCATGAATAATTTTACTGGCGACATGCTTGCCTGTTTCAATTCTACTTGAATAATCATTATAGTAGTTATTCTGTGTTACTTATTCTTTGTAGTTTAGGATTCAATGTACAAATAGAAAAGTTCAAAAAAGCTCGAGAGATTTCGAGGTCAATTTCAACCTTCTTCCTGATTAGTACGACATCATTGTTTACAGTACGGTTTCTCTCTTCCTCGAATTCATGTAATCGACATTCACGGCTGAAAAACAACTGGCCCGAAGTGCTACATTGATAAAGAATGTCTGATTTTCTACTGTTACCGGCAGCGAACAGTCATTCCCTATAGTCTTCGATCGTTGTCTAGAACTTTTAATCGCGAAGCCTGCGAAATTTACATTTTCACACATATGCTCTTATCATCGTTTGTGCTCTCGATTATCAAGAATTTATCCGTTTTACACAATTAGTGACCTTATCTTCCATAATCGCCCTTCTTAGACGTCCTTCTCTCATACATTGAAATTGATTCGTTCGGGACAGGTCGGCCTTAGCTAAGCACCAAAGATGAGTCTAGATGCAGTTTTCAAGTAAGTGTTTGGTGTGGTTGTTTTCATATCAACTGTTTACAGGCATATAGATGAATGCAAGGATGTGTATATTCAACGATTAGCCGATGCAGTGGCTATTCAGAGTGTCTCTGCTGATGACAAGAAACGCGATGAATGTGTTAAAATGGTCTCGTGGACAGAAAACGTGAGTAAACTGCCTTCGTATTTCAACGTTCTCTCAGTTATTGAGAAAAATCGGAGCTACAACCGAAATTGTCCCATTGAGTGTTGAAGGACACAATGATCCTCCACTTCCACCAGTACTATTAGGAGTTCTAGGAAATGATCCTAACAAGAAAACATTAGTTGTTTATGGACATCTTGATGTTCAACCTGCCAAGAAGGTAATAAAAAAATCTTGAACTTCTAAACAAGTATTTCAGTCCGATGGATGGAGTACAGATCCTTTCGTTTTGACAGAAGTCGGAGGAAAACTTTTTGGAAGAGGCTCGACTGATGATAAGGTAGAACTCCATTATAAGAAGTAATTGAAACAACTATTTAGGGCCCAGTTCTGGGATGGATTAACGCTATCGAAACCATGCAAATTCTTGGAATGGAAATTCCCATTAACATTAAGGTTTGTTCGATCTTTTCACTTGTTTCAAGAAATATTTTTTAGTTTGTTTTTGAATGCATGGAAGAGAGTGGTTCAATCGGCCTTGAAGAGATGTTGTTCGAGAGACAAAGTTTCTTGAAGAACGTGGAATACGTTTGTATCTCAGACAACTATTGGCTTGGTACGACCAAGCCCTGTCTTACCTATGGATTAAGGTAACGGCATAAGCTTCTTATCTCTCAAGTTGCAAGATAGAGATAACCAAATCAGAAAATGACCAATTGACAATTATAAATCATTACTCTGAAGAATATTTATGAACTTAATCTCCTTATTTTACAGAGGAATCTCCTACTTCACCGCGAAAGTCTCTCATCCAGCAACTGACTTACACTCTGGGCTTCATGGTGGTTTAGTCCATGAACCTATGGATGATCTTTTATGGATTTTAAATCAAGTGAGCAAAGATGGAAAACCGAATTTTCCGGGATTGAACGAAATGGTCGCTCCTGTCACACCAGAGGAAGAGGACATGTACAAAAATATTGACTTTAGTGTTGACTCTTATCAGTAAGTTCTTCCGTCATCTGATAGTTCCCTATCGATGTTCCTCTCAGAAAATCTACAAGTGCAAATATTCGCCAAAAGGATAAAACAGATCTTTTGATGAACAGATGGAGATATCCATCAATTTCTGTACATGGCATCGAAGGAGCTTTCAGTGATGCTGGAGCCAAAACAGTGAATTCTACTTTCAGTTTCCAATATAATCGAATATACAGGTTATTCCATCCAGTGTCATCGGAAAATTCAGTATTCGTACTGTTCCTAACATGACTCCGGAGAAGGTTGAGACGCTTGTTGTTGATCATTTGAATACTCTCTGGAAACAAAGAAACTCTCCCAATGACTTCAAGTTAGATATTTTGTCTTGATACTAATCTAAATAGAATAATTCAAGAGGTGTTGCTTTCCATTCTGGCAAATCTTGGCTCACTGATCCTAAGGGTGCTAACTTCCAAGCTGCTGCTAAAGCCATAAAAACAGGTTGGACCTCTATCCCATTCATCATAATAAAGTTTATTTAGTTTATGGAGTCGATCCCGATTACACTCGTGAAGGAGGGTCCATCCCAATCACGATCACATTCCAAGAACTTTCGGGTGTCCCTGTACTTTTGCTGCCTATGGGTGCTGCTGATGATAACCCGCATGCACAAAATGAAAAGATCGATGTTCGCAACTATGTTGAAGGAATCAAATTATTAGCAGCTTATATTTTCGAGTTAGCATAAATACAATAAAGTGTGTTTTGAAGTTGTACTCATCCAAAGATTTTCTCGATGATTCGTCTTCCAAGGTCCTCGTTTTCATTCATCACAGTTTTCGCGATTTTTTTTACTTCGAAAAGCTCTTTGATTATATGTTCCGCTTCAGGCTACAATAGAAATGATCAGTACTCCAATAATATAGGATGAGTAAAAACAAAACCGCTCCGTGACGTATGAAAGAAAAGAATTTGGTAGAATGAACATACCTCGTATATCTTCGATTTGGGCTAAATATCAATGCGAAAATATTCTAGAAGATAAATCAAACCTTAGAAAGATTCTCTATGATTTCATATATTACGAAGTCTTGGTCAACAGGAAATGTTATGCATACATCAAGCTTGTTCTCATTACGAACAAGACCACGTGGATCATCGATAATACCTAGAAAAGTTCATGAGTTGAACTTCCTTCAAACTGACCATAAATATAATGCGCAATGAAGTTTTGATTAGGTTTGGTGAGTTGTAAACGAATCTGAACTATTCACATCTTGAAAAACTGTGAGGAACTTACAAACACTTTTCCAGCTCTGCAAATAATATTCCCGAGCCTGTGCTTCTCAATTTCATACTGAGATAGTCTCTCTAGTCTTATAATAGTTGGCGTCATACTCTTCCATCTGCAGAGAACAAGAAGCTTACAAATACTCCTGTAATTAACCTCAAATACGCTTTGGCAAAATAAGGTGGGCCGCTTTCTAAAAAAGAAACAGTGAGTGAGGCGCATCAGGGCTAACCTGTCTCTGTGTTCGGGTATTTTTTCCGCTGCCCAAACAAAAATATGAAATCTTTCATAACAAATACCAGATCATAATCATCGGAAGACTGAAAACTTCAAGATTTTGTGACATATAACTTTCAAACAACTAACTCCTCTATCAACTATGTCATCAATCGTAAACCCTTCCATATCTGAAATGATAGTGATGATCAGTGGACTAGCACCAGTATTCAGACAAATAAGGGAAATCCCTCTACTAAACATAATTTCTAGGATGGAAGAAGCATTTATTGGATGTGAGTCATTCTTTCATATAATTCAGGCTTGAGTTCCTGGATTACCCTCATGATATTATTATTTTTTCGTAGCTCATTTAACAGTTGAACAAACGTAGTCTGTATTGAATACTTGAAAAATTCGAATTTTTTAAATTCATACCTCCGAACCGTGTCTGAAAATTCTATCACCTCCCAGGTAAAGGTCATCGACTATTTCAGTAATGTCCGATGAAGAATCGGAATGTTCGGAAGTCTGGTGTTTGAAACTTGAATTGATACTACTTGAAACATCGGCAATACCTGATGAGTTCCCATCTCATTTTCTACCGAGTATTCCCCACTGGATGCCGTAGACAAAGTATCTGATTCTTCATACCGGCGCTAAACAATGATGTAAGAAATCTCTCTGAGAACAAACCTCATTATCGTTTAGATCCAGAAAAGGTGTCATGCCACGAAAATGGACCGGATACGACGGAAATCTATAAAATAATCTGCTTAATATTAGTCAGCACGGCAAAACAAACAACCTTCTATCGGCCATTTCTGTTTATACCAGGTTTCTCCAGTTCTAAGATGCGAACTAAGATTAATTGCACGGCGTTATATTTATAAGAGTGTGTTGTGATCACGGACTTGTGCTGAAGATTTGATGAAAACTCAGAAATCGATTATTCGTGATGTGCAATACAACGAGCAAAAGTAATGTTATCGGTTCTAAAAGAAACAAAGTGATAATCAATGCTTAACTGTCAAAAACACTCTAATTTGCCAGAAACTTCGGGAAATATGTAATACATTTCCCTGGGAGTACTTGCAAGCTTCTAGAATACAGAACTGGGCGGGAGCACCAAAAAATCCAAAAATTTGATTGCTTATGCAAGCTTCCGTTGTAATTGTTTTATTTTCATTTGTCCGCATTATTTCACAATCGATTATTTGGATATGGCTGTGAATGTCGAAATCTGAGTCATTGTTGTAAATGTTAGCATGGTGTTATCTATTCTGTGAACAAACTCTAATCCTGAATAGTCATTTATATACATGTCTTTTTCTCGCAGGAAAAAGTATTTATTATTTTGAATTAAGTAAAACAACAACAATGCATCATTTAACGGGGAATGACCGGGACAATTGATCAACAAAATAAAAAAGCCTTATTATAGATCAGCTATGAAACTCTGGACGGACGCAATATCAGCGCCTGGCAACTTGACTAGATAAGAGTAATGCTCCCGCAGTGTTGTTCTTAAAGTTCGTAAACTGTCAAATACGCTGATCTGAGAGAAATGATATCTTGATGAGTTAAACTATGAACACACCTGTAAAGCAATATAGTAGTCCCTATTGCTCAAAACATCAAATAGGAATTTAGCTCCTGTTGTTATTCGCTGACTTTTCTTCTTCAGCTTATCAGTAAAGCCAATTCTGGCAATTTCCTGAAACGATTGATAGAACACTTCAAAACCACCTTGTCTCTCTTACAAAGTCGTTCACAATGCTTATATCAATAACTTTTAAAATATGTAAATTCTCCTGGATTATATCAAAACAGATGTTCAGATCGTCGAGCCGATCCTGCTTTGAAACCTAAACAACAGCCTTTAAAAATCCATCAGTTCGCTAGAATTCACTCTCTCCATCTCCTTATATTTTTCTTTCATAATTTTTTCTTTTCTTTTCTTTTCTTTCTCTTGGGCGTCATTGCGATTCAATTCGACGTCCTCAAAATAAGACAACTATGGAGATAATTCAGTGAGACAGACCACTAATCGCTCAAGTTGAACATGCTCCTGATCTTCCCAATAAGTCCTTCGGCTCGTATCATCCATCTGACTTCTCGGTCGGTACAAAACCTTTAAGGAATGCATATGAAACAATATTTTTACATGGACATACGTTGATTGTTTCCAAGGGTCGGATGATTCTCCAATGTACAGTAAACTTTCCGAGGCGCAACGGTGATGATAAAGGCTCAACGTAGCCAGAGTAGTGAACTTCTTCAACATTATCATCTAGCGGTTGGCAGAACTAAACAAATTCTTTAAGAAAACAGTTTTGGAAATTACATGATCTTCTCCATTAGCAATTACAGCTCCGAAAGTTCGATTGTGAAGTATGGTATGGATTCCACATGAATCTTGCTTATCATTTTTCCGAATAAAATCCATTGAACACTTAAAGAATGGGATGATTACTGGAGTTATCATGAGAGAAGGATAAACTCCTTAATTATACATTTATGAATGTGAAATTTTCCCATTTTCGTACATTAATTACACATGGTTCTTCTGGAATAAACTCGGGGAATGTCCAATCCTCTCCCATCTTCACACGGGTAATACGTCTGTTTCCGACAGCCTTCAATTTCGAAGTTATTAAATAAAGGAAGGTTATCATAACTCTGACACGTTGAAGATTTTTTTCATACCATTGTCCTACGCTGAAGTGACGTGGGAGTTCATCATAGCCAGGTCTGAGAGCCAGAACTCGGTTGAGATAGATATTATGAGCTTACCCGAATATAACAGTGACGAAAGTAGTAAGAACCCAAGAGATAGAAGTAACGAAAAACTGAACGATGGTTTTATCTCCATGAGTGTGCTGTTCAACAGCGAACAACTTCAGCTTGTAAGGTGATTCCTGAAGCGTGATATGAAAACTTGCAATACCAAAAAACAAACATTTTCCACAAGACTATTCGGAGAAGGTCGAGAAAGAAATTGACTGTAACTGGGTGAACAAAAACATTGCTTTTGGATTAAGACGCTAAAGAGAGAGACAAATGTTCATAGGTCGAACGTCTTACCTTCTTAAGGAATGTTCAACAGGTTTAATCGGCCTCATAACCCCCTCTCCCCTGAAATTTCACAATTCACTTTGTTTTCGGGCAGTACATCGAACATTAAGTTTGTTGTAACGTGATTAACAGAAGCCTGGCGGTCGAAACTCTTTCTCTGGACACTGAAAAAAAGATATGATTGAGCTTCTGCTATTGAGACCAACCTTCCTCCGTTGCTGCCAGTTTCTATAGTCCATCTAAGGTTATCTTGACCGGTGTTCCTAAAAACATCAAAACTAGATTAGTTTCCAAGAGCTTGCTGACCAAACGACACAGATTGTTTGTTGTTCACGATTTACTAAAACGTTCTCAGAATCGACGAATCTAAGGCCTTCGACTGTACAGAAACAGTTATACTTCTGGCTGCCTACAGTCACGAACCCGTCAGGTTTTACCAAAAACTCTCCCTAAAGAAACATTAGAGGGCCTCCTAACAAAACGTACTGTTATGACGCCCTGGAACTCTTCTAACTTTTCACTGTCTAGAACCTTATAAGAGAATATTCTTTTCTTGTTCTTCGAACGGCTGTAACTGTAAGAGGGATCGTACAACTTTCAAAAGAAGATCAAGAACCAGAATCTAACACGAATTATATGACCAACTTCCAAACTATCGCAAAATTGGCTCACATGGCAGTCTATGTCATAAAGATAGGGACCCACAGATACAAAAAGTCTTCCAGCTTTATCCCTCACAAAAATACCCACTTCGGATTCACCAATCTGAAAGAAGAGCGGCAATAAGCAGGTAGCAGTTGCTAGAATAGCTCCTCACTGTATCTATGCTCCGGAACTGTAAAACTAAATTTAAATCGTCTTTTATGAGAGAGACTTGGGCAACTGCTCTTTCACCTGTGGCAAGAGAACTTCTGAAACATATCTAATAGATAAAGCTGGTGTATCGGACAAACCCCAGAAGACATGAAGTAATTCCACAAGTGATATTGCCCAACTCAGCAGTTTTCATATAATAAAACCTATCATTTTCATCCAGAGCTATTTGACCTTCGACTTCAAACTGTGGGAGAACAATTGAAAGAATTGGAGAGCAATCAAACTACCGATACTCCACAACTTTTCTCATCAGAAACAATTGTTGGTAAAACTGGCATACCGTTCAGCCGGTATTCATGAACAAAATATTTACAAGGTATTGGAAACTCATGATTACTATCGCCCAATCTGAAGAAGCGTGAACAGAAGCAAAGACTGATAAACGAACTTAGCATCGAAGTTATACCAAATGCCTGGTCGAACGTTTTCATTAGTTTTTAGAACGGCAACTAGGGCGAATAAATGATTAAAAGCTAGTAATAGCTTACCTATCTTTGGACTCCATATAAGGGCTGCTCCAGGCGTTGTTTCGACCACGACTCCTTGAAATGGTCCAAAACAGATGGAAGACTCATCAATGCGATATGGAGGTTCCTTTGATTAAACTTGAAACAGATGGAAAACATCAAAAAACCTTTTCCTGTTCAAAACGAGAAACTTCTAAGAGAAGTCCATTTGGAGCGATTTGCCATCTAACCGAATTCGAGTACCAACAATCCTGTCGATTATTGCTAAAGATGAATATTCAAATGCTGACAACTGAAAAACGAACAGTTCAATATCAGCATACACGTTCGGCGTTTGGATTTGTTTAAACTTCGATATGAGTACTGGAGGAACTTTAATGGGCCCAAACTCATTTGAATAAACAAGTCCGTTGGTTATCGATGAGAGTTGGTTTATTTTTTTCAAATTTACATTCAGCAACGTTCTGATCTGAACAAGTGAAAGATGATTTCAAATAAAAACATAACCATACTCTCAAACAGTTTGACGAACTGAAGGAAACGGGACGGATGGATCTGCATATTTCCACAAATACCTCTTCTCCATCCTCATACGTATGTTTTGTCTCCATAATAGAAGTTCCCACAGAAATTTCATCATGTAAGTACGAGGGAATATCATAAGGTATCACACTGCCTTCTAGTGTTTTCGCATCCCCGATTACTTGGAGTAAAGCCTAATATTCAATTATTTGGAAATACAAAAATCAAAACAAATAACTTTATTATGTCGGTTCTGTGTATCCAGAACTATGGCATACTTAGCCATTCCGTTTCCCTGTTTTAGTCTCCACACCTGAAACGGAACTTAGTTTGAAACATGAAATTAAAAAAAAATTATCCCGAGCATCTTTCCGGACAGTGCATTTCAATACAAATGCTAGGTAAAGAGTGAAAAACAACAACACATTTTAATCAATCAATACTTTTGGAACAAGTGACAGATAGGACCTTGAATGTACTTTCAGGGACTTTTAGTATAAATAAGGTTATGAAATCTATGATGCCGATGTCCCCGGCTAGTCAGAAGCATACAGCAAATTAGCATTGAAGCAGCTTTTCTACAGCGTTTTCATTTTTAAATTTGAATATCGTAATTATCGGTTGTTATCATTCTCGCTTTTTCTATCGTATGATCAATATGACCATCGGTTATAGCGGATCTACAGAAGAAATGAAAAGTTCAAGATGTCAGAATATTGTGGCGGATCATGATGAATTATCTTTAAAATAGGAACTGTTCATACATGATAATGGAGTGTTGACAGATACAGAAGTTATTTCTGATTTTCTGCTGGCTTTCATCACTTTATTATATCAGGCAATGAAGCTGACTTATCAAACTTACTACTTCAAGCTTCCATTCATGTTAGTAGGTCACGTCTATCACTGTCGCTATTCAGAATCTCCAAAGTACTGGTAAGTTGTCACTATATTATCTGCATTTTTTCAACATCTGCGTGTATTCTTCAACTTTCTACTACGATATAATTAATCATAGTAAAAGCAGCTTTCTCACCAGTTCACTTCTTTGCTTTTTAAGCAGAAGTTGAGGCTGTTCTGTGTACCCACACCACAAATCTTTGCTTCATAACTATTTGTTTCAGGGTATGAAAACTCTTCTGGGTGTACTGCTCAGTCTGAGCATAGTCATTCAGACTGATGCTCAGTCTGCTGCTTGTCTAGCCAATGATTTAACTCCCGCAGAGCAGAAAACTTGTGACAACATCAATATGTGGAATGTTGAATCTTCGGTACGAATAGCACCACTGCGACATATTTCTTTCTATTTAAGAAAATTGATGCTATACTTTCATCTTCTCGGCTGCCGTCCTTTGGTGGTTTAACTTCCGGGCCAGTCTTGGCGTCCAATGGACCTGCTCTTCCTTCTGATATGTATGATTGCTTGACCATACAGTGTATTTGCAACTTCATTGAAGGTTGGCTGATCGAACTTTCGCTTTATTATATTGAATCGGTTTAGGAGCTTCGTACAATAGCAATGGATGTCGCCTCCCTGATGGTCAAATTATGGGAAAGGTTGTGAGAAAGGAGCTACGAATGCTCACTGAGAGCGAAAGATCAGCGTACCATATATTTTAGTCTCAGTATCACATGCTACTTCTTAAGTTATGCCACAGCCTTCCAATCTGTTGCCGGAACGAATGGAATCTATAGAACTCTCTCTGGCTGGCATTCTAGCACTTCCACTTCTCCTGCAGCTCACTCAGGACCAGCTTTCTTACCTTGGCATCGTGAATTCATTAAAAGATTGGAAATCGGCATCAGGACTCTGAGAGTTAATGGTGCTTTCCCATATGTGAACCTTGCTGTTCCTTATTGGGATTCCACTCTTGACGACGATCTCCGTTTTGCCATCAATAATTCGCCCACAAACTCTAGTAATTAGCAGAAGTGGAACTGACAAAAATTGTCTTTCTTCTAGTTATGTTCTCAAACGTTTTGATGGGATCAGTACTCAATGGTCTAGTCAGTGATGGATATTTCGGAAGCTTTTCTGGCACCCAGGTATGTGCTAAACAGCCTGTAGATTGTTATTTTATTCTCTCTTAGGGAAGAGTGCGAAGAAGATTAGATCAATACAACGGACAAACTACTGTGTTCCGTTCCCAAGATGTTGGCGATATTGTTACCTACCATCAAATCGAAAACCTTCTAGCTGCAACATCTGGATCAAGTTTATCGGTATTATTCTCAAGCTTCTCGTTGTGCTAAGATTAGATTTTCAGGGTTGTAATTATAACAGGTCAGCTCTCGAGTTCAGACATGGTGATGTTCATGTTTGGGTTGGTGGACATATGGAAACGACTACAACTTCCACGAATGATCCTATCTTCTTCATGCATCATGCATTCGTTGATAAAATTTGGGAGGATTATCGTCAACAGCGTCAGGTATTTCTGATCGTCTAATCTCTGTTTTCTTCTCAATGAAAGTTTTTGTCAGACGAGAAGTCAGAGAGAATCTCAATATAATACTCGTACTAATTGTTATAACAACAACCATAGGATCAATGCCGTTATGACACCATTCCGGTATTTTGAACTTCCTGTTCGATCACTTTCATTTTTTTCTTTTCAGTCTTTTTGTAGTAGAGGATGGCCTAAGTAATCGTTACACTGATGAGTTATACAGTTATGACAGTAGGCCAACCTGCGGCAGTGATAATTCGAACTGCGGAGGATCAGAGTTAGTTTGACAGCGTATCATGCATTGAATCTTAATTTTCAGATTCCTGTTCTGTAACACAAATCTTCGTCGTTGTACATCTAAAATAAAACCAGGAGGAGTTTGTCGCCGCATAGGAAGTATTTTTTTCTTTTTCTTCAAACATTTTATCAACTAACTTTTGCTAGCTGTCGATCCCTGTTATGCCAGTACTTGCAGTAGCACCAGCACAACCTCATTTGGAACATGTCGAGCTCCTGCTGTAAGTGTACTTAAACAAAATTTGTATATTGTTGTTAATTTTCAGAGAGATGCTCCACGCTCAGACAACAAATACCCTATAGTAGAACATAAACTTGACGAGGTTTATCTTTTTTCTTACTTTCGTTATTTTGGCATTTGAAGCGTTGCTATAACAATCATCCATGTTGTGCTCAATGGGCTTCTCAAGGGGAATGCCAGAAGAAGAAGTTCGCTGCCGTTATGTCTGTGGCTTGTCCCGCTAGTTGTGGCAATTGTAAGCCAACAGCTTACAAACTTCAAGATAGTTGGGTTTTATTAAGTCAGCTTTGAACTGTTCTCTCTATTATAGCTTGTGATAATCGCCACAAACTTTGTAAAATTTATAAGAGTCAGGGAGCATGCAGCAAAAATGCCAATTGGATGAGTGAAAACTGCCGACGGGAATGTGGGCTCTGTGCCTCCACGAGAGCTCAATCTTGTGATGGAGGAAAATCAGGTTACAAGAAGAACAGTAAGCCAGCCAGTTCGTTTATTTTTTTGTGAATGGTTTTTCCAATCAATTTCTCTAGGTGATACCCCTAGAACCCATTTACCCCCACCCCCTCCACCACCTCATCATTCATTGGTTTCTAAGCCGCATAAGGGCAGCCATGTTGGGAAGACTGGCAAATGTTTCAATGAGAATATGTGTTGTCGAGTGTGGGCTGAGAAAGGAGGGTGCGTTTTCCTATTATGATTTGCCCTTTTAATCAAGCAAGCTTCCAGTTGTCAAACAAAGAAATCATTAATGACCAGAGTTTGTCAAGCATCTTGTGTGTGCACTCCATACAACGATAATAATTGTGAGGCTCAACTGACCAATTTTTATTTCCTTGTTCTTTACAGCTTGTTCCGACTTCGCGACCCAATGTCCATTATACGCTTCCAAAGGATTATGTTGGCTGGAATTTATGAAAGAGAATTGCAGAAAGAGTTGTAGGTAAGCAATTTCTCGCGTTATTTTTGGTTCAGTCATTACTCGATGACATTTACTTTATTTAGATCTTGTCACACAATGAATGAGCTAAGAGGAATATGCAAATCTCAGGAACTTTATCGCAGAGGATAAAATAACAACAGACTAAATAATTATTAGAACTTCTGAGCTCATCACATCTGTATGATGTGTCAAGTGCTTTTGTTCTTCTTCATTTCTATGGTCTAACACATCACTCTCATCATCATCATAATCATCGCGATGATCATCGTCTTCTGATTATGATTATAGAAAAATGCGGTTCCTTGGATTCTTTAATCCTTTTATATGTCTTCTAATCTCTTTCGTCGTACCTTCTGTCTAACATTCAGATTTTATTTCTGATCTGCTCACTTATCACTAAATCTTGCCAAAATTGTTATTCCAGTGTTTATGAAGCTGTCGTTCGCAATAAATTTTAAATCGAAACCGTATTGTGTCTCTTCCAATAACAATAGTTTTCCCTTTCCGCAACAATCCTCAGCTTGAGGAAGCTTCTTCTCTATCTCGTTAGTAATTTGTTCTTAAACTTCTCGACTAGAAAGTCTATCTATAAAGACAAGCGCCTTCACAAGTTTCAAGACGCGGACCTCTCCAAACTCAACAAATATTTCGGAAGTAATTTAAAAACAAAACGTGGTTTTGACACGAGAAGCAATAGACGTCCGTGTTGAAGATGTTTCTGATCACTTTCGGAACAAATTATCAAATTTGACTAGAGTTGCTTGTGTTTGCATATATTTTCTCACTTATTCACCTTATGAAGAGGAACTCCGCGTTTTTTTCGCTTTCGTTTACATCAAGTGGATTCGACGATATTCTCCTTATTACATTTGCATATGTGAAGATTTGAAGATGTCAGTCTCAAAAAATCTTATTGAATTTCAAAGAGCTGTAACATGAAAGCTCAAAATTTGATTATTAACATGAATATTTTGATTTCAATTGCTTCTCTATTATATAGTTTGGTCAAGTTATACACTCTCTTTCTCTGTTTTGCCTCCATGTATGACCTTCTCTCTTTCAGCTTTTTATATTTTGATATATGAAATGGTCTTTAAGCTGAGCAAAACTTCATCAGAAGTTTTGAAGGTCATTTGTCGACTAACGAATCTAATCATTTGTCAGCTTCCCTCAAAATCCATATTCTCATGATCTTTTCAACCTTAATTTTGATTTCTGTCTCTTTTTTTCTGATATTTCGAAACTTTGAACTTTCAATTTCTCATATACTTGTTATCTTGCATTTATTTCGTTTTCAGTATCTTAATCTATCTTTCTCAAATCTTCTTGGTCTTCCGTCGGATCTTTTACTCCTAATGAGATTGTCGGATGTAGCTGCATTCGAGCGCCATTTGACCCTATCCGGGTCCCAAGTTAGGAATCTGACACTGAGTGTCGACCATCTTTTGAATATATGGGTACGACAATCTCTCTCTCTCTCTTCTTCTCCATATTTATCTAATTTCCATATTGTGTATGCGGAGCGCTTCACGTAAAGATTTCACGGAACAGCCACGTATCTTTAGTGTATTCGTTCGGCGTTCGACACACAGACCGGTTGTTCCGAAAATTTACTGGAGTTGCGGGTGTTACTTGAGGGTGTATCTTGGTTTTTGGTGATTACTTTAGATCATTCAAATGATATGTTGTCGTCTCTACCTACATGTAACATTATTTGTCTCCGACTTGACACTTATTTACTTAAATGTTTCAAGTCAGATCTGTCACTTGGATGCATAGATATCTGGAGAGGATAAGCAAAATCATTAAGAATATATTCCACTAATTTTGATGAATAATTGAGAAGTAGTGTTATCCGGAAAAAAAATTCAAAGCATCTGTCCATGTGAAGAGATCATTATTATTTATTTTTTTTATTTTCTTTTAACAAAATATCAAATTTTTATTTTGGATGTCTCACAGAGTGGTTATTCTCTTCCTCTCTCTCTCTCTCTGTCTTTCTCTCTAACTCTTCTGCTTCATCTTCTCTTCCACTCTTCCATAGAAAAAAAGAATTTATACAAGCCGTGTAGCCTAATTCGCATTTTTCCTGTTTGTATGAAATTATCTATTTTTTTTCGGATGAAGATATGTTTTTTCGTGTTTGTGAAGAAGTTGTGGAGTGGTAGTATGGAAGCTAGTGAACTTGTAGTTTTTGGTTGTTGTTTTTAAATGGCAAGCAGTCTATTGGATAATTGAAAGATTTGATTGAATCATTCATTTATAAACTAATAAAAAATAAGTTTTCTACGAAGATAATTCATGGACACAAGTGAATATGGAAAGATTTGTCATAGTTGTATCTTATTTCAAGCTTCTCCTCTGTATATGTGTGTTTGTGCATAAATATTAATTTATGCAAATTATTTATGATAATTATGGAAAAAGTTATTCTATATGAAGATTTTTTCGAAATTTCATAAAATAGATTTAATGGGTTTAAATTCCTAACAAAGGAAATGAATTGGAGCCTTTCGCTCAAAATTCATGTCCATCATAACGTCGATTCGATTATGAAATTGGACTTTTCACCTCCCTCCCTCTCTTCCTCCCTCTCTTCCACCTTATACCATCTCACTTCAGATAGCTTATCCTTTATCTACCGCTGCTCTTCACAATAAACCTTCATAATATCATATTTCGAGCAAAAAATCTGATCCTGAAGTAAGTTCGTTGGAACTCTACTGCTGCGATTCGAATATTTCGAGCCCCATCACAAACCAACACGGCCTTCTGCTTACCCCAGAAGCTTCGTTGTATTTGTGTATGTGTATGTTTTTTTTTCCTTCGAAGAGAAAAAAGGACTTTCCGTTCATTTTTTTTTCTCTTGTCGAACAATAAGATTTCTCTTTGATCAACTTTGTGCTCCTTTTTTCGACACATTCACATGCTTCCACAGCAAAATAATGAAATATACCAGATCTGAAATTCCAATAAATTTTGATGAAAAAAAAAAGGAGAAAAGTGAAAGATTACTGGTCGTTGTCGTCTTCGTGTGTAATGATTGCTAAAAATCATCTCTGGTAATCCTACTTCACTTAATTTACCAAATAATCCTTTTAAAGATTTTTTTTTCTCACAAAAATCTCTACTACATCGTTCTTTGTGTAAAAGGATGTTTCGTTGGAATTTCATTTATAATCTTGTCAAGTTCATTATGAATTTGTCCTTTTTTTGTGTCCAAATTAGAGCAAGCCGTTAGCTTATACGCCGATGGAGATCAATTTTCCTTCTTTTTCTTTTTTTTTCTTTTTTTTTATCATTTATGGTTAAGTGAGTTGAAACATACATAACACAGGAGAGACAAAAAAAACTTTTTTCCTCCTTCATTCTATTCCCAGAATTTCTTTTTTCATTAACTTCACTCCTTCGCTCTTTTTGTTTCATTCTCATTTGAAGAATTTTTAAATGGCTTCAACAAACTTTTCCATTCAATGTGCTGTATGTAAGTGTCATCCAATTCCTAATATGCCCTCCTCCCTATCATTCATTTCATTTTTGAATCGTTTCTCTATCATATGACGTCATTGTCATGTTCAGCCTTTCTTAATACCTTAACCTACCAGCCATTCACATTTTTCAATGAAAATTAACATAAATTATTTCATCAAATCGACTTTTTTTCTATTTTTTTTGTTCACAACGAATATTACTCTCGATTGATGATTTTCTTCCTTTTACGGAATGCTATGGAGAGGAAAATGTGATTATTCATTTTTTTCATATAATTATTCGAGTAGGAACTCCAATTACCTTTAATATCTCCTTCAGCTTGCTGTTTTTTCTCCCAAAAACACTTTGTCAATTTGATTTATCTCCATGTTCTTTCAGCTTTACGGTTCTCAAATTCAACTTACTCTCTTCTAGTTTCATGTTTTTCCAATGCACTTAACGATTATCGATGGTGATGAAGATCTTCGAATTCATAATATTTCAATTTTACCGTCGGACCAATGTGCAACGGAGGATCAAAGGGTTAAGCTTTAATTTTTATTTTGAATAATTAAAACTTTTCATGTTGCAGGCCTCTAAATGCTGCTGTGGTGATGGCTTTTTCTATGATTTTCCAAGAAAACGCTGTGAAGTTTCCCTAAATGTCAGCTTTATGTTTGGTCGTTTGAACAATGGATGGTCTCATATGGTATTTCCGTTATATTTCTTTGTTATATTCAAAAATTAAATGAATCTTAAGGTTGTTTATGGATTTGTTTATCCGATGCTTCTCCTTACTCTCATAGCACCTTTATGTGCCGTTATGTTAGGAATGGGAAAACGAGAGAAACGAGATGGCGATCGTCGATATGTTTGTGTTCTTTATATTTTTATTCATTAAATATTAAAATTTAAGCCGAATCCTCTACACCAAATGATTTGGCTCTTAGCAACATGTGGATGGATAAGTGTTCTCTCACCCATGCCTTTCACTGTCTGGTATTATATAATTGGCGATGGGACGAGGTAGAGTCTTGATTACATATCAACGCATCCGTGCAATTGAAGTACTTGAACATGCTTCTCATAGATCTTTGTTTGAACTTTCATTTTCATCTATAGATGCAGCTTAAGGGAACGCGTTCAATCATTTTCATAATATCATTTCCTCTTTCATTTTTACATTTTCATATTTTCGTTTGAGGTCTCTCAATCAATCAGTAGCAATGTGTCATCTGTTTCGAACATCAATGGAAACCATTCCACACACCGCTGATACAATGATGACTTTATTTGGAGTTTTATTAGCAGCAGCCAGGCTGAGTATCGCTTTCATTTCCTTTCACCTTCATCATCTTTCAGATTCTTAACGCAATATCATCGAAATACTTTAAAACTGCGAACGGTTGAAAGATTCTCAAGAGCTATTTGGGCAATTATATTCATTTGTATTACCTTGGGTATTCTGCGTTTCTTCGAACATGACACAACTGTCTATCAGTTTTGCATGGGTCAGTAGAATCATTCTGAACTTGAAAGTATGTTCGTAATTTAAGATACTGAGCCAACTCCTCAATGGGCATCAAGATGTATGATACGAGATGGAGCTCTCATGAACATAGGACATCGTTCTTTTTGGAAGGTTCTATTTCCATCCATTCTATTTTCAGTTTAATTTTCATATGTTTCCAGGTTTTTCTCCCGTTGGCTGATTTTGTTGTTCAGTTTTTAATACCAGGATTTCTGCTTTCATTACTTCACGTGGGATTTATAAGAGAGCCAGAAATAGATATGGGAACTCTTAACAGACAGTTCAGAAATATTATTTTGAAACAATTTAAAAAAAAACATTTTTAGTAATCGATTTGGACGAACACCTCGTGATCAGACAAGAATCTTGATTACTACCGTTACAATTAGTTTTTTAATAGTTCAAGTACCGTCAGCTTTCATAACAACCTTAAGCTTAACTATAAATCATTTTGAAAATAATAGATTACGTATGTTATACTAATGGATATCTGTTATTATAATATAATATGTTATAGTTAATATATTGGCTGTTTCAAGTGGACATATGCAGCCGATTCTTTCAATTATATCAATTGCTGCTAACTGTGCAGCACTCCTGACAGCATATTATGTTATCGTAAAGGTATTGTATATACATAGATAGTATATAGTTATGACGTTTATAATCCATGTTGTCTATAGGATGATGATGAAGATGTTGGAGATTCACGTGCTTCTCTATCGGAAACAGAAGGACCTAACGATCTACTATTAGCTCATCAAGAACGTCGAAATACTAGGCAAGTCTGGAAAGATCTCCGAAGGTTTGTCACACAATTCACCCACAAAATAATATTTTTCATATAATCTTTGCTTTAACATAAAGCTATATCATATGTGTACATGTGTGTGTGTGTATGTGTGTGACTAACCTTGAATCGATTTTTCTTTTCATTTACTTTTTTTCTTACAAAGTTTATGTTGATATTTAAAGATTATTTTAGAATATCTCGAACATATCTGAGTGTGAGTCACTCATTTGATACGGGATCTCTTCGATCTTTTTCCCGAAAAGGATCGGCTATACCTGATGATTTGCTTTAATAGGAATTTTTATATTTCGCATTCTCTCTATTCAACGTTCATTAGTTGCCATCAATTGCCTTGAGGATGATTTCTCTTCATGTTACTTGTATTCATATGGTGCTTCTCTATTGCTTTGTTATTTTTATATATTTTTTCTTATTATCTTTTTTTCCTTTCTTTAGTCTTCTTTTCTGCTTTATACCAGCTGCTCAAGTTTTGTTGTTTCAATTTTCAAAGCTGAAGACTACGTGTTTGAACATGAACTTCCCTTTTCAACAGTCAAATGCTGAGGAGAAAAGCTTTCTTTAAGAGTTTCATATGTAATTAATAAATATTAAAATAAATATTATAATGTTGAGTGGATAGAATGATCAAGATGCAGATGCAGCAGATGACTTACTAATTTCCGTTGCTAACCATAACATCTAATGGAATAAAGAACATCTTGACGATCCCCCCCTCTATTCTAATGACTATGGGAGGATAGTTTGATTTATTCTGCCGCCGGAGGGGCATGACATGAGAAACGTAAATATTTCGTTTCTGAGTTCATTCGTACATCGTTTTACTTTTTGAAAACGGAACTATTGTTTTCCATACACACACACACACACACACACACATGGAAATCTTTCATTTCATTAACCAAAAATTAACACCTCAGGCATTTTACCAGCTTTCCTTCGATTTTTTTTCCTCTCGCAACTCTCACAATTCGACAAACAAATACTGCCAAAGCTTTTCCAGTCATGTTTTACCAGTCTCAGACTTTTTTGCTCACTTTTGTGCTCAAACTTTGCTTATGTAAATAAAGACCGATTAACCTCTATTTCATTTTTTTTGCCCTCTCACTACTCTCTCATATTTGTATAATCTTCTGTCATTCCGGGTTTCTGTTAGCTTCTTGATACCCTCCGCAAACTATATTAACTATGAGTATCTTCTATTTGGCAAATACCTCATCTCGACGAGTCGAAGAGACAAAATGCCATTCAAACAGTGTCTTTTCTCTTATCTCATTCTTTCAATTTTTTTTCTCCTCCTCCCAATTGAACCTTCAACTTGACGACCTTCCACCTTCTCAACGGTAAATCTTCTTTAAAATATTAGCTTTAAATTAACTTCTTGCTCGCACACAAATAACCAGTTAATATGCTCCAATCCAGTTCACTCATCTTTTCCTTTTGCCTTTCATACTACCTCCTTGCTCATCAAACATTTTTATTTCGTTCCATAGAAGGTCATACCATCCCAAATATTTTTGTATATAAATGACATTCAATGGCAGTTTTCCATGTCGACTTGACCTGCTAGTTGTCGTCTTCTATATATGACCATGAAATCAGCTGCTATTTTTAAATTTCAACTTCGCCATTTAACATTTTTAAGAACCAATCGGTTGATTTGACAACGCTCATCTGATTTCTCATTCTCATTTTCATTTACTCAATTTCTTTTTTTTTCTTATTCTCCAAAACCATTTTGTTTGAAAGTTTTCTTGAAATTTCATGATTTTTGGGTTTTCACGTCATGTTTGCTTCTCCCATATGCTTTTCATTAGATTTGTTCAAGAAACGTTTGAATACTTCCATGTTCACTCGAGAACAAAGAGGCAGAAGAAGAACGGTTCATATTCTTTTCCATTTCAACCAACTTGACCTTCACACTATTACTAGAACTCAATAGTGGCCGCCGGAGGGCATTTGGTTGAAGATGAAGAGAAAAAGATAAAAGAATGTCTCTTTTTCTGTTCACAAAAAAGCTTTTCTCTGTTATTATGTGAATCTCGTCAGTTTCCATGCCAAAATCATCCATTGTGTTGTTGTGATTTTAAACTAGTTTCATGTATTTTCTATCCTCTTTCTACCTGTCTCTCACTCTCTGTCTTTCTCTCTGTCAACCTGTAGAAGTCTCGGGCTTGTTTTAGTTCTATCACATGTAATTCATGAACGTATTCGAGAAATGTAAGAAAGAAAGAAAGAGAGACAACATGAAGGTTTAACAGAGAGTAATGGAGAGGTGCAAAGAGAGAAAGTGACAGAGAGTGAAAGAGAGTGAAGAGAGAGGCAGAGAGAGAAAAAGCGAATGAAAAGGTTTAGAAGAGTTTTTGCTTAATGAAAGGCCGGACAAGGTCAATGTTGGATGAATATTACTTGTTGTTCGTTCAGTTAATGCAAAAACGTTCAAAACTTTCAGAGAAAGACAGAGTTCATGAGGTGGGATGGAACAACGTTTTTTTCTTTTTTTTTTCAAAAAACAATCAGATACGAAGGTCATCAGCTAATTCTGTTTGAGAAATTGGAATAATAAAAATATTATTTTTGATATCAAAATGAGGAGATGAAGAAGATGAAGTAGAGTATTTGAATTGTTTCTACAAATATGATGTAGATGTTCATAAGAAATCTTGATGTAGATTGAGCAAAGTTGAAGAACAAACAACTTTAATGGCAGACAATAAGCAAACATGCCCTCGGGGCATCGCCACTTTCTGAGAGAAAAAAGAAAAAAGAAAAGAAAAAAAAAAGAAGAAAACGTGAGAGAGATGTAGAGAAACAGAAAAAAATTGAAGACTTTGTTGAAGTCGGTACCACCCTGAAGTATACAGTCTATTTGCCTTCTCTTCCAGTCCTCACTTTCAATCAGTTGTCAGTCATTCTTCCTTGGCTTCCACGTACGTAAACTATGAGCCTTCAGCAATTTTCTTCTTCTCTCTCTCTGGATCATTTTTGATTCACAAACTATTTACTTTATGATGATATTAAAGCTTATCATTCTATCTCAACAACTGATTTCATCAAACAGTTTCGCAGTCTCGATTGAGCTTTTCCTCATTGCTGGTTTCATTTTCTATTTCTCAATTCAACTTTGTAACACATCCTTCATATACCATCAACCATTTATATGCAGTACCTTCTTTTGACCCTCTCTCAATGACTTTTCCTTGTTCTTTCATCATTTTTCATTACCTCTCATGTCCTCAACAACGAAAACATTACGAAGCCGGAATTTGAAAGTTCCTGATTCTAACCCGCATACAAGTATGATATGACGAGAATGTGAGATGGATTGAGGGAGGAGAGAAAGACTTAGAAGAGATCAATGAGGTGAATTTCAAATTAACAGATTATAAAGAATCTCGTATGAATATCAAGTTATTTTTGAAATCGTTCAAAGCTTATCCTCCACATCGATATTCTGATTAGCTTGATAGCCATAAATACCATTTTTTCTCAATCATTTTAGGAGCTCTGCCGCTTTACGTGCCCACCTTCCATATTAAGTTGTGAGTGAATGCGTGAGAGAGTATACGAGGTGAACAGATAAGAAAAACCTATCTTATACTTCTTTTTTTTCTCATCAAATTTGTTAACCAAAAAGCATAACTAGTGAAAGAAGTATCATATTGTCTGTCGTTCACCACATGATTGCATTGAACATAAGCTTTGCGTTTCTTGACAAAGATCTTTTAAGTCTTTTGAAATTCGCTTATTTATTCATTGAACTGGCAAGAAATTGAAAGAGAATATAATGCTTTTAGCTGTTCATTCATTGTTTTTTATTTATCTATTAATAGTTTATTAAAAGAAATATAGACAATTGCAATCATCTCTATTGCAATACAATGGAACAGCTGTATTGATGAAACATACAAATCCTCCTCCAAAAATCGCTCCTTTTTTCATTTTTTTTTCTATCGAGAAAACAATTTTTTTTATTTATTTTATAACTTAAATGTTATTCACATTAAGATGTGAACATATCATTTGATGTTCATACATGATTCTCTATTCTCAACTTGATTTTCTCACGTTCATTACACTTAGATGAACTGAAATGAAGATCAAACACGTGAAATCCATCACGCAAGTCAGTGTGCTGCCGCAGATTTTATGTTTACATGCAAACTCTTTCATTTACTGTTCTGTGCATGCGCTAAGAGGTTGCTCATTTTCTATTTCTCTCTCTCTTTCCTTTCATTTACTTCTGATGATTTCTATTCTCTCTCTCTCTCTCTCTCTCTCCATATCTCTCTCTGTGTTCTTTCTTCTATACCACTATTCTCACATATTTCCCTTCACTTTTTCATCATATTCCGTTTAAATCTATTGTGTGGTCTATTCCATTTCAATAATATGGACATAAAAAAAAAGAAAATTTGCTATGTACTGGAGATTTTGATCAGTTTTCGTACTGTTTGTTCAGCTCTGCCAGCAGTCGAATAAATTTTGAAAATGAAGCTTTGTTCTGATTCAGAATTCATCGTGACCATCATCACTTCAATTCATTTTGTAGGCTTGCATGTGTCCCAATCAGTTCTGTTCTCCTATCACGCTGATGATGTTGTGCAAGTTTCATGAAAAAAAAATGAAAAAAAAAACTTTCACTAGCTTCTAAACGATTGCTCATATACATCTCTGTATATCTCTTCAGCAGTTCCCAATGTGTTTTTCTTCACACTTTTTCTTTTCATTTTTTTTCTTTCCTTCTCCATCTCGCTTCACATTCTCATCTTGTTTGAGTAAAAAGGTTTCGAAGACGTTGAATTTGTCATTCTGCGAACTTTCACACAAACTTCTGGAATAATTTAGATAAAAAAAGTTGTAAAAACAAGAAAAATACGATAAAAATCTTTAAACTAGTTGAATAACTTAATTATGATTTCAATGTTGTAAGATTTCCATGTTGATTTGCCTCTTAACCCCAGATAACATGTATCGTCTTCTAAGCAAATGTTTCATCTTCACTATGGTTCTGTCATGAACGCTAATAGTAATTCCAGAGTCTCATTTTCAAATGATTGCAATGTTTTCCGAGAAAGAGAGAGGTATACATAGGAAGAGAGAGAGAGAGATAGAGAGAGCCTGAGACACAGAGAGAGAGAGAGAGATTCATTGCTTTTCCTTATCTTCCATGATATTTCATTGTTTTCCTTAACGTTCTTTGATTCAATTTTTTCTCTTCTAGCTAGGACCAAAAATTTATATTCGCCAAGACGTTCTCATTCGAAAATTTTTTTGCCATTTTGGTGGAGACTCTTAGATGTTCTTGTTCCGTTTCCTTTCTTTCTTTATCAGAACTTCTTTTTCAAAAAAAAAAGAAGAAGAGACAGGATTACAAAGCTTCTTCTCGGCAGTCTCGACATCAACGCCCAAAAACATGATTAAACAATTTGCCAATGAAGGCAAAAGCCTTAAAGAGCGCGTGAATGAAGCAAGTTCGACCTGTTCGAACCTTTCTCTTCAGCCATTGCGTATGGTGCTTCAGTCGAGGCGTTGTTGTCTCCTTCTGAAACTGTTTTCATTTATTTTTAATAATTTCCGTTTGTATCCCATGGTATTTAGGGATTTTTGAATTGCTAAATATATTCGTTTTATGTTTCATAATTATTATAAAGATAGGAAACGAGAGTATGGCAAAGTGATAGAGAGGAACAGACTGAGAAATGGAGAGATTGAAATAGAGAATTCTCTCCGAGTTAGACTAAGGTAAAGAGAGAAAGAGAGAGGTTAGAGAGAGAATATATTATTATGTTCAGTTTAAACTTCTTTTTTTTTTCTGCATTCAACTCAAGACAAAGAGTGCCTTTAAACCGAGACAAGTCAAAAAAAGCGTATAGTATCATCTGAATCATTTATGTACAACAAATACGAGATGCGAATTAAAATAGAGAGAAAAAGAGAATGGGTGAGAGAGAGTAATAGTGAGAAATAAGTAGTAAGAGGCTGAAAGAGAGAGAGAATGAGAGAGCGAAAGAAACTACCAAATAGGGCAAATCAAAAAGCAGGTTGGCCACTTACAACTTAGTACAACATCAAACACAACACGTAAAATTCTTTTGTGTCTGAAGATGTAAATTGTCCCAAACACTTTTTTGTTTTCTTTCCCATATTTAACTCTTTTTTTTTCTCATTTTATTCATTTCTTCACCTTTTTTTTTTCGTGTCTGTGCTGTGCTGGTTATGATGAAGAGTTTCCTTAGCAACATAATGTTTTTCGGAGCTTCGTCTTCTATTGAATCTTATGCGTTTGAAAACTTTCAAATTTTCAATTCAAAAGTTCATTTGCATAATTCACGTAACGTAGGCATTTGTTACAAATTATTTTCATTTTAAACTCGATAAAGCGTCAATGTCGGTTGTTTTTTTTTGAATTTTTTGTAATTTTCATCATACTATCCTTATTATTAAAGAAAAGAGTTGAAATTTAACCTTTAGACATACTCTCTCTTTCCTGCTCTCTCTCTTTCTCTTTCTACCTCTATATACACTCATGTCTGAGACATCATTCTAGGAGAGATAGAGTGAAAAAACCTTTGTGTTCTCTGCTAAGTTCCGTTTCATCGTAATGATCAATCAGTCTTGATGACCTTTAATAAACACACACAAAGCTTCAAGAAATGCTTGTAAAGTGACATTGAACGAGAACATTTGAATTCGTCTTACTTCTAAACGGTTTTGACCAAAAATTTATCAATCAGCTTGTCTTTGTTTTCTCCGTATACGTAACCTCCATAGACACTTATAAAGCTTTTCCTTCATTGCCATCGGCAATAGCACCTCAACGAATGTTTTTGTCAACTCATGCTGTCTCTCTCTCGATCGTGCATATCTTATTGTGCGCTCCATCTATCTCTATCATTCTCTTGCTATTTCTCATCCTCTCTACTCAGGCTTACCCTCTCTTTACCTTTATAAGCTATATATTATTTTAGTTTTGAAGCCATTAGCAATAACAGAGTGTGAGATATCATTTAAAACAGACAGAAGGTCATTCTTCCGCAATGGTCAAGGACAGCTAACGGCTCAAAAAAAAATATTTTTTTTTCATATTTTCAAGCAATACCAAGATTGATGAACAAAATCTTTGTATATCAAGCTTTTTCCATTAATTTTCATAAAATATTTTTCTCATTTTCATAAATACTACTATACCAATTAGATATCTCATTTTGAAATATTCCTTTTTTAATACAAAAACCATGAGAAAGATTAAATCTCGTTTTTCATCCGTTTTGCCATTCCTATCATCTGCTTCGTATGCCTCTTGCAATCGTTTTTTTTCCGGTTTTTCTTGTGCCACGTTCAGTACATCCGCTCAATATGATCCGATTAATCGAGATTTACCTAACTTAATATCAATACTACACTAACCATATATAGCATTTTTATTTATTAAAATGAAATGAAAAGATACATTTTAATGATAAGCAAGTTGTAATAGTAGTTGATACGACAATCATATGAAAGATATGGCAGGGAAACAGAGAGAACGTCCCTCATTAGCACAAAGAGGCAAAGCTTATCATTTTGGAACCATATAAGAAGGTCAAGAACCTTTTTCTTTCTTTCCAATCATCACTACTATAGTCACTTATCTGCATTTTCACGTGCAACTATTCGAGACATTTAATGCCAAGCGCACTAGAAGAGTTTCAAACACTCTCTCTTTCTCTTTTTTTCTCTCTACCTCTCTCTCTCTCTCTCTCTCTCTCATATTCTCTTCACATTTACTAACTCTCTTCTGTTATCCGTTCTCTCTGTTCCTGTTCTCCCCTTGAATCAAAAAACGTTTTATTAAAGTTCTTCTTCGGTCATCTGAAATTTGCATAACAAGGGAGAGAATTGAGCGGAATCATATTGAAGACCAAATATAGTTTGAGAAACTTTTCCTATTTTTGCAAAAAAAAAAAAAAAAAACGAATTAGTCTATTGTAATCACCATAGTTCCATATCACTTCGCTTCCTCTTGGCTCTGCAACAACTCATTCAGTTCAGGCGAGGAATTATTTAACTTGAATAAACAAGAAAAACTTTCTTTTTATGTTCGTCTTCTTTCTGATTCTTATCAATACCTTCATTATCTTATTCTGAGACTCTTCTAAGCTTGCTTTTCCTCAAAAAAACCTTTTCACCTCGGCATTATCGTCAAAGGTGAAAGATGTAAAGGACAAGTAAATACCTACAACTACAGCTGAATGCTTCCGAGTCTGCACTCAATGCCAGGGGCGATGAGGAAGAAGATGATTCTGATGACGAATTCTTTTTTTACATCCTTCTTCTCATTTTTTTTTCATTGAAATCTTTGAAAACCTGTTCTTCATCAAAATTTTAATGAATTAACTTGAGTTATCAGTTACTCAACGAAATGTCTTATCAACTGCCAACCAAAAAATTGTCTTCGCTTTCACTTGATTTTCGTTCCTCTCTCTCTCTCTCTTACTCTGTTTCACTTTCTCATTATCAAGCTTTTCCTTCTTTTTTTTGTGTCTTTTCTGTCAACTTTTGGATTCCACCCTCTTCTCAGATGGCAAAATCACGTCACATGTTATCGCTTAACTGAAGGCTTTCTATTTCTCTCTTTTTTTTTCTCCGTGAGCCTCACCGAACTCTTTCTTACATTTTTCTTAAACTCGGTTATTATATCCGAAAAGTATTTATATGACCCACTACTACGTCGTTATGATTTGTCTTGCATACCTCTCTTAACCATCTATTTCAATCCACCTTTCCTCTCTCTTTCTGTTCATCTGCACTTCCCCTCTCTTTTCATTCTCTCCCTCTGTGTACGTGTGTATGTGTCTCTCTTTTTAATTTTCTTCCATCCTCTGCCTTTCTTCTCCGGCTTTTTGAGCTCTCATGATAGAGCAAACGATTCGATCAAATCGGCAGCTGCTAAAAAGTCTTAATTATCCACGATTCTTAATGTTCATTTTCAATCAAATTTCATTATTTATGCTGAGCCTTCTGATCCGCATTCTCACAATCAATTGTAAGACATTCATTTGATCAAAAAACTTCTTCCACACACATCGACACTCACACTCAATATCATTCTATTCAATGTTCATCACGGAAGCAACCTCATTCCTCATTTCTTTTCTTAGCTTGTATACTTACAGTTTTGATGTACTATTATCATTATTTGGGAATATATAACCTCCGTGTTAAACTTTTCTGTTCCTCAAATCAACGACCTCATCAGCATGCGCGAAAAATCCTTTTTTTTTTTTTTTGGCTACAAACCTCATCTGTGTAGCCGTAGTAAAGCAATCATAACACAATTATACCGGCGATCATATGTAATAAGCTCGAAATGTTTCTTATCAAATTTACTTTCTAATCGACGTTATTCTTACCTTATTTGCATGAGGAAGACTGATAAAGTCGATGTCAGCGTGAATCTATCAAATTAACTTATTTTCATATCAAAAGTACTTGTTATTCGTTGAATATCACATTCGCGTAACATATTTCGTTGTTCGTTGTCTATTTGCCATTCGTATATTATGCTATTTATGCTTTATTATATATTACTTTTTATAGAAATGTTTGATTACGATAAACTAGCGCTTGATGTTGCAGTATTCAGTCTATCACCACCTGTTGAACCGGTAATTTGATATTATATCATATAATTATATTATGTTTGATATAAATTTCAGCCTAAATGGTCAGAAAGTATTCCAATTGATAATGATTGTGGATCATCATCAGGGTATGGCTCTCCTGGACGAACTCCATTAGCGAGTCCGCAGAATAACGAAATATTGACAGGTTCGTTCATGACTTGATGATGAAACTTATGAAAAGCAGTTGAATTCACAACGTTCGACTATTTGAAAGAGATATTCTCATAAAATAGTTTCAAATGATATAAGATATGAGGAGAGAAGATGAGTGTGAGATGCAAGTGGAAAGATCAAACGCGTTCTGTTGCCATTTCCGGTGCCAAATGAGTAGGCAAGGCGGACTGAAGCCTTACATGCAATTCCACCACGTAATTTCTTATTTCGCAAAATTATAATTAAAATTTCCTTCATTTTCCTCATTTTTGGCTTTCCTGTTTCATTCAAGATTCTCGCTATCAGTTTGTCGAATTGTGAATGTCACGACTTCGGTTAATAAAAGACTAAATTGGCTTCTGAATTATCAGAAGTAGGCTGAAGGTTTTTGGCCAAGTTGGGGAATCACGAACATTCCATGTGATCGTTAGAATGATGTCATTCTTGAACTTTATTTGGGTATAAACCGGTTGTGTTTGTTCATTTAATATTCCTCAAAACAAATTTTGGACTTTAAAAAAATACTCTCGTAGTTTTTGTATATTTGATTGAGAAAGACGATTGTAAACAATGCATATTCCAGGATTATCTCTTCCCGCTCATATTCAACGAGCTTTCTCAGAGAGTTCCGATGATTCATTAATTTCCAATTATCTTGGTGTTGGAGTCACTCCAGTCACGTCTCCCAGCCAGCCTCCATCAACAGATCCTTATAAGCAACGAACTACGGTAACATCATAGCATATTCATAACTTTAATGTAATCAATATGATTTTAGGATCCAGCAGCTGCTCCTCTGGCATTAGAGGATGGCTTCAGTCCTGACGAAATCGAAAGCTTCGAAGAACTTTTGTGTTCACCAAAAAAGCAACCTCCAACCAAATACCAATGTCACATCTGTTATCGTACCGGACATTACATATCAGACTGCCCCATGGTAATATTCAATTATAGAATATATATAAATATAATTTTAATTTCCTTTCAGAGATTCAATACTCCTTATGACGAATTAACACCTTATCAAGGACGCAAGAAATGCTACGGAGAGTTCCAGGTAATCAATCAATAGCAAACTTGATCATTTCCTATTTCAATCGTTTTGCAGTGTCAACAATGCAAAAGAAAGTGGACGAGTCAGAATTCTGTTGCAAATGAAGCTCAATCCTGCATAAAATGTCACATTTCTGTCTTTCCTCACAAACAGGTTACTACTTCGAACAAAATTTATTTTTTATTCTTATAATGTTTATAATAATAATAACTAATTTTCATCTTTTCAGTTACCTGTTGAGAAAGCTGTCACATTAGGTTTAATCAAATCTCAACATGCGATTCCATCGAAGATAGCTCCTATCGGACATGGACGTCCTCCAAACACCAAAATTCACACATCGCATAGTTCATCAAGTTCTTCTTCATCCACCTCTTCAGTATAATGTTGTTAGAAGAACGTTTTGTTTACAAACAAAACACATAGTGATAATCCAACAATCAGCTCATATGGATGCTCCATCGATGATTTCTGATCCGACTTGTAAATTTTCTTCTTTTATCTGGACCTCCTTCACTTTTATCCCGGACCTCTTGTACTCTCTTTCTCTCTATTACTATCTGTATAGAAGCTTGCTATTTTGAAAATTCTTCAACGTGTTATTAGCTGGTCGAACTTACGGTATTCTTTTAGAAATCATTCTTCCCCTCTTTAACAACATTTCCGATTTCTAGTCAAAATCTGAAATTTTGGAAGAAATATTGTCATTTTACGAGTTCTGATGTGACCGGAAAGAAAGCGACAAGCTTTCAGTTAACCTTTTTTGAAATATTATCTTTTGAATTTTACTATTCGAGAAGCGTCTTGTCTTCTCATCCTCTTCATCTATTCTGTTTCTTTCGTTTTTCCATGAAAAGAAAAACTTTGGCTCTTAAGCACCTAAAAAGGATACTGTAGTTGATGAGCTGAAGAAAAAAATAAGTTTTATGCACAAATTCGTTAAAAAAGTCTTTCCGTTCTCAATCGATCGTTGAAAATGTTCATTTAAGAGAGAAGAAATGAAAAAAAATGAAAAATTTTCTTCTTTCTCCTATATTCTTTCAAAGAAAAATGATTTTGGATGAAATAATTTTTTTTTTTCGATTTTCTCATTGTCTCTCTCTCTCTCTCTCTCTCTCTTTCTCTTTCTTTCTTTCTATTTTACATCTTTCACCTTTCTTTCCTTTTTTTTTCTTAAAAAGCTCAATGTTTCACATTTCTGACATCATTTTGTTGGCTTCATTGCCCTTTTTTCATTTACATTTGTGTTCATCTTCCTCACAGATTTTCTATACATACATGAAAAAAAGATGTTTTGTTTTCATTGTTATCGTTAATCGTCATCTTTTCCCTTTTTTTTTATTTAAATTTGGCTTTAATTTATCTCTACCTATTCATTAGAATAAAGAACGGTCCCGGTGACTAACAATCACAAACACTATTCCATTTCATTTCTTTATATTGTCCATATTGAAGCCAAATTTGTATATTTTGTAAATTTTAATAAAATCAAATTTTTATTTCTTTTTTTCATGCTAATCTACTGAATTACATTAAAACACTTTGGCGGCGAACATGCACGAACTGCTCCGTACATCGTACATTTAGTTTGCGTTTCATGAAAACACGACTCAGAAAAAATTAAAATATTTTATTTGACAGTGATATAAAACAAAAAAAATTTAATCTTCATCATCTTCTTCATCGAAAGAATTGTTATCCATTCCATTCATCATTTGATTGAATGCGGAAGAATCACAGGCTGTGGCATCTGAAGCTCCGCAGTTTCATTCAACGGTTTAAAGGAACAAACTAACCATTGGCAAAAGGTATGGGAGGCGGGATTAGACCTCGCTGTTCATAATGTCGGAGATAATTACATAGATGCTTCAATCGTCTTTCTTTGCTTCGTCGGTTTTGGAACCAGACCTCAAAAGTGAACGGTAATAAGAGTTTGGAATAAAGTGCACAAATATGGAAGTACAACAAAAGGTGATATAGTGCAAAGGTTATGAAGTTGGAATGTGGCTTGTGTACCGAGACCCGGAATAATGAGAAAGGTGAAAGAGAAGATCATGCAAACAAAGGTTATTAAAGTATAAACAAAGATTCTACCTGTATCACTCTCATGCTCAATCCTGTTTCAAGAGCCAGCTTAGCTCTGGCATGCTTTGAAGGTTTTGGAGTTGTGGAAAATATGCGATTGAGAACATCCAACTAAAATGCATGGGATGAAAGAATGATTTGGTTTCAAAGAATATTTTACTTGATTTTGTTTGATTGTAGTCCTTGGTCCCCGTCGCTTCAAAAACTTGCCGTCGTCATCACAAAAATCAGAGAAGGAAAATCCTTCAAAATTGTATCCATAAGGATCAATTTCTTTTTTAATATTATATTCAGAATATGAGTCCATAGAGTAAGGAGTGGCTTCGGATGAGCATGATGGATATGATGTGGCTGATGATGTAGCAACATTCTGCTGTTCTTCATACATATGCGACATACAAGCAACTGTTTTTGCAGCTTCATCCACAAGAATTTGCTCTCCTGGTGATAATAATCGTCCACATCGACAACACGAATGACAATTCACATGAAAAACTAGAGTTGCCTATAAAATGAAAGTTATTTTTATTCTATAAAAAGGCTTTTACTCGAAGCTTATAAACCATATCACAAGGTGCAATTCCTCGCTGACATCCAGCACATCGATATTGACTACATTCTCTTTAAAAGACAAGAACTTTGCAGAAGTGGAGGCTAATTCAAATGATACCTATAGTAATGTTCTTGACAATATAGTTGACCATCTTTCTCATGACATTTGTCTTCCAAATTTATTCCACAAACAGAGCACTGACAACAAACTTCATGATGCCATGTATTATCAATCTGCAATCGTCCTTAATGAGTTCAGAGATGAAGAAAAACACTCAAAAAAATTTTGTTGGCGGATTCAACACAAGACAGAAGCTGAACAAAGGCTTTTTGTGATTGTGCTATCCACCTACTTTCATTATGAATTTGTCTTTGATATGCTGAGAACATACGCCACATTTGCCCTGAAGCATATTTTTGCTTGGCTTCTCGTTTTTAAGATTAAGAAAAAAAGAAGAACAATGTCGTAAAAACAGAAGAACAAAAAATGAAGTTACCGTACCTGAGACTCTGAATCCATTCCAATTGATTCGACAACTTGTCCCATTGCTGATAATGGAGGCTTGCGATCCAAAAACTCATAATCAGTATTCATTAGAGCAGAAGCTGTAATACTGGACATTCCGCTTGAACTGTTCTTCAACAGATGTTGCCTTTTTTTCGCGCAAAATTCTGGGTGTGCTTAGGAAATGGAAGGGCGTGAGCTGCTTAGTTTTTAGCCAATCATGAACGATTATCGTGTGACATAGCTCCGCCCATTATTCTTAAAGACTTTAAAGAGTGGTAGTTACAACAACATTCATGAGCCACATAAAAATATTATGGAGAAGTAGGAGAGAAACAGCTGGCATTCTGTGTCTTAACGTCTGAACTGTCATTGATCACGATGTCGTATAAAATATTAATTGAACAAGATGCTTGTCGCGTCGGATCTCCTGCATTTTCAAGTAGTTTCACTCCTGTATCTTAACTTCCAACCACCAGACAAGTGAATTCATGAGCAAATAAAGCCTTTAAACCAAAAAAAGCAATTCGTGTTTGAAAACATAAAATAAATTATCTTCAACCATTTTGTTAACTCATTTTCTCGCGTCTTGTTTTTTCACTTCAGTTACATTCTTTCACATGGGATGAGCGGTTGAGCTGTATGAGGAAGGTGTTAGATGAGACAACTGTAGATCTTCATTCTCCTACTTCTTAAAATGAGAGCGGTTGTGCACTGTGTTTATTCCACGGATAACTGAAATATTTCATTTCCATCAATGATGTGCAGTGAGCGGTGTGAACTTGAAGATGTATCCAGTCACGTAACTAAAGCATATGTACGAACAGTTTTTAGAGATCAAGATGAGAATGAGCAGTCGTGTTCATCACGATATTCAGTTGAACTTGAGAAATGTTATTAAAAATGAGCTGACAGCCTGAAGCTGAGCTTAATGTATTCATACTGTGCAATCGTAGCCATTTAGGTTGGTAATCAATCTGAATTCGTATTAATTATGGACAAACACAGTTATGAATCTGTTTCGTTGATGAATAATTTATTAAAAAACATTTGTAAAAATTAAAATTAAAAACAGTTGTTATAACTGAAAAACGAATGAGATGAGTGTTCCTATCAAAGATAACAACATACAACGATGAGTCAATTAAGAATGAAAGCTCGATTTCAGAATATTTTTTGAGAATAGCTACCCATAATTTAGATCAGTGAATATGCTTCATCTTTTTCTTCTTCTATTACTTTTTCGAAACATTCTGCTTCTGCGTTAACTCATAATAAACACCTTGACGTGCGATCAGCTCATTATGTGTTCCTGTAAGCAAATTTTGCATCTTTCATAGATTCATGGCTGATTACCTTTCTCTACAATGAGACCATCCTTCACTACAGCGATACAATCTGCATTTACTACGGTACTTAAACGATGAGCTATAACTATGCAAGTTCTTCCTTCACGAGCTCTGTCTAATGCTTCTTGTACAACCTATAATGCTTTTCATCATCTGTTTTATAGATATTTTTGTTTACTTTTTCACTTTCTGTATCTAAAGCTGATGTAGCTTCATCCAAAAGTAAAACTTTTGGATTTCTAACAAGAGCTCTAGCAATGGCGATTCTCTGTTTTTGTCCTCCAGACAACTGAGTTCCTTTATCACCTACTCTTGTGTCAAATCCCTAGAAGAATAATTATACATTACAATTTCCTATAGTGTTTGTACCTGAGGTAATTGACTAACGAAATCGTAGATATTAGCCTTACGGGCAGCCTCTACAATTCTTTCCATGGTGACTTCTTCTGAAAATAGATTGGAATTAGTTGAGTTTTTTCTCAGAGAACTGAGATTAACCTTTCATTCCATATATGATATTATCAGAAATAGAACAATCGAATAATATGGGTTCTTGAGAAACGATAGCCAATTGTGATCTGATATCAAGAGGGTTTAGAGTTCGAATATCATCTCCGTCAATAAGCTTAAAACATTCGATTTTGTAAAATTTTTGTAATCAACAACTTACCACTTGTCCTTTTTTGACATCATAGAATCTCTCGATCAAAGAAACGACAGTACTCTTACCACATCCGGATGGACCAACGAGAGCTAATGTTTGACCAGGATAAACCGAGAATGATAATCCCCGGAGAATCGGAATTTGTGGGCGTTGAGGATAATTGAAGTGAACATTATCAAAAGTGATGGCTCCAGTTATTTTCTATAAAAAGCGAAATCAGCGGATGAAGTCTTACACACAGGCATACCACTCGTTTTCCATCATGAGTCAAACTATCAATTTGTGATTTCTTTTCCAACATTCCAAAAATAATTCCTCCGGCCAATCGAGCTTTCATATATTCTGGGATGTAAGCCGTTGCAAATCCCAAAGTTGTAGCGGAAATCGATATAGCGTACATAACTCTGAAGAAGTACGAACTAGATAATCTCCAGACTTGTGAACTAACCTCAAAACTCTCATTGGCATCATTTGATGACTGATAACCAAATAGAGTCCTAGGCGGTAAGCACAACAATTCATCAGGAAAATAACGCAGGAAGCAACTCTGCAAAGACGAAGTTTATATGGACATTAGCTATATGATGTTACCCATAAGATAATCCTTGAATTGCTGCTTGCTGTAAGGCATCTTTGTGTGGTCCTTCCAAAAATTTACAGAATTTCCGGTAAAATGAGTCTTCACGGGTCAGAGCCTGAACAGTGCGAACATGCTCAATGGCTTCCATCGCAACTTTTCCGGAATCCTCAAAATGTGTTGCATTCGTACGATGTTTTCCAGTCATGTGACGGGTTCTTAAAAATTGTCCGAAGCCTGTTAAAGACGTCAATCAGTGATCAACTATAGCAAACTATAATACCTAAAACTGGCAAAAGACTGACAACCAGTAGAGCCATTTTCCATCCATAGTAGAAGGCTAGTCCAACTCCACAAACAATGGAAACCAAAGTAGCTAATACCGTACTGAGGCGGAAATCAGTTGCCTTACATATCATAACAAAATTAATGAATAAAATTATCATGTTCTTACATTTCTTAAATTCGGAACATCCGTTGCCAGACGAGTGCAGATCTTTCCACTGGCATGCGCTGGATTATCGAAATAAGCCATGTCTTGAGACAAAATATTTTTGAAGAGCGAGGTTCTTAGATCAAAGGACATGTTTTCACTGCTGACACCCATGAAGAAAACCTATAATAGGGGTTTCCCAATGATTTTTGCTCGTTGAACTGCTCGACTAACCTGTGTAAACCAATTTCCACCTTGGATTACAGCAAGCACGAAAAACATTCCTGCCCAGAAATGACCTTTTGATAACATTTGATCAGGATCCAGAGCGAATACCTACAAGATCACGATATTAAAACATTCAAAATAGAAATCAACATACACCAAGGACTTGAGTGAAGAATACCGAATAAGTTGGAAATACAAGACCTCCAATCAAACAAGCGAGTAGTCCTACTCCCAAGCTAACGTAGGAGCGAGAGCAATATTTGAGCATTACGAACAAACTTGTCTTTTGCATATTTTCTTCAGCCATTTCTTAAGTTTCAAAAAGATTTTTTTAGTAAGAACTGAATTTAAAAAAACCTTTTTTAAGTCTGCTCAACTCATCTCTTTTCTCTTGGGTTTCTTCAGGGAAATCGTCTAAAGCCATCTCCACAGTTTGAATTGTAGACGATCGAATACGGGAAATCACAGAAGCATAAGTTGAGTCTCTTTTGAATTGAACGGAAGGCCTCTTTCCACTTACTTGGCGGCTATAGCTCTTGCCTTAACAAAGTCTTGTTCGAATGAATGGAATGAAAACATACTATATTCATCATCATCAGAGAATTTGTATTGAACTGATGGTCTTTTGACACTGGTAGATCGGTGATATACTTCTTTCATTTCTTTCTTTCCTAAGCAACCAATGATAAATAAAAGTCAAGTACTATAAGATACCATCTACATCATCAACAGCGTCAGTGAATGTTTGAGCATTCACGAGATCATAATACAGGCCTCCCTTTTCAATAAGTTCAGAGTGTGTTCCTACTTCATGCACTTCTCCGTTCTGAACATGTTCGTTGAAGTTCTTTCACTCTTCGAAAAATATGTGTTATAATGTATACCTTTATTGCTATAATTTTATCAGAGTTTTTGATAGTTGATAACCGATGGGCAATTATGATTGTTGTGCGTCCTTGTGAAGCCTGAATTACGATAATTTAGAGGGAAAAGCAACATTATCATGTTTTCCACGTATGCTTCAATGTAGCATTCAAACTAATTTTGAGTCTCATATCGCGTTAATCGGTTGTAGTTTACAAAATATTATAAAACTTACAGCATCAAGTGCATCTTGAACTATTTTCTCAGACTCTGCATCCAAAGCAGATGTAGCTTCATCCAAAAGTAGTACTCGTGGATTTCTAACAAGAGCTCTTGCAATGGCGATTCTTTGTTTTTGACCTCCAGACAACTGAGTTCCACGGTCTCCTACTAATGTATGATATCTCTGAAAAACATAACGATTAAGAAATATTCTGAAGTTATGTTACATGAGGTAGGCTAGAAATAAATTTATGGGCATTGGCTTTACGGCAAGCTTCTTCCATTTCCATATCAGTGACATCTTCTCTTCCATACTATAAAAGATAATTTATTGAGTTAGCTATAACATTTTATCTTTCTCACTCTTATATTTTCTTCAATGGAACAATTGAACAATATTGGTTCTTGGGAAACAACAGCTATTTGATTTCTCAAATATTCAATGTTGTATTCATTGAGTTCTCTTCCATCAATTTTGATCTAATTTTAAAAAAGTATTCATGTTGTTCATACACAGCTTACCGATCCTGATTCAAAGTTGTAATACCGTAATAACAAACTAATTACTGTACTCTTTCCACAACCACTTGATCCCACAAGTGCTACTGTTTCTCCAGCTTTTATATTCAGTGTTAAACCTTTTAAAATCTGCAAAAAAAAAGTATTTATCCCTTTCAACCTGATCCACACACCTCAATATCAGGTCTAGAAGGATAATGGAAGCGAATGTTCTGTAACTGAATATCACCATGGATTTCTTGTCCAACATAACCGCTTGGAGATTTTGAATCAATTTCTGGTTCCTGAACAATCGTACAGTGACTCTAGTGATAATATCTGATTTCTCACTCTGTCTAAAACTTCATAAACAGAAGACGCCGCTCCTTGAGCAGCTCCTAGAACAGCGAACTGCGGACCAGCCTGGCCTAACGCTACTGAACCCATCATAACGGAGAAAAATGTCTGAAGCTTATCAGATGATAGTGGTTTCGAAAATTATAACTCACAGTCATCAGTTGGCTCACAGTCATCTGGCCGCTATGAACCCAGTTGATACCTATGTAAAATGCGGTCGCCAGAGAGCAGAAGTTAACAAAACCCATGGCTCCGAACGAGCAAGCCATGAATAAGTTTTTGAGAATTCCAGCTTTTCTAGCTTCAAATGCAGCTTGCGAGTATCTAAAGACTTTTCGGTATTGTCCATGAATAGGTATTGATACCGATTTTGCTCGTACTCCAGACCTCCCAATGAAACAACTGTACGAATAGATGATATGGCCTGTTCAGCAATTCTTCCAGCATTTGCATATTTTTTGGTTTCTTTCATAGTGAATGTCGTCATAGCCTTAAAAAGGGTTGTTTTCACAGCTTCTCTTATCAGTTGCACCCACCTTTCCGATACAAAAACCACAGAAAGCTTGGAGAGGGGTGAAAGCCAACATAATCAGCGTAAGCTTCCAGCTATGAGTGAACGCCACTATGAATCCTGCAAAGGAGTAACGTTCATGATGCAGAATGTTAAAAAACTTCACAAACCTGTGATAAACTGACTGAAATATTGAAACATCAGTCCTATTTTATCTCCTGTTCCTTCCTTCATTCTTTCCAGGTTACTATTAAATAATGATTAATCATATTATGTCATATTATTACTCGAATAATTGAATAGCCAGTGTTCCAGAATTGTTCTTATCGAACCACGCAACATCTTGTCTGAGAACTGCTCTGACGAACTTTCTACGAACTCGGTTACTCATTTGTTCACAAACAATCAAAAAACATGTGACCTGTTAATATAATGATTATCAAGCATTTTCAAAAATATTATTTACTTGGATATTTGCCGCTAGGAATACTCCGACTGTCATGTAAATATAGCCATATACTACATTCATTACATCGTGTTGGAACTTATCAGTTATTGCTAAGCCATCTGCAAAATCAAATATTCACCCAACTCTTTTCAAAAGATGTACACTAACGTGTTTCGTTAAATTGAGCTTCTATGAAATCTTGCGAGACTGATCCCTGCAGGATTGACATCAACGGTAAGCCTGCACCTGTAGCTAATGAAACACCGATACCAACGAATAGTAAAAACAACTCCATTCTATTTGCATAACGGAACTATAATTAAGAACATCGGTGCGATAAGGTGCAATATGAACTTACCAACTGAACCATCGAAACCTTTTTTGGAGCTTCAGCATCATTTTTTTCTACTCCATCACTAAACGACGAAAAAAATAATTCACAGTCATCCCGTACTAACTAACCTGGAGACGCTGGGCTTCTTGCCAACCATAATACTTTTCTAATGAGGGGGCAATCGTATGTATATGTCGAGCGAAATTTGTTGAATAATTAAATAAGAAATCTATCTTCGTGCTCTTATGATAAGAAGTGAAAAATCGTTTCCTTTTATAAGCCAATTGTCAGCGGAGACCACAGTTCGAGCTCACGATTGCACAAGCCATACACAAATTGTATAAAATGCAATCATTCGATCATTTCCACATAAGTATGGGATAATTATCTTGGTTTCTTTCAGAATCTAAACAACACGTCACAGGCATTGGGTCATTTCGAATGTAGTTCATACAACTCAGAAAATGTTGTTTTTTGAATTCATACTATGCAAATTCCAAACAGAGATCAGATTGATATGGAACCGATACTCATATCATTAAATGATGAAATGGAATTCTATTCATATTGTTACTTTTCACATCATGAAAGTGCTGGAATGGACGGAATGTACGATGGACATAATCAAGAGTCAGAATCGTTTGAATGGTTTTACATGAACTCATGCCTGGCTTGTTCATAAACTACAGTCTAACTGATCAATCCCATATTCTAAATAAATTGTTCCATTGATGTTTCTGCACTTCGAACATCAACGCTTTCAATACAGGAATCCCTCACTCGCCACTTTCTTATCTTTTTGTATTTGTTCGTAAATGATCAAAATACAATGATAACTGTCTTTAAAGCGTTTGGAAGCCATTCAAATGATTCCATCATTCAAACTACAGCTTTGATCGCGATCTTTATTCAGATACAAATACACAATTGGAAAATTATGAAATTGGTTCAGAGTTTAGAATTCAATAAACACCGTACAGTTCTGAACTCTAAATGAACTTTGAACTATCAACAAACTTTGCTTGATTTGCATTATTTTTCGTGAGATGTCCGTCATTCCACATGTACAAAAACAGATTACTGTTATTTTCGAGAAATTTTACCTGATGAACGGTCGCGCCATTCGATTTAGGTTCACAATAGCCAAACTATCAACTTGCTGTATTTTCTCTCCAACGTTTCATATAAGTACTTCCGGAATGTAATGATTAACACTGATAAGATGCGAGCCTTCACATTTTTTTGCAAGGTGAGACATAAATTCGTCATGGAGTATTCTTCTATTTTCAGAACAAAATTTTGTTGATGATGTGAAGAAGCAATGAGCTTATAATTACCATAAGAGGTGGATACCATTTTTCTACCATATCGGATTGCAAAACTCAGCAAATTGATCGGTAAGATTTCACAATCATTTGAAATAATGAAGTTCAACTCCAACATTACACACCCTTCTCACAATCTTTCTTACACTTGTCTTGTTCAAGAGAAGGATATGTACTTTAATGCTAAAGTTACCAGCAAATCTTTTTTTAAAGCTTGAAACACTTACACCTTAAACCCCACGTCATTCTTCATTAGCTTTGCAAATATCTTGTAATCATTATTGCGTAATTATATGCACGTTTCATTCATATTGTCTTGGGCATTCTTCATTCTTCCTTCTATTTCCAAGTTGAATCTAGATGCAACTTGGCTTTTGAGCTTCACTCCCCCCACGTGCTTGGCGTTGAACCTTATCATGTATCTCTCAAAACAACCCAATGGGTTTATACGTCTAACTGTGAATGAGAAGATTAACTTAGTACACAATCGTTATTTTGCCAAACTGTTATAATCAGGAGAAAGAGAAAAATAAGAAAAACAACAAAAACTGTATTATTAACTGTATGAAGCACTAACAAAAACTTTTTAATTCCGAAGGGGCGCTTTGCATCATCGGAATTAGTCGATTCATTTACAAGTAACTCTTGTTGAAAGATTAGAAACATTGATACGCACAAATAGTTGAAAAGTAATTATCCTTGCTACTTCAATTCAAGCTCTTCCCTTATTATACTAACTGCTATTGAAAAAATACGCAAAGTAACCGTGAAGCGCACATTTTTCTAGGCGGTGCTCCTTGTGGGGGGTGGGGTATAAGCATGTACCTTGTGTTTCATATTCTGTTTATTTGAGTTATTTGCATCATTAATTTTAGAGTTAATAGAAATGCCTCGGAAGAGGGATAAGTTTACAAGAGACTTATTAGTTGGAGGTACAGCGGCGACAATATCCAAAACAGTAGTTGCTCCCATTGAAAGAGTGAAGCTCTTGCTTCAGGTTAGTAATGTTCTATGTTGTTATAACCATGTCTTTTGAAGGTTCAATATTCCCATAGTGACATTGCTGCTGAAAAGAGGTATACAGGAATCATTGATGCTTTTGTTAGAGTACCGAAAGAGCAGGGAGTTGCTTCTTTATGGCGTGGAAACATGGTTAATGTAGTTCGTTACTTCCCGACTCAGGTAGTTCTCAAAGCTTCTTTGATTTTCAAGAAGTTCTTTTAGGCTTTGAACTTTGCATTTAACGATTTGTACAAAACCATTCTCTTGAAGAATGTCGATCGGAAAGAAGTGCTGTGTCTCTTTCATGAATCAATTACAGTTTGTTTTCCAGAATTTTTGGAAATATACGGGAATTTCCCTAGCCTCTGGTGGTATGGCGGGATCTTCGACTCTCTGTTTTGTGTACCCTCTAGATTTCATTAGGACTCGTTTATCTGTTGATATAGGTAAAACGCTAGAGAATCGTGCTTACAAGGTTTTTATCTTCCAAAAATTTTTGTAAAGCTTTTCATTGCAGGGCTTCAGTGATTGTCTTGTGAAGACTGTTAAAAATGAGGGCGTTGTTGGATTATATCGAGGGTTCCTGATTTCTATTCAGGTATATCCAATATCCTTTCTCTGACTATTCACGAATTTCCCATTCACAGACATATTTCCTTTATCGAGCAGCTTATTTCGGCTTATATGATGCAATTCGAAACATGGTACAAACCGATAAAAAACACTTGCACTTCCTCGCCTCTTTCGGAATAGCTCAGGTTTTTGTGTTACTCCTTTCATTAAAAAGTTATTTCTGTTTAAGGGGGTTACTATTTGTTCATCTTACTTGACATATCCTTGGGATACCGTCCGAAGACGTATGATGATCAAAGGGTCTTTGAGCCAAGGAAGAGCATTCGCTTCAGCGAAAAAAATAGTAGCGGATGAAGGAGTTCGAGGATTGTTCAAAGGCTCTTTAGCCAATGTGTTCAGGTACACTGCTGATATGACTGGACAAGCATACAATAATCGATGATTACAGAAGTAGTGGTGGTGCTCTTGTCATGGCCATTTATGAAGAGATTCAAAAATATTTGTGAATACAGTATTAGGTCCTTGGGTTAGTTTCCAGCTCCAGTTGAAATTTTTGGATCGAAGTTCTATAGTAGGATTTATCGAAATTTTTTTTTGAGATCTTTTCAATAGCTTCTATCCCTCCCCGAAATATCCAATCCTAGTTTTTGCTCCATCATATCCCCCCGAAACATTCATATGTGCCTTTTTCTTTCAAACGTCCCGAGAATAGAAGTACTGCTAGAAATGCGATAGAGGTTGTTGTTGTTTATGTTTAGAAATCCTTTTTCTTATCCTTAATGCCAAATATGGTTTGCCGCAATTCAGAGGCCAGAAGTAGACTCCAGACCTGATATGTACTAAAGATTAAAAATTGCTCAAAAACCATGTGACTAATCAAGTTCTAGTCCCGACTATAGATAAAGCGCCTGGTTGATGATCTCGAATTTACAAATAGACAAATAGATCAAATGAATAGATTGTGTAATGGAAAGTAGACTTTGTTATGAATTAATTGAATCATCATATGTACCATAATAAGCAGTTGTTGTTATTTTTTCAAAGAAAATACATTTATCATCTATGAATTAAAGTTCCCTTTTCTTCGGTTGTTGTCCACTTTGAATATTTGAAGAAAGCATATCAATTCATTAATTTCTTTTACAGACCTGCAGACAATGCTATGGGAAGGATTATGGTGAGCTTTATAGGCATTGGTAATTTCATCCGGCATTTCAGTTAATTTGTTGGTTATGGCTCCTTCCTCAAATCTTAGCACAAACTTTAAATAGAGATCCTTTCCGAATTGATTTCGACGAAAATATTTTGATATCAGTAACACAAGTAAAATAATTTTCTGGGAGTTAGCAATTGAACTCTGTTTTGAGGATGATATTGAAAGTGCTCGACATGATGTTCGCGAAATGTTTTATTTTGGTTACAACAACTACATGAAGTTTGCATATCCAGCAGACGAACTCGATCCTATTCACTGTACGGGTAGAGGACATGACCATTCTGATCCGTAAGCTGCTAGTTTCCATTGAAGGATATCATAATTTCCTTCAGTTCAAACTTCAATATCAATGATGTTCTCGGAGACTTTTCGTTGACCCTAGTTGATAGTTTAGACTCTCTTGTCGTATTCGGTTAGAGAATCATGTTTCTGTTTGCTTCAGTTTTGTCTGATGTTCCAGGTGATACTCAAGCTTTCAAAGAAGCCGTTAAACTTGTAATCAACACGGTGCATTTTGAAAAAAATACAACAGTACAGCTCTTTGAAGCAAATATACGGTATTCCTAAAAAGACTTGGCTCACATTCAGTGTTATTTCAGAATGATCGGCTCTCTGCTATCTGCTCATTTGATAGCTTCCGATTCTTCCAGATTATTAGGAGATTTTTATATGAAAGAGTATGACGGGGAGCTTCTCTCATTAGCTCATGACTTAGCCAATAGACTTATGGTTGCTTTTGAAGGGACCAACACTGGTAGGGTTTGACTAGTTTGCCCTAGATACTTGCTACTCTCAGGTATTCCATTCACTCGGGTTAATTTGGTGAAAGGGGTTCTACCTGATACTATAAACGAAACGTGTACTTCAGGAGCGGGATCGCTATTACTAGAATTTGGTTTTGTTAAGCTTTTTAAACTAGGCATCACAGTCTGTATTTCAGGCATATTATCTAGACTAATCAATGATCCCACGTTTGAACAAGCTGCTCGCAATGTAAATAGAAAGTTATGGAACTTACGTGATCCTAAAACGGGACTTTTAGGTGAGAGAGAAGTTGAAAGCGAATGCAGCAGATCCCGCGCTTGCAATTTTCAAAAAAGAAAAACACATGCATTTGCTAGTATTCTAATGATATGTAACACTCAGGGAATCTAATTGACATACAAACTGGGAGGTGGGTCGGGACATTATGCGGTTTGGGAGCAGGTCTCGATTCTTTCTACGAATATCTTCTTAAATGTAAGTTGATAAACAAGTTCTATCCTACATCATCCTTTAGCTTACATAATGTTTGGAGATTCCTCTGATCTAGCGATGTATAATGAAGCTATGGACACGTTAATGAAGCATCTGCGACGTGGGCGGTATTATTAGCTATTCTCTCATTTTTTTGAAGAAGTCTTTTTCTTTTACAGCAAACACTGTCGGAGCGGAGTGGGTGATCATCCTTTATTCGTGAATGTTGACTCTCGTGATGGCAGCATGATGACGACTTGGATAGATTCTCTTCAGGTTTTATGAGGAAAGGGAATTGCAAATGAATAATAAATGAATGTTTAGGCAAGCTTTTCCGGATTATTAGTGTTAGAAGGCAAAGTAGAAGAAGCTATATGTCAACACGCATTATATTACGCTATTTGGAAGAAATATGGCGTTTTGCCTGAGCGTTATAATATTAAACTTCAGTAGAGTTTGAGTAGTCGAGATTGAAGTTACATCTTTATTTTGCAGAAGACCAGATGTGAATTTCTACCCATTAAGACCAGAGTTTGTTGAATCGACATATATATTATATAGAGCAACGAAAAACCCTTTTTACTTGAAAGTTGGTATAGAAGTGATGGATTCATTAAAGGCATTAACGAAGGTAGCATCAACAACAATACATAAATAATCTCTTATATAGGTAGAATGTGGTTTCGCTACTGTACACGATGTTCATGACGGCTCTCTCGAAGATCGCATGGAATCATTCTTCCTGGCAGAGACTTTGAAATATCTCTATTTGGTAAGTTCGAAGTGCCGTTGATTTCACTCGAATGTCTTCTTCAGTTGTTTGACTTCTCCAATCTTGCGAACGTGAACGAGCATAAACTTCTGTTTTCCACGGAGGGGCATATATTTCCTATTGATCATAGGTTCCGTAGTATACAGAATCAGGCTGTTAAACAGAAACCTGTTTTTCTTCCATCAGCCATGGGGCACGAGGCAGTAGTTGAAGGTAGTGAATTGCTATAACTATTCTACTGATTGATTAATTCATTTTAGGCGTTCCCAAACATAGTCAAACATCTCACAATGCTTCTTGTGAGAATCTTTTAGATTTAGACAGTTTCTTACCTCCCTTAAACATCGAGCATATGATGCAACTTTTCGATATGATAGGTGTTGAACCAGATTTTCTCTAATAATTTTGTATAATAACGTCTTCTGTGATTTCTTGTCAGGTGTATTATGGGTTTAATTTAATTTTTTGTGATTACGAAGTGATTATCTTTTACTTCTTTATGATTTATCAAGCTGATAGTTTTTGTTTTTTCCTTATTACAGCTGACGCACAGCTGTCGAAGCACACGGATGCTCAGTCGATAGAAAGTTTCAAGTATTGTAAATTCTTTTACTGATATTCACTTCTCTTCGATTTTTGAAGGTAAACATATCGACTTGTTACCTTTACATATCTGTCAACATTCCCTTATTAGGCTTCTTTTTAATTCAATGAACATTCGGTTTTGTTTTCTTTCTTCATACTACATCATTGCTTGTTGGCTTCAATTCTATATCAAGAAACGATCATTTCAGTCGTCCAAGTTTTGTATTTACGCCGTTTTCATCAAGTCATTTGGCATCTCATTTCTAGTTTTAAACGAAGTGATATTTCTTCGAGCAAGATTTTACTTATCTTTGATTTTTGGTTCGACTTCCCTGTTTGGTTTACATTCACTAAGGTCTGCTCTTATCAGACATCAACATACAATGTGAGTGGTCGGCTTCTGATAGTTGATGCTCGACTCCTTCAACTTTTTCTTTTGTTTTTGAGAACTTCATCTTCTTTTCAGCTGTCATAGTCCTTGCATTGTTGTCGTTGGTCTGCTCATGTCCACTCTTCGATTGGGCCCATGTAGCTTCCCATTGATCCTTTTTTTTCCCACAAAAAGCCGTTAGGTCGGAAACAAATAGTTTTTGGCAAGCTCTAACAGCACCATGAGTATCCATTTTTCTTTGAGAATGCTAGGTAGAGAAGAAGGATGTAGGTTCGAATACGTCCAATCATAAGGTGAACCTGCCTTCCGGCTGCGTATCATGCAAAAGATTGTTCCTCATCAAAACGAAAACATTTCTTTGCTTTTCTTTTCTTCGAAACGAACTTCATTCTGTATATATTAGGAAATTGAATTTATTTTGCACCTAATGTTCTTCTATTGATTTTCTTTTTATTTTCCACACTGCCGTGGAAATTGACTAATGATTCTGAAACCGCTGTTCTTGACCGCTAGCAAGACCAATGACTCGTCTAGTCGCAACACACTTCTACTAATCATCTCCCTTTTAGTTCCAAACTGTCTCTTTATGTGAAAAGATAGACGAATATTTGAGTTGACGCGAAAGATTTTCTTCGTCTTCGTCTTTTTCATTTCTTTTTTGTCTTTATTAGTTTTAGCTTTATTCTCAGCTTATGGTTTATGCTAAACGTTTTCTTTTCATATAATCGGTTTTATCCAAAATGTGCCATTTCTTGAGTTCCTTTCGTTGCCTTCGTAATCTATCGTCTGTTTTCTTTAGATAGATTCGTTCGAACCCTTCCTGATCCTCTTGAATGACTTTCTTGTTATACTTCTTCCGATGTTATTACTCTTTCTGCTGTTCTTTGAAAACCCTAACAGCTAATTTCTAATGAAATTTCAGCAGCACCATGCCCCGCAAGCATTTGCTTGCTTACCTCTACTCTCATTCTGTAAATAATTCGTTGAATGTAATAGGAAAGCGAATAGCTTATTCACAAATTAGAGTTGAATATTATAACTATTCATGTGTTCATTCTTTATTTCCAGAATCAATGTTCATCCAATCAGCCGTCATCTTCTACAGCTGTATTCATGGAATATGAAAGAGGTCTTCCTCATTTGACAGTGCCTTTGCCATCTAGACAAGAGCCCTGTCGATTTTCTCTAAAACCTATTTCTGATACCGTTGGCTCACTATGCGACAATTTGAAGTTTGAAGATAAAGGGTTGGATTTCGCTGCCATTTACTCACCTGGTCAGAGATTAATTCGCATTCTCACAAGTTTTGTTTTCTAGAAGGCATAAGAGTGGCCAACTCAACAAGTATCGAACATCTATTGCTGTACGGAAGCTTCAAGATTCGGCTAAATGACAAATTTTATGATGTTTCCATTCCATCATTATCAAAAGATATTCACATTAGTAGTGATCAGTAAATTCTTCTCTGTGTTCTCATTAATAGCTTTTCCATTGCAGAATGAGGCAGTTGGATGATTTAAAAGCCACCATTGCTACCTTACATGCCTCACTATGTATTGACGATTTTAAGATTAAACGAGAACAGCTCATAATAAAGCAATTGGAAGTAGCTGAAGCTGAACTGAATTCTTTAATTATGGTCAGCTTCTAATTGTTTATGTTGCTTATTTTAATTAACTTGCAGCATAAGCTTAAAATTGAACAGGAATGCGAAGCTCATGCAGAGCGGGTTATGTGGTGCTGTTTCTCACTTATGGGAATTCAAACAGGTCTTCTAGTAATTTTAATTATTCAAATTAACTATTTTTAAGGAATGTTTGCTCGTTTGACATGGTGGGAATATTCTTGGGATATTATGGAACCTGTCACATATTTTGCTACGTATGCCACGGTCATAGCGACCTTTGGTTATTACTTATACACTCGACAGGTTTCTCTCTAGAGGAAGCATCATTTATTCCTAACTTCTGTTTAGTCTTTTGAATACCCAACAGCTCGTGAGCGTATTTTCACGAAAGCATTCTATAGAAGAGCGCAGAAACAGAAATTCAATATTGTCAGGTATAATGAACTCGTAGAAGAGGTTGGGCAATGTGAAAAAGTGTAATTATTTGAATCATTTGAAGGTAGAAGATTTGAGACGTCAACTGAAGAGAATTCGCGATCCAATCTTCCAACATCTTCCTGTCAGCTATTTGAGCAGGTTTGTTCGTTAATTTGTATGAATCATCTCAATTAGACTTTTTTAAGGTTTGATACTAACACTGACGTTAGCAGAGATATGAACGAGAAATTATAGTTTTTCCATATTAGGTTGTGACTAATAGATGTATGAAAGAAATATTTTCTTGTAAATTAACTATTCTTCGAATAACTAACTTTGCTTCTATTTTATGTTCAAAACGTAAAGTAATATTTATGAACTAATGTAGCCTTTTTTGTCCTTCAGTAATGAATTTAATAAAGTTTCACGGGTTTTTTCCTACATTTTTATATTCACGTTATCTGTTGTAGCTGTCGTGATATACATTCGCATTTTCAAAGAGCTATTTATCGAGATATTCTCCAACTACTACAGAATACTCTTATGCTGAACTACATGTAGTTAGGTTTCTATTATTGCTAGTAATGAAACAGCCCATCTTCACTGCTCGTTGAGAAGAAAAAATTGGGTCGTTAATGTTCAGTTGTTGTTTACCTCGGAAATGTGATTATTGAGATATCTCAAGGAGTAGTGATTTGAAGAATATTCCAGAGGGTTTCTAACTCCATGTTTTCTCGCGCATTTCTATTCTATCCCCAGCATGAATGCTAACTAGCTAAACATTTTATACATTCCCGTGCGGCTTACATGCCCTTTTCCGTAATTACACGCCTGTGCTTGATCGTTCATGATATTTCATTCCTCACTCAGCGTACGTGTTGGCTGGTCGTGCACGAATTTTCATTCCTCACTCAGCGTACGTGTTGGCTGGTCGTTCATGAATTTTCATTCCTCACTAAGCGTACGTGTTGGCTGGTCGTTCATGAATTTTCATTCCTCACTCAGCGTACGTGTTGACAGGTCGTTCATGATATTTCATTCCTCACTCAGCGTACGTGTTGGCTGGTCGTG